TATCCAGCGAAGCGCTAGGCCCAAAGTACGTGGCAGGTGCCGCGTCTCATCCATCCCGGGGTAGTGTGCAGCTAGCACAGGCCTAGGAGGTGCACTCCGCGAGAGATACATCCGACGGTTGATGCGTGGTGCACCAGCAGTCCTAGATCGCCAGCCCGCTCCTGTCTCACCCTTGCGGAGGAGCACCTCGCCCTCGACCCCGGCCCCTGCCTCTACCGCGACCCCGCCCTCCGCCAGGAGTGCCAGGATCTCCGCCATCAGTCGCACCCAGGGCTACAGACGCAGCAGACGCAGGGGCTGAGCCCTCGCTCGTTGTCTGTCCCTGAGCAGGACGGGCCAATATCTTTGGCGGGGCCGCATCGCGCTGCAGGATCCCGGTCGGGACGCCGCCACCGCGGGGACCACGCTCGCGTTTTTCCTCCTTCTGCCTGGGCGCAGGAGGCGCTTCCGCGACAACTGTGGAGCTGGTCGTCGATGCCACGGCACCATCCTTCTCCTTGTCCTTGTCTTTGTCGCGTTCGCGACGCGACTTGCGCTCGACGCCCGCCCCGCTAAGCGCAGCCTCGAACTGTCGCGAAGCAATGCCAAGAACTGGGCGTGCGCGACGCGCGGGGGCCCCGGCAGGGTCCCCAGCAGCAGAGGGGACGGCGGAGGTAGGTGCCGGGGCAGCAGCCGACCCACCCGTAGACGCGCTCGACGACGCTGAAGGTCCAGACGCGGTCCCCTTGCGCTCCCTTTGCGCCTTCAGTGGCTTCGGTGCGCCCTGTTTATTCGCGGATGTCGCGGCGGTGGCCTTTGCGTCCTTGCTCGCGCCCGCCTGCGCTTGGCCCTGCTGCTGATGCGCCGCCGCTTTCGCCGCGGCCGCAGCCTTCTTCGCAGCCTTCTTGCTCGCACCAGAATCCGCCATCTTGTCCTTCCCGCCCCCAGCAGCATCCTTCTTCTTATCTCCCTTCTTGGTAGCCGCCGCTGCTGCCGCTAGAGCCGCTGGGTCCTTGTAGTGCGCATGGTTGCGGAGGATGGATTCTTTGTCTTTCTGAGCCGACTTCTCAGCTTTGAGTGCTTCGAGGAGCGGGGTAGTCGTTGGGAGGGGTGCAGGCTGGGTCGAAGCGACTGCCACTAGCCATCAGACCAAGGCGGCAAATCCGGAGATGCATGGGCGTACTCAATGTTTCAAGGGTATCTAAATCGAAAGGTTTCGAAGAAACCTCCTTGAGTGATTCCAAAAACGAGATGTAGTCCTCGTCTGGATAGAGTCGTAATCAGATCACGCATCATATAGCTGTTGAAGGCGCGGACCTTTCTCGATCGTCCCTGCCCTGCTGTCTGCCTTCTTCTTCTCATTGGGCACTTTCTGAAATGGTGCAAATTCGACTATCGCGATGGACTCGTTGCCTATGAGAAGCGATCAAGGTCAAGAACGATCCCAACACAGCATTCACCCGTGGACCATACCGTTCTTGTCCCTGAACAAATGCCCGTCATACTCCCTGCTGAATGTTGCGAGGATCTCCTCATCCCTGAATGCGATATATGCGCGCGACGGGATGTTCTCCTTGTTCAACCTGCCGGCATGACCCCTCGCCCCTCAGTCATCCATCGCGCCCTGCCTCCAGACATGCGACGCACCGTGTCTTGAACTTTCCTTGGTAGTATGCCTTCCACGTAACAGTCTCGTCTGTGACCCATTTCCCGACGCTCTGCCAGAATATGTCCTCAGGGAGGTTGGGCGGTAGCCGACGGACCACGGTCTTGAGGCGTTCGGTCTGCGACTTCTGACCTCCGCTAGAGGACTTAGATTTCTTTTCTTTCTCTTTATCCTTCCCTTTGGCCTTGGAAGGCCTAGCTGTGTCGATCATCGACAAAAGAGGATGTCAGATTAGCAGGGAGTATGGACTGTGGTGGTATCGGTGCGAGAGCAAGAAGCGCCTTTGCGGCAGTCTCCGGCGGTCCCGTGCGGGGCGAACAACCTCCGCAAGCCTGCAGCTCCTCGTTTCTCAGTCTGTTCTTGCCATGCCAGGTGCTGCGGTGCCCCCGCTTCAATGACTAGCCTGCTGGCTTCATCCTACTGTGGTTTCGAAGCTGAGAGCCCTCATAGGCTTGGCCTGCCATGTTACTCAAGCTAGGATGCGCCGTGCAAGTTGCGCAGGATGTAGGATATTCAAACATCCTGTTTTCCAAGATAAGCAAACGACGGTAGTCAAGCTCGGCCTTGACTTCCACATCGACTCTTTGATTGTTTTACCCCAGCGCACTCTTCTCCTGCTTAAGGTACGTCGGACGTGGAGAATAGTTGAACCAAGTGTTCGTCTCGCCTATGTTAGAAACAGCGACGGAAGACGATGCAATGGTACGTACCTTTGAACCTCTACTTTTTTAGCCTGGTCAATTAATACCCCCCAATACGTAGTTAGCAAGCACTTCTTCCTTGCAAACTCGATATCGACGCACCCGCGTTGCTGATAGCCCTGCAAGCGTCTGGAAAGCATTCCAACCTGCGCTTCATCTAGCGACGAGAGTGCATCGCCCAGGCAATTTTCAGGGGTGGATCATTCCCTCGCTCTTGGCTGCCGCCGCTGGCTGATCATGCGTACTCTCCTCTCCGCCGTGGTTCGTTCTAGGCCAACGGAAGTGGACCCCGCTTCCTCGGTCACTTTCTGGCAGGCGTGGGCACGGGCGTGGAGGCTCTCGATACATTCCTCTCAGGAGACAACGAACGACAGTCAGCCTCCGTTTACACGAGCACCTACCAGCCGTCTCATGCTAAGACATCCGTGTCCCTTTCCAGCCCATAAGGAATGTAACTTCGATGATTGGTAGTCTAAAAATACTGCACTCTTCGGCTCTTCGATCCACTTAGGCCCGGACCCTAATACGGCAGTGCCTCTTGTTCTACAGCGTGCCGGCGGGTGCGCTCCTTTCTCAAGGATCTCTCGACTATCTTACTAACGCTTGTGCAGCGATCCTCGTTGACATATGCCCTCAGATAAAGCATCTCGCTTAGGGTCATTCTGTAATCTTACCATGATGTCGCAACCGATCGCATTGCGAGGAAATATCAAGGGCTACGTTCAGAACGGTTGAAAAAACGCAATGATTCGTATGAACGCCCATCTCATGCCAGTGGTTTACGCCAATCAGCTTCGGTACCGCTCAGCGGGAGCCCATCCCTGTGTCGGTACGTCTCACGTTTGCACAGCGTCCGAGTCCCTAACAGTGGGAAATATCTGCGATGGAGACACTGTAATCGGAGGGGATTTACCGCTCACGGTATACACGCCTCTCAAGGGGAAAAGATGGATGGGCGAGAATCGACCTTTAGAGGAAGCACCAGGAGCACATTGTTACTATTGTGGGCTAAACGTGGACGAGGAACTCGGGAGAGTAGCCTTGACGTGGAGACGAGCCTCCGTGACGGCCACAGCCATAGCCGACCCGCACTCCCATGGACGCGGAAGGCGCATGGTTGGGAGACCGAGGCAAAGGTTCGTTCAACGCAAAAAACATGGCCCGCATACACTTTGACTGACAAATTTCCAAGCCTCAAGGCCTGATTGGCAGCACATCTAGCAAGACACCAGTATGGTCCGTATCCCAAGTCAACGGGTCGCTCGCAGGCATGGAATCATGCACGCGTCGTTGTCTATACTGACCTGATGTTTCCACATTCTTGTGAACACGACGCGTATTCTGTCAATTTTAGTGCGAGCCCTCATCCTGGACTCTTATGAAAAACATTGGAACGGCGAGGTATAAAAGACAGCCAGACTGCAGCCATCATCTTCAGGACATCGAGTTCTCTCCACTCGCATTCCCCTACGGCCTCCGCCCTCTACTCGGCAGTTCGTCGCTCCTCGGAACTAGCAATGGCATTCAAGCTCTGGTCTATCGTCTCCCTCGTCGCGCTCGCCGCCGTCGCGAGTGCTGCCCCGAGTCGCCGGACGGTGTGCTCTGACGGCACCGTCGTCCCTGACTCGGTGTGCTGCGAGTTCATCCCCGTTAGTTCCGATTCCTCCGTGCCGTCACATACTAAGAACTAATCCTTCTGCAACACAGCTCGCAGAAGCTCTCCAGACGCAGGTCCTTATGGGCGACTGTGGCGAGGATGGTATGCTATCTACGTGCGACGCCTATAACCGCAAACTGACCGCTATTCATCCCAGCTCACGAGCTCCTCCGTCTCACTTTCCGTAAGCCGTCTGCATGAGCCGTGTCACAGCGACATACTGATCATACATTACAGACGACGCGATCGCTATCTCTCGCAGCCAGGGTCGCGCTGCGTAAGTAACGGGACTGTGAATTCTGCGAGCGTTCTGATGCTTACTACGTTTTGTGTGCAGTGGTGGAGGAGCCGATGGTTCGATGCTCATCTTCCCGACCGTCGAGCCTGCCTTCTTCGCCAACCTCGGTATCGCCGACTCCGTCAACAACCTCATCCCCTTCCTGTCGCAGTTCCCCAAGATCTCCGCCGGCGACCTCGTCCAGTTCGCAGGTGCTGTCGCCATCACTAACTGCCCTGTACGCACATACTACTTTCCTCAGACTGCCCGTGATCTCGTGCTGATATCTCGCGTTCCGATAGGGTGCTCCGCAACTCGAGTTCCTTGCTGGTCGCCCTAACGCGACCGCCCCTGCCGTCGACGGTCTGATCCCCGAACCGCAGGACAGCATCACGGACATTCTGAACCGGTTCGACGATGCAGGAGGGTTCACGCCGTTCGAGGTCGTCTCCCTTCTCGCTTCCCACACGGTCGCTCGTGCCGATCACGTCGACCCCACTCTCGACGCCGCGCCTTTCGACAGCGTGAGCATCGCACCACAACTTATTCACAATGCTTGCTGACCTAGCTTCCTTGTGAAACAGACGCCCTTCACCTTCGACACGCAGATCTTCCTTGACGTGCTCCTCAAGGGTACCGGCTTCCCCGGTCTGGGCAACAACACCGGCGAGGTCTCCTCACCGCTCCCCCTGACGAACGGCACCGACGTCGGCGAGCTCCGTCTCCAGTCCGACTTTGGCCTCGCCCACGACGAGCGCACGGCCTGCTTCTGGCAGGGCTTCGTTGACAAGCAGGACTTCATGGCGTCGTCCTTCAAGGCTGCCATGGCCAAGCTCGCCGTCCTCGGCCACAACACTAACGACCTGGTCGACTGCTCCGCTGTCGTACCCCAGCCGAAGCCCGCCGTTGTGCCGTCCGCGGCGTTCCCGGCCACCAAGAGCGCGGCGGATCTCGAGCTGTCGTGCAACAGCGAGCGGTTCCCCACCCTCACCACTGACCGTGAGTATCTTTGCCTCGCCCGTCGTACTGTACATAATAATAGCTGAATATGATCCCTTCTTGCAGCCGGCACCCAGGAGACTCTGATCCCGCACTGCTCGGACGGCAGCATGGATTGCGAGAGTGTCCAGTTCGACGGCCCGGCGACCAACTTCGGTGGTGACGATGACTCGTAGATGATGACTCGAGGAAAATCGCATTTCTCTCCTCTTCGCTCGTTGTATAACTTTGGGCCGCACTGATATCAGTGCGATGTTGTATGTATCCGAATTATCTAAGGTGGCCAAATAGAAGTGGTCTCACAGACTTGACGCGGCTATGCTTTCAAGGAAAATTGTTTGTGGTGCACTGACAATGTATCGTCGGTTCTAAGCCTTCGGTCATGCATCGAGTGGAGTGACCGGACGCGTAGGGCAGAATTTTGGTCGGGACCCAGGCCACTTACCACCACACGCTTCGAATTGAGGGGCGATTTCCTAGAGCGAGGGTGACCTGGATTCCGCAACCAGTAGTACACTGCCTGCATTACCAACGCCAGATCGTGTACTTCATGCTCTCAACGAACAAATAGCGGCGTTCCGGAGATCGGACGTACGCCTATAATCCGACTCCATTTGGTAGGACTTCACACTTCGGCTACGGGGTAATTCGATAACTAAGGGCGCCGCGGCAGACTACGTAGAAGAGAATGACCAATGCACTCAGATTGTTTAAAGGGCTTTACTATGATTCCTTGATGTTAGTTGCAAAACTAAGCGCATACAGCATATCATCCACACGCCTCCAGGGCGCGGGCTTTTTTTCGTTCACCTCGCCCGTCCCCCTCTTTACTGCCTCTCCGACACGACAAACTTCAGCCCGTCCCTATCAACGACGATGCGCACCTGCTCCATCGTGTCTACGATGAAGTGCGCACCGCAGTTCTCGATCTTCGATCTCTCGTGGCTCGTGCAAACGGCGATGACCGTCGCTCCGGAGGCGACACCGGCACGGATGCCAGACGGCGAGTCCTCGAAGACGACGCAACGCTTCGCATCGAACCCAAGCTCCTTCGCGGCGAGGAGGAACGGGTCGGGTGCAGGCTTCCCGGCCTTGAGACGCTTGTCGTCGGCGGTGATGGTCACCTTGGGAGGTGTGATACCGACGCGCGTCATACAGCCGTAAGCTACAACGAAGAGCGGTGTGTCAGCAGCGATTCGTAGATGTAACGTCGTGTTGAGGCTTACCATAATTCTTTGCACCCGAGGTGGCAACGGCGTAACGACTCTCAGGGATCGAGTCCATGAGCTTCTTTACGCCAGGGAGAATGCGCACCGAGCGGTCGACGGCGGCGGCCTCGACCTGCCACGCCTCAAAGATGTGCTTCTGCTCGAGCTCCATTCTCCAGTCAATCATGGGCCCCTCGTTCTCCTCGTGCTCGTATGTCGCGCCTTCAGCCGTGATGAGCGCAAGGCGGTTGGTAATGTGACGGACGAAGGACGGGCGATGAGTGTAATCCGCTGTGGAGAGCGAAGCCGAACACGGCGACACAACCCCGGAGCCCGACGAGCTGGTGCTCGACGACGACGACGACGACGACGCGAGGGACGGGGTTGCGGCCCCAGAGGAGAGTGGTGAGACCTCGCGGGAGCCGGGTCCGTGCTTGGTGAAGGCATCCGCGAAGAACAGGATCGACTCCTCGAACGACTGAACCTCGGCGTCCATCTCGTGCACCTTGATATGCGGCTTGAATTGGGCGAGGTTGTCCACGGCGCGCTTGCCGTGGGTAGCAGCGATGACATACGCCGGGTTCAGCCCGAGGTCTTTTGCGACCTTGCCCCATGCCGCCTCGACGGCGGCGATGGAATCGGTTAAAGTACCGTCCTAATGCAAAAGTCAGTAAGTACAGGTTCATGAGGAGCAGAAGGGAATGAACATACCATATCAAAGAGAACGGCGTCGGCGGCAAAGGTGGTCTCCTTGTTGTAAGACATTTTGTGGTTGATAGTGAAAACGAATATGCTTGGAGGTATGATGGGATGCGAATGTTTGGTGAGGACTTTGCCTCGAAAACGGGTCCCTGTTATACCTGTAGGAGGGGGGGAGGCCGGATGTTGGACTTAGATATATCTCGCTAAAAGTCAGCTCAATACTAGTGTGCGTCCTAGACGCAACGTGCGGTCTCGGTAGTATGAGCATCACGCTGACAGCCGCAATCCAATGGTTGAGAGCCGACCGACCTCTTCGAATAGAAGGTGTTCTGACTCTGCCCGCGTATATTCTCAGAGTTGAGCAGCTAGCAACTGTGCTTGGTCGGCACCCGCAGAAGGGAACGGTACTAGGCAGCAGGATTGAGAGTAGCCGGATTGCAGCCCAATGTCGGACCGACGAAGTCTCTTCCGATAGCAAGCAAAGGTACCGAGAGGCAGCGATTATTCTCGTGTCCATGCAGTCCAGCAGCATTCATTCAAGTTCAGGCTGGCCTGCGGGGAGGTCATATCGCACTTCATGGGCAAGCAAGGCGGGGAACGATCCGAGCTCTTTGGCACTTCTGTCGCATACTAAGTGATCATGGTAAGTGACGCCGATAGACCTAGGATACGAGAACCAAGATGACAGCTTGGACGTCGACGAGCCACTCGAGAACGAGAACAAAGACCTCAAGGTCCAACGGTTCAGAGAGAGAGGCTGGTCAAGGTCAGAATCCGTCGCTGCCCTCGGAGTGTGCCGTCGCTGGGTGAGAAGCACGTGATCCAGCGTCGGGTCTCGCTACCATCGCCGCTCTAGGAAATCGCCCGAGTCGAAGCGTGCAGTGGCAAGGAGACTGGTCACACTGCTACCAATACTCGGACCACCGTAGATGCCTACAGCTTCGTCAGAACCTGCTCATCTCGGCGGGAACGTAAGCGAGACACGTCAAATGGGTCTGCACCGTAGAAACCATGTTACATCACTACTAGTGCTGAGGCGAAAACAGACAGAAACAACACGTACATCTCGCAAAAAACTACAGCCCCGAAGGTCATGTGATGGTACATCAGCTACATATCATCCATTTCATGCGTACGTAGGCCCACTTCACGTCATGAAGACGTAGCGCGGGTCGTTGTCGTATATCTCCTCGATCCTCTCCACACCAGCAGCCTCCTTCTCGCTCGCTCCTTCCGCAGCGATCGCCAGTCGCTTGTCAGCATTCTTCTTATTCATGTGTGCAAGGCGCGTGCGGAGCGCGAATGCAGCAAGGAACGACGCAAACAAACATCTGTGCAAGAGCCAAGAGCGCAAGTGGTTATGTAGTCAGTCGGAGATGCCAAGGAAACGCGGTAAGACTTGGCAGGGGGGCGAGGAAACTACTAACCCAGCGGCGATGGCGTGCCCTTTCTGGTAATTGTCGTCTGCGTCGAAGTAGACCTGTGGGGACGCACTGCCAAATGGGATAAGTCTCAACGTGAACTAGCGCGCCGCTGAGCCTGACAGACAGCCGGAGAGACCCACATGGACACGCAGTTCGAGATCGAGACGATAAACGCCGTTCCGACGCCGCGTTTCGACGTCGGCGAGAACACGTTCGCGGCCCAGCTCCTGTCCGCATGCCGTCCGTCATCGGTCAGTCGACCGAGCTCGAAACGGAAAGCGGCGAAGCTCACATGACCAAGGGGAACAGACTGTAGTTCCCGCCCACGACGAGGAACAGCGCGAAGTAGCGTCCGCCGATCATGTTCGAGCCGCTGCCCTTCGTCGCGAGCGCGGCGAGGACGATGTAGCCTATGCACGAGACGGCGGTGGAGAGCATGATGTGGTAGCCGCGGTCGCGCGTCTTGTCCGAGTGCCAGGCCTGGAAGAAGACCATGAGCCAGCCCACGGCATAGGGAGCAACGGTGAGGCCTTGCGAGGCGAGCGGGGAAAAGCCGAGTTCTCTGATGAGCTAGGATGCGCTCGTGAGCCGATACAGAAGGCGGAATGCCAAACGCAACGACGGAGAGACGTACCGTGGGCAAGAAGTAGGAGATCGTGGCGACGCCGACGTTGACTACGGGCCCCACCGGGCGGTTAGCGGGCGTTTCTGTTTGAGGGTATGGAGTACTCACAGCTGGCATACACGATCATGAGCAACCAAGCGTGGATATCATTCACTATCGCCTTGAACCCTTCCCAGCCTGTCATGCCACCATGCGATTGGGGGCGGTGGTCACGGTTAAGGCGGGCTTGAGCGATGGCCTTCTCACGGGGCGTCAAGAACGATGACGAGAACGGGAAGGAGGGGAGGAAGAGTAAGGTGACGAGCGCCATGAATATAGTGGGAATGGCCTCGACCTGCCCGTCATGCTCTGGTGAGCACGAGTGGACACCACTTGGAGTCTATGCAGCTTACGAGGAAGAGGAACTGCCATCTGAGGTAGATGTGATACATGAGCTCTGAGAGCGAAACAGATCAACGCTTATGTAGACGTACCCAACCAACACCTTCGTCTGGATTCGCACAAGCCCGAAAGCGAGCAGACCCTGTGATTCGCATTCGCAGTAAGCCACCTAGACGGCAGAAAGTCCCATCAAAACGCACACCAATGGCTCCGGGTAGGGTTCCAGTCATGCATAGACTATTCCCCCATCGCGTAAGCTTTGCCAGGCCCGACAGTAGGTGCTCTCTTGAACACGGCCACAAAACCTGACGTACCTGATACGCAAGGCCAGCTCCGATCTAACAGCGACAGCAATGTCAGAACGGAAGTGTCAGAAAGGATGACGCGACAAGGTAAATGGCATCGCCTACCTCTTGTACCAGAATGACAGGTAGTAAATCATGCCTGCGTAATAGCCCGCTTCGCCGATGCCCAACAACACCCTATAGAGGCCGCAAGGCTCAGTGCACAGCGTCTACGTTGGAAGAGACAACGGCGCACCGCAGCGCAAGTAGACCCCCATAACCTTTCGCGTAGACGAACGAAAGGGAGGCAAGGCCCCACCACGTCAAGGAGAGGAAGAAGCTGTGTGCGCCTGTGTCAGCTTCTCGGTCTCGTCGGCAGAAGCACGACAGGACGGATACGCACAATCGGTTCGCGCCTATGTACCTTTGGAGGACTGAATGCAACAAGGACAGCATCATAATAATTCAGTACAGCAAGTCTCAACAATAGCAAGGCAACGGACCATTTGCCGGCATCTCAAGGAGACCTATGGGAAGCACGTCAGCACCAATTGCGTTGCTGCAAGGCGTGCAATCCTGACAGTATCCGACGTAAAAGATACTCAGCGCCAGTGTCCATTTATTGTTATTCGTGATGCCGAAGTTGTCGTTGAAGGCTTTGATTACATGTGCATTCCCACTAGAGATTGAACGAAGGTCAGAATACGGCACGCTTACGAGACATATGGCTTGCGACTGACATGTTCGTGCGATCTGCAGCAAGCCAGACCGTACGTAGTCGTACGTAGTTAGATATCAACTTTGGGATGTATCTGCGAAGCGCGTACCGAATTGGTTGACTGCGGATCGCGTCATATATTCGAGTTATCAGCCACGTAATAAGCGCCCAAAGAAGCCATGTTTTCCAAAATACGCACAGATGTAACTGTCGAGACCGCCACGACTGGTAAATACAATCTCGCCTCAAGCAGAAACGACAATAACAGCTGACCTGCTGACGACGAGTGTGAGCACCCTCAGATCGATCTTGCGCCTCACGGCTTTCTGTGTCAAGACCGAAGCAAGTGAGTAGGGGGCCTGACGATCGAGCGATCACAGGCTGCGCGCGACGATCCTACCTCCTCAGCATCTGTGAAGTCGACGTTATCGGCGTCACGATTGACCGCATCGGCGAGCGTCGCGTCAGGCGGGGAGAAGAAGTGCTTGCGGACGGCCTTGCCCCCGACCTGGGACTGGTGGAAGGTGCCTTCGGAGAGTGCGGACTCCCGCACGGCAGGACCGTCTTCGAGCTTCACGTCTTCTTCGCGGATCGAACCCGGGCGGCCGGGGCGCACCTGGTCGCTGAGACTCATCGGGAGCTGAGGGGATGCTCGAAGGAGAAACTCGAAGGCGGGGGTCGAGGAGGGGATGGTCGGGCGTCGTTGTGCCCAGGACAGAACGTCGATGGGCAGCGAGCGGGCATGGGCTGCTGCTTTTATGGAGATCTCTAAGTATACGCAGAAGGCGACATCGGACGCCGCCTCTCGCGTAGGAAGCGAAGCTCGCTGCAGGTGCCAGGTACGCCACGCCGCCGTAAGCTTGTGATGGGAGATCTCGACTACAAGTCAAGTGCACTAGTTGCCCGGTCATGCGGTCCCCGTCGTGGCGCTACGGACCGATCAGGTATGTAAGTGGCGAGCCGAATATGGTAGGCGTAGTAGGAGAAACCACTGCCAAAGTGCCGTCCTCCTCGCCCGCCCTGTTCTCCTCTCGTCCTTGATTGTGAGGGAAGATCTACGGCACGTTGTTGGATTACCGCTAGGTTAGCGACTTTAAGTTAAACACAGAGGGCTGAGTTGTATGTTACCGGCGGCAAGGTGAGAACACTGCTTTGTTGAATCCAACGTTCCGAGGCTTGAACCATTTACGTGGTCCCTTCCTCTAAACCAAGCTGTTCGTTGCACTAGTGCGCCCCGGCCATCTCACTACATACGACGATTATCATAAGCCTCCCCCCAGGACGACGTCACCTGACATGAAACGCAAGCTTGGCCAGTGGCCACCAAGTTGAAGGAACAAACCAGGGGGATGAATGACCCATCGTGCTATCTAGTCTCGGCCATAGACACTGAATACCCTGGTTTCCCTGATTCTCCTGTTTCACTCACCAATCGTAGGCACTTTACCCCCAAGCGGTTGCCTTATCCCTCTGTGTACTGCTCAGGATGAGTACCTGATGGCGGCACCCATTGAACCTTAATCATGCGCATACTACAACCTAACCTTCCGAGGCGACTATGTAGTGGTGATTGGCTATCTCGGTTCCCAGCACTTGCATAGCAGCCGCCGTCAATGAAACACATGTTCGGAAAGCTGGCCAAACCGGGGAAATCAGCGATTTGCAGTCCTCCGCCTTGGAGCTTGTGAATAGCAGCGCCGTCGGCACTCCCTTGACAGCGTGTCCGTTCCGAAGAAGGGATGATGTGTGTGCGGGCGGAAGGACGTCTCCAATATTGGGCTACAGCAGTGAGGTGCTCGAGTGGAAACATTCGGTTGCCGTAGAACGAGTCCAGTCGGCTGCTCGCCGTATAGAATGGACTGCAATGCCTAGCACGTCGAGGAAGGTTGGGAAGGACGATTTCCCAGCGACATGAGTCAGGCGCCTGTTCCGTACTTGGATAGCAGTTGCGGTCCGAGACCGGATCACGACGACTTCTGCCACGAACCACCACTATGGCATTGGCAGCTGCTTTCTCGTTCGGTCTCCCTCGGACAGAAACAGAACGCACCCGGGACGCTGACTTACGGGCAGGGCATGGAAAGGAACATGGCTCGCGCCATGCAGTAAAGTCTTTTAGTGGGGTAAGCCAGCGTCATGGCAGCACAGCGCGATACGATATGTATGACGTCCTATTCGTTCCGTGCCTCCTCTCCGAACCTGCCCGGCCGAGCTCATATACCTTTGCCTCTTTCATGCGTCGCAGGTCCAGAATCGCCATCTAGTGTCTGCCTGGGTCGCCCCATTCTTTGCTTACTCCTCCGGGTCGCGTGCGTTGATCATGTCTACACTCAATCTCACCCGGGTCCACGCGAGCGGCCCTCGGATGGTCCTCAGGCGCTCAGGAGCGCGCACACTCTTCAGCTCGCCCGCCGTGGGCAAACAGCGGCTCGTCATCCTCGGGTCAGGATGGGGAGGCTACGAGGTGCTGCGGGCGATAGATAAAAAGCGATGGAGTGAGTTATCTCCCAGTACCACCTAGTCGTCCGCTCGTGCGCGTCGAGTTACCCGCGCACTAGTGGACGATCCACGCGAAGTTGACGCGCGCCGTGCACGCCTATACTGACCAGTTGCCCTTTACGGAAGACGTGATCATCCTCTCTCCGACTAACTACTTCAACTTTACTCCTCTCCTCGCCAGTTGTTCCGTCGGTACCCTCGAGTTTCGTTCTGCGATTGAACCGGTGAGCATCACTCTGACCGCGGGCTCGGTCGCAAATGTTTAATCGTCGCATGCAGGTTCGAAGGTATACTCCCGAAGTGGTCAGTCCCCTCTCCCCAGTGCGCTGTCGCCCTGCTCAAGCGTTCAGCTAAATTGTTGTACTGTTTGCAGAGAGCATACACAGCATGGTGCGACTCCATCGGTGAGTTATATCCCCTTCGTCGTCGCACAGTACCCTCAAATGCCCTACCTCTAGACTTCAGGCACAAAAAGCTGCTATGCGTAAGTGAGGCTTCCTACCGTATGATCGTTGTATATTGAGGAACTGCCCAGATGCCGGCAACAAAACCACCGTATTTCGCTGACTCCAAGTCTCCAGTCCCAGCGGGGCAGGCAGCGGATCCGATCGGGCCCGCAAACCCCGTGCCCGGTGACTCTCAGAGATTCGAGCTCACGTACGACAAGCTGGTCATCGCTGTAGGCGCATACAGTCAAAGTATGTCGTCCCGTCGCCCTTCTGATCTTTAAACCACTCACGTCTGGTCGTCTTGCAGCATTCAATGTCCCTGGCGTGAAAGAACACGCGCATTTCCTCAAGGACATCCTCGACGCTCGCAGGATACGAGCTCGGATTCTAGAATGTATGGCTATTCGTTCGGATCCCACCTTGGGCATGCCGCTTGACACGCATATACGCAGGCTTCGAGCAAGCGAACCAGCCCACGATCACGGACGCGGACAGGCGCAAGCTCCTGAACTTCTGTGTCGTCGGCGGCGGCCCGACGGGCGTCGAGTTCGCCGCGGAGCTGCATGATCTGCTGCACACGGACATGTCGCGCCATTACCCGCAGCTCGCGCGCATGGCACGGATCAACCTGTACGACGTCGCGCCGACGATCCTGGGCGGCTTCGACGAGGGTCTGCAGAAGTCAGTGTTCTCTCTCCGCATCGGGCAAACGAAAACATGAGATACTGACGGGGATTTGTGTTGTGCTGGACAGATACGCGGAATCCAAGTTCAGGCGAGAAGGCATCAGGCTCTTGACGCAGCATCACGTCGAGCGCGTGGAAGAGGTACGTACGTTCTCATTATGTTTTCGCTGCTCGGTCGCGCTCGGGTCCGCACTCGGGACTCTGACCAGGGGATTTGACCTCGAGCCCCGCGTAAATAACCTCACCCGTACACATCGACACCCCGAATCTCGCTTTCCCCCGCTTGCGGGAGCAGATGCACGGAGATTGCGAGCGTGAGCAGCGCGTCCTCGAGGCGGCACGAACGGGCCCCCTACGTTATGCATGAAGTCATGGGTGCTAAACAGACCCCTTTCATCTCATCTGCAGGGTCGTATGTTCGTGACGGAGGAGGGAGAAGGCGAGCCACCACGCCCCATTGCATCATAGCTGGCCCCGGCTGACTGCTATCGCGTGGCTTTGACTTTTGGTAGTGCACTTTGGTCTGCTGGTGTGGAGCACGGGCCTCGCGCCCAACCCGCTCATCCAGTCCATCACAGAAGCGAAGAAAGACGAGCGGACGAAGCGGTAAGCGTCCCTGTACTCCCCTCCCGGCCGGCGGTTCTTCCCCCCAAGTCTCTGTTCGATTTCCCCGCACGCCACACTACCTCCAAGAGGTCAAGCAGACGCGTGTAGAGCTAGTTGTCCCCCACACCCCCGCGCTCATCTTGACGTCGCATAGCTACGTACCTTACGTGTTCCTCGCCCTAGCCTCCTCGGAACCGGTCCGACCCTTGGCGCCATCTCTCCCAGTCATTTTGCGTTTTGGCACCCCAAACCGCTCTCCATTCGATGTTCGGTGTGCGGCCGTGGTGCTGACATGTCTACCGTACACATAGGAGCCTGATAACGGACGAGCACCTCAACGTGGTCATGAAGGACACAAACGCGCCCGACCCGGACGTCTTCGCGATCGGGGACGCGGCGACGATTGGAGATGAGCCCCCCCTCCCCGCCACAGCGCAGGTCGCGAACCAGCAGGCGAAGTACATCACGAAAAGGCTCAACAAGCTCATCAAGAGCTCGACGGGTGTGCTCGGCGCGGACGAGAAGCCATTCAAGTTCCAGAACGCGGGCAGCCTCGCGTACGTCGGCGACTGGGAGGCCATCTTCGACAGGACGCGGGCGGCGTCGGGCCCGAAGAACAAGGAGACGGGGCGCGTTGCGTGGCTGCTGTGGCGCTCGGCGTACTTCACGAAGACGCTGAGCGTGCGGAACAAGATATTGGTGCCGGTCTATTGGTGAGTGCTCGGTAGGCTGCGTCTTTTGCCTTCGTCCCCTCGATCGCTGCTCTCCGGCTGGCTGGGTTTTACGTCGATCCTGCTCGCTCCTGCTGCTTCTTCTTTCGGAGCGGGTCATTTTTGCCTTCCACTCGTATCAGTGACTCTTGGTACACGTGTAAGGCGCGCCCTGTGTGTGGGGTGAGAGAGCTGGTCGGAGAGCTTCTGCCTCCCCGCTCCCTTTACACCGTGGGATGCAACCTGATGATAGTTCCCGGGGCTGAAGGTTGCTCAGTACGCTAACGCACATTTGCGGTCACAGGTTCCTCAACTGGATCTTTGGTCGGGATCTCAGCCGGTTCTGATCCGCATGCTCTGCTCCTACTCCGCAACGGCATCAGGACATGAGATGCACATGAGGATCAGACAGCGATGTGGGCGTCGAGACACTGCCCGCAGTACGCTGGATTGCGAGGTGGACCGAGTCTGGGCGCTCCGAACTTGGAACGGCCTGCTCTCGTTCATAGACTCGGTGTGGTCGCATATACAATATGATATAGTTTGTAATACGCAAAACTCGCAAGGATCGTCAGCACAGCTGACTATGCACAATGGTTCAGTTCCATAGGGCGTTGTACGGCGCCAGGACACGCAGGTTAATCGATAACGGACTCGACAGGGTTCACGAGGAGTCGGACCAATGTTTGTTGTCGACCACAGGCACTATGCTATGTGCGCATTCCGATTGTCATCGGATACAGCCAAAATACCCTGCTGTCGAGAGCTAGATCCGAACCGGAATCGTGTTCGGACCGTATATCCCTGCACTTGTTCGCCGCTCGAAGTTTCGAGCTTGCGTACATCAGCCAGGCCGGAGAGGCGTGCGAGCAGCAAGGTTTGCGTTGCCGCAGCGCGTCACGTTACGTCGGTATTCACAGGCCTCCGCCCTATGAGAACGAGGGCACTAACTCAAACGGTTTGCCTTTGGATCCGTCCTGCGGGGTGAGACTTCGGGAGGTGAAGAGAGTTTGACGATGGGGGTACTAACTCTTCTTCGCTTCTGGAAGTTGCGAACGAGCTGTGGCTGCGGCTTCCAATGCCTATTCCTGGTGCGATACGTTCGAAGGCAGGCGCAGGAGAGAGTACGTGTTATGCGGATGTATTGATATGTTGAATGCCACGTAGGCTGCGATGCGTATGTATAGTACAAGATGTCGTGCGGGAATAGCGAGGGGCACTGGGTGGGGTGGCGATAGCGATAGAGCAGGAGTACGAGTAAGACTAATGGATGCGGATGCTGCGATGCGTATGTACGGTACAACCGCCAGCGCGGTAGGGGCGTGGATGCGTGAAAGGTGAGAAGTGAAAGGAGATGCGATATAATACAGTATGCGTGCATGGAATCCGGTCGAAACAAAGAGAAAAGAGGAAGCAATACATAGCGACGGAACGGAGCCTGGCGTGCAGAGACAGGAATAGCATCGCGGGCAGAGAAAGCCAAACACCCAAGATAATAAAACATAACCCAGACAGAATCGTATCCCGTGCGATTGAGCGGGGGTGGAAGGGGGTGCTGCTAGTTAGAAGTATACCGGCACGTTCTTTCTGCGCATCGGGCCTGGGCGAGCCCTTGCCGCGCTCTCTGCGATCCAAGATTAGCACCATGCGAAAGCTCCCAGCGGAACGACCGATACGCACCTGTCGGCGCCCGCTTGATGTTCGCAGCAGCTGTCGTCGTCTTGTCCAGCTCCTGGATGAGGCTCGCCTTCGCGCCCGCGAGGAAGCCTTCGACGAAGTTAAAGTCCTTCTCGACCATCTTCTCCGTCACGCCGTACCCCTGGAGCTCCTCGAGGATCATCGTCCACCCGGGCTCGACGTTTGGCGTGCTCTCGACGCGACCCTGCGCGTCCAGCCCGACGTGCGCGACGTGCACGAACGAGCCGGGGTTCGGCCCGCTGATCATTGCGGGGGAGAGCTTGCGTGGCGTCCGCGGCGTACGCTCGACCTCCGGCTGGGGGAGGGAGACGGAGTACGCGGGAGGGGGAGAACACGATGCAGGAGGCGTCGCAAAGGAGACTGACTTCGGAGCCTGCGCTCGGGGCTTGGCTGGGCCGCGGCGTGCTGTGGGTGCGGGCGCGCGAGTTGGGAGAGAAGACGGGTTAGGAGATGAACGGAGGGCGCGTACGTGGTGGGACGGGTGCGTACCGATGATCTGGATGCGGCTCGTAATGCGCTTGCGAAACTTCTCGGCGTCCTCGTCTTCGTCGAAGCGGAGGCCAAACATCCTCGACTGTCGAAGGGCGAATGTTAGCACATGAAGAGCACGAAGGCTATGACGATAAGGGACGTACAGCGCCGGAGAAAGTGTGGAAGAAGGGCTTGTCGGCATGGTAGTCGAGCTCTTGGGGAAGTGGGTGGAACCAGACGATGCCTTTGCCAGTATTGAGGTCGATGAGCCGGAACCAGTAATTTTGTTCGAAGCTCGTCCCCTCGCCTGAACCTATCGGTCGGTCTGGGTAGGCAGTGATGCGATTGCGGCCAAACACGAGCATGCCTCGGAGGCCGGTCGAGGTCCACTCGTCGGAAGCGGCGCCAAAGGAAGCGTGGTAGATGCGAGCTGGCGCTACCGCGGTGACCTTGCAATCAGGCGGAATGTAGTCGAGGACGGAGCGTCTTTCATCGGAGGAGAGCGAGGAGATTGTCGCGGCGGGGGAAGTTGGGTGAGGGTAAGCCATGGTGATATCGTGCGGGGGTCGTCAGGTAGAGCAGTTGAATGAAGTAAAGGAGATAATACAGTAGAGGATGGGAGGGATGGAGGGGCTGGGAGGCGGATATTGGTGCATCTGTGGCAGATACGATGAGCTTTTAACTGCAAGAGGCAGATGGGAAGGATGTCAGTGACGGGGAGGGAGAGGTCGAGCGCTTCGAGAAGAAAGGAAGGGATGCATCGTGTTCTCCTCGTGTAGGTGTTACTAGGAGCAGGAGCAAACACTATCCCAGGTCTTGCGTAGACACGACGGAGGCGCTGCGGCCGTGCTGGCCGTGCCACCGATCGCGATCCTTTTCATGCGGGTGGATCATGTTCAGTGAATGGCGAGGCCGGATAGCACTGGCCCGGGAAGGAGCCGTCCTGGGACACTCGTTGAACTCGTGGTCCGACCATACTTGTTAAAGCCACAGTACGAGCATCACAAGATGCAGTGAACAGGCACAAATATGAGGCCACAGTGCCCACCAGAGTGGAGGCTAAAGATCGACGGTGACTAGAAAGACAGTCGAATCGAATCGGGGGCGCAGCAACATATGAGCTGCAGGAACGACTGACGACATGGCGCCGCCAGTTTACATACAGCGAAGAATCGCGATTGGAGAACCGGGCTTTGTAAAATGGATCGTCAGTGGAACCGATAGAGCAAAAGACCGATAGGCTAGGTCTGGACCCTGGCCACAGTGAAGGGTTTGGAGTTGCCTCCGCTCCATTGAGGCCTGCTTGGCCTTCCGATAAGCCATCTGGGTCTTCAAGCTTCACAGCCCGCTCCGAGGCGGAGGCGGAGATGCCAGCGGCATTCGACAAAGGGTCTTTCCAGATTACATCGAGGTAAGAAGCATGGCGATGAGCAGTCGCGGAGGCTCGAGAGTTTGGCGTGTTCGTGTCCTCGTACAACTTGAGAGATAGCCGAGCGTAGCTGCAGCAGCCAGATAGCATTGGCCTAAACCTGCGAATGGCGGGACGCTCGCATGGTCGCAGATGCGCGAGGCAGAGGGCGGGTGCTGCGTTGCGGGTCCGAGAATGAGATTCTCACCCTTCCCACGAGGCTTCTTGTTGTTGCCAGAATAGCCTCTTCAAACAGCAAACTGTTGCAGAGAAATACTGGTATTGAGGCCAAGCGACAAGACTCGCGCTGGGGTGGGAGGAGGGACTCCAGGGAGAGACGACTCCGAGTCCTACATAGTTCGAGCAGGCGCGTCCTCCAAGCTTATCTGATTAGATAACGATTCATTCAATCTGTGGCGCAAGTTGATCGCTCGACACCTGGGTTCGGTCCACGACATTCATCGGATTTCACAACATTTACCATCAGTAGTGGCTATGGCAAAAAAGGCATGTGCGAAGCTACAGGGACTTTCGACCATTTTTGACTTGATTGCAGAAGGGAAAAGGTTCAAAGGGCAAGGGTAGCGGTGGTCGCGATGATTCCGCGTGGGCACGCACTGATGTGATTGAACGGCAACACATGCACAACGAACGATTCGAAAAATATTACAAGGCGCAGAACATCCTTCCTGACGAGGAATGGGAGCCGTTCCTCAATGCTATGCGGGATCCATTGCCCACTACGTTCCGTGTAGCCGGTAGTCGCCAGCAAGTCTATCTGATCCTGCAGCTACACCTCATGCTCACAGGATGCTTATTGTAGGGCTGCGCGACTCCTGAACGATATCATCAAAGACGTTCATGTGCCTCACTTAGGTGATGTTGTCTTCGAAGGAGAGGCGGTGTCTCCGCCACAGCAAATACCTTGGTTTGTCCACATTAACGACACGCGACATAGTTCCTATTGTCTCTCAGACTTCATATCGATACAGGTATCCGGATGGACTGGCGTGGCAGTTCAACGTGGCGAAGAAGGTCCTGAGGAAATCTCCCGAGTTCAAGAAGTTCCATTCTTTTCTTGTCTTTGAGACGGAAGTCGTAGGTCGCTTGAAGCGCCTGGTCGTATCTGATGTCTCATTTATCCACCCATAGGGAAATGTCTCTCGACAGGAAGCGGTCAGCATGCTACCGCCCCTGTTCCTCGAAGTAGAGCCTCATCACAGAGTAAGTACATACCTATAGTACAACAGTGCATAACACCTGGTGCAGATGCCACTCTGATGTTCACGCGTCCATTGCGTTGGATGCTGGAACCCCTAAGTGCAGGACTCTCGGTCATTCATCGTCCTCATTGACCACATCTCCCACAGAAAGTGGCGGCAATAGCTTGAAACGGTTTTCATGTTCATGTCCATCTCAGCTTGCATTCTCATGATATCCTGAGATCCATCTCTTCGAGGAATGCCGGTGCGCAGGGCTAGGACTCGCATAGAGCGGTAGCGCGCGACACTTATACTGCTTTCTGTCTTCCGCCCGGCCTGTTGAATCCTGTTGACACGGACATTTCATCTTACATCGATTGTCTTTGCAGGCCATGGACATGTGCGCAGCGCCCGGTTCCAAGGTGTGCATTCGTGTTAAAGCATACCCTTTCACGCACGCCCTGATCACCCCAGAGACCGCGCAACTGCTCGAAGCCCTTCACGCGCACGACACGATCACCGCCTCTTCCATCCCGTCCGGGCTCCTCATTGCGAACGACTCGGACTACAAGCGCACGCACCTGCTCATCCACCAATCCGCGCGCCTGCCCTCGCCCGCGCTGATGGTCACGAACCTCGACGCGTCGATCTTCCCCGCGATCAAGATCCCGTCCGAGCTCACAACGTTCTCTGCCGACACCAAGGCCCGCGTCGCCGCGAAGAAGCAGTACCAGCTCCTTTTCGACAGGATCCTGTGTGATGTGCCGTGCAGCGGGGATGGGACGCTGAGGAAGAACCCTGGGATCTGGAAGCACTGGTCGCCGATGGACGGCAATGGGCTGCATAGGTACGTAGCGACCGTCCCGTCCTCCGATTTGACGCGCCTCTTCCTCGCCGCAGGGAAGCTCGTCTTGTGATGATGTCGGGGTATCGGGAGACTCGGGGTGCTGTACACTGACACTCTGTGTCGCTTAGCCTGCAGCTTCGGATCCTCCAGCGGGCCATGCGCATGCTGAAGAAGGGTGGGCGCATTGTCTACTCGACGTGCTCGCTCAACCCGGTCGAGAACGAGGCTGTGGTCGCCGCCGCGCTCAAGTCCATCCCAGGTGCGTTCGCTACACTCAACGATTACCTCACAAGAAGCATTGAGCGCTGATATTGGTATTCGGCATGTCGGAACGTCCTTGCGCTGCAGGTTTCGAGCTGGTGGACATGTCCAATCACCTGCCGGGGCTCATCCATCGCCCGGGTTTGACCTCGTGGAAGCCGACCGTGAGCAAGGAGATCAACACTGAGTTCGCGACGTACCAGGATTATGTACAGTCCCTGAACGACTCGCAGCGCGCCAGCAGCAAGGTGTTCGAGTCGCATTGGCCGCCTTCTGCTGAGGAGGCGGAGAACCTGGGACTCACTCGCTGGTGCGCGTTCCTGCGTCCTATGCGCTGCTGCTATGTCGCCTGATCGCGTACTTGCAGTCTCCGCATTTATCCTCATTTGCAGGATACGGGGGGCTTTTTCATCGCTATCCTACATAAGAAGCCTCCTGTTAGGGCACCTCCGGCACCTACGAAACGGACTGCGGATGCCGTTGAGGGGCTAGATACGGCCGATGCCAAGAAGCCCAAACTGGACACAGAGGCGGACGCTAAGGACGCTGAGGGACAACAAGCCGACGACGCAGACGAGGAACTCCCTGAGGAGGCGGCTGGTGAACCGACGTCCGCCATAGAGATTGATCAGCCTATCTCTGCCAATGCTGCACCAGCGGAGCCGAAGATCCGGTTCAAGAAAGGCAAGACGGCGGAGGGCGCCAGTGCGCACTTTAAGGAAAACCCGTACACGTTCATAGAACCAGATGACCCTATTGTCAAGGCGTGCATGTAGGCTTGATTCCATCCCGTCCTTTCACGCAGGTTCTCACAACGTTCTCTCAGCGACAGCTTCGACCTCAGCTCGGACTTCCCCTCCTCCAACATGCTCGTGCGCAATCCGGCAGGAGACACGGTTCGTTCGCTCTACATGGTGAACGACATCGTGAAGAGCATCGTGAAGCACAATGACTACGCGCGCATCCGACTCATGACTAGCGGCACCAAAGTATTCGGCAAGCAGGAGGGCACCGAGGCCAAGCGTGATGGTGTCGAATCGCACTTCCGCGTGCTCGCAGAGGGCCTTCCGGTTGTTCTCCCCTTCGTCGGGCCCAGGGCAGTCGTCCACGCCGACTTCGCGGCGCTCCGGGTTCTCATGGAGGCCTACTACCCGCTCACATCCGGCTTCGCAGACCCCTTCCGATCAACGATAGAGGCGAAAGGTGCGTGTGCTTATGCATCCCATAGCTTATCTGGCACGCAGCCCGTCCATGTCCGCGTCCCCTTCGTCCACGCGTTTACTGACCTGAGGCCCGGTCTAGCCAACGGAAGCTACGTCGTCCGCTTTCAGCCCGGCAAGTTAGAAGGCGCTACGTAAGTAACCGAGCACAGACCCTAAATCCTGTTCCTGGGGCTCACTCGTTGCTCGCTCGTGCTGACTCTGATCTGGAACGGAAGGCTCGCGCACGAACTGGTGTTGCCAATCTGGAAGTCGAACGTGTCTGTCACGCTCATGCTGGATAAGCGGGCGAAAAGGTAAGGGTGTGTCCGTTGCCGGCATCCTTCATCCCGTGCTCGAGACCTGGACCCAGAGCTCATTTCGGATGTCTCCTATAATAGCGCGTTGAGTCTGCGGATCTTCGGGGAAGACATTACTTCCGCCGCCCGGGATGCAGCCGCCAGAAGGATTCAAAAGAGTGAGGCAACCCCTGAGGTCGCCGTCGATGCATCGGTCCAGGAGGACGATAATGTGGACGCCTCGGACGTAGTTCCGGGTGTCGTTGATGAAGCATGATTGTGAACGCGTCGACTATCTCCATCGCGAGTCTAGTCTGACTGTATTCCCTAGATCAGTATCGGCGTAGAGAACAACTGATTATGTTGTACACCGGGCACAGGATGCTACATATAAGTGATGATCATAAAAGACAAAAGTCCTATAGCATTGGCGCGTGGAAGACGCGGGTGTTACAATACAGACAGTACGGCACGGTAAATAGCTAATCACAAGCACAACATGATCCTGATAGCAATATGACATTCGAAAGAGAAACAATGATCTAAGACGTCTCCGAAGGCTGTGGATGGAGCCGAGCGTTGACCTTGGAGCGGTGCTGACGATTTTTGAGATGGACCTCGAAGTTCTGGAGAGACTCTCCCGGCCCCGGTGTATAATGCTAGATGCAGGACGACGATGAGCGCTTTGTGGTGGAATTGAACAGATGAGAAAGGGCATACCTTGCCAGGACAGTCGGCGCACTTGATCCGGAACTCATATATGCCACTAGTTGCGTTCTTGCGAATGACGGCCTCGAAGTTGTCGTCCGGATACTTGGCTTGCATCGCCGCCATCGAGTCCGAAAGCCACTGAGGAGTCGCGAGCTGCAGGAGGAGCGAATCAGTTTCTGAATTGCGTGAAAACAGATTCGCCCACACCTACCGGTGGGTTTTGAGTGGGAGGCGCAGAGGGCGCAAGGCGGGGAGGGGAGGCTGCCGGAGGCGATACAACGCCTGTCGCATTAGTGGACTCCTGCTTGACCACCGGCTCTGGCGGCCCAGGAGGAGCCGACTTCGAGTGTGCCCCGTTCACTTTGATACGATGCGAAAGGGGCGGCTCGGATCCACTCGACGCCGTCGACACAGGAGAAACAGCCGTCTCTGGAAGCTCGGCAAGCACACCATCTGGAGCGGCGGAGGTTTCCTTGCCCGCCTTCGACTTTGGGGGCGCTGGAGCAGGGGTGTCCATGTCTTCATCATCTACGACCTGAGACTTGGCCTCCTCGACGACACTGGACTGCGGACGCTTCCGCTTGGAAGAGGACTTCTGCTGCTCTTCCGCGCGAATGAGGCCCATGTGGTACTCCAAACTCGAATTGTATGTAACAGGTCGTGGCCGTCGATGCCTGTGCCAATATTTGCCTGCACGTGTGAACTTGAGCATGGAGATATGGCTTGCAGTAGAAAGCAATACTCACCACACGTTCCACATTGTGACTTATCACCCAACGGACCTTTGCGACGTCCGACGGCGATGCTCTCGGGGCAACCACAGTTCGAGCAGTGCCACACCCCGTCGATCATGTTCGCATGCTGCCCATCAGCATACTCCTTCTCTTTGGCCTCCCGCTCAAGCTCCTTCGCGCGCTTGGCAGTGAGCATGACCTTCGACCCTTGCCTGTCAATGCCACTACTACTCGGAGCAGGGAGGTCGTTTTCTATTGGCGGCGGGAGGTGTGCAGAGTCTGCGGCAGTCGACGGCGTTGGAGCCTTGACATTCGCGCGAGGACGAAGGACGGTGGATGGATATGAGGGCGGCTTGAAGAGACCCTTGGCCTTTTTCTCCTTGGGAGGCGCAGGAGTGGCGACGGCGGCAGGTGCGATGGGCGTTATTGGGGTCTGCGGGAGTATTAGAGCACCGTCTCTGTCGTCTCTGTTCTCCGACGCGACCATGCTCGCGATAGTGAGCGACGCAGCCGCAGCAGCCGCGCGACGAGACGTCGGCGCCGCAGCCGCGGCAGCGAGAGCAAGAGCCGCAGGGGAGATCTCGGGGAAGCCAATGGCCGGGGTGCGGTAAGTCTTGGGAGGCTCGCGGTCTGGGAGCGCCACGCCACGCCTTCCACGAGTCGTCTTCCTCTTTCGACGTGCGAGCTCCTTCTCGCGGTCCTTCTCGTTCTTCTCCAGCTCGCTCTCACTAAGATAGTTGAGCTGCGGCGTGAACGCACTGACTTGCTCCATCGAGCGGGCGCCGGAGATAAGCGAAGGCAGGAGCGACATGCGAAGATCATCGTCTTGCACCGCAGAACCATCGGACGGGTGGCCCACGAGGAATAGCGATTTCTGATAGATCTGCACTTGCTCGCGGATAGAGTGCGCGATCGCCGTCCTTCGCGGAATGTAAGCGTCGAGAATCATCACGAGGAATGGCGCAAATCACTTACTTGAACTCGCCACCGAGGCCGAGATCTTTGCAGTAGATCTCAGCAAACTGCTCGGGCGTTGGATCGACGTTCTCGAGATCCCATTCGAACTGATCTTCAAGCTTGTACGAGCCGGCGATGATGTCCAGCTGTGGCAATACGCGAGGCAGTAGACTAAGATTAACCGACTATCCACCGCGGGACCGAAGATGGTGTACGCACCTTGACCAAGATACGCATTTCTTCATGCATCAGATTCTCGTCCTCTTCAAAGTCGTCGACCGTCATCGGGACGTCGCCACTAGGGGGTACTGCCGCAGTCGGCTGCTCGACTGTCTCGTCCTTAACGACCTTTCTCCGCTTGCGAGTGCGGGGGTCTGGCGGATTAGGCAGCTTGTACAGCGCTCTCGAACGGACGCGCTTCCGCCAGGCCTCCCACCACGCCGCCTCCGCTTCTGAAAACTTGCCGTGCATGATGTCCTCCGCTTCGTCAATCATGGCACCGTCTTCGCCGAATGTCGCCGAATGCGCCTTGTAGTCGCTGAGTTGCTCCTGGATGGACTTGGTGATGATGGCGTGGTAGCTTGGGGTGAGTTGGTAGTCATCCACGACGGACTGAGCGAAAACCTCCGGAGTGATGATTGGATCTATAGGATCGTTTTAGCAACACAACACGCATATAATCATAGAATACGCTTACCATTGAGGTTCCACACGAACGTATCGCGCATCTTGTGATGCTCGACGTCGAACTCGAGCCGGATAGGCACAAGCTGCTCCGGCCGCTGCGCGTCCTCGTCCGATATCCTCCTCGGCCTACAACGAAAGCGCCACGCCCCATCAGCTCCTTCCACACAAACCGCAATACCAGCGGACGAGAAGCGAAACCGAAGGAAGAAAACTCACAGCCTTAGCCCCTCCCTCTTCCCCATCCGCTTCTTGTCCTTCATCTCCCTCTCCTTCTGCGCCTTCAGCCCCGTCAGAGTCCACTTGTCCCCCCTCCGCCGCTTCAGCTGCTCCTCCCCGACGCCCCCCAGACTGAAGTCCTTCTCCCACCACGCGCGCGGCGCGCTCACCGTCTTCTTCATCTCCTCCTGTACCCGTTCCAGCATCTTCTTGCGCCGCACCTCGTAGTCCCTGTCCGCCTGCTGCCACGCCTGCACCCGCGCGATCTCCTCCGCGCTCAGCGGCGGGATCGCCTTCTCCGAGTCCGCGAGCGGCACGACCGACACCTGCGTCACCTTCTGCTCGAGCTGCACCGTCGCCGGGAGCGGCGGCAGCTGCGGCACGATCTGCGTCTTCGTCACCGTCACCGTCTGCTGCTGCTGCTGCTGCGCGGGGGAGACGGTCGGCGCGGGCGACGTGCCCGGCTTCACAACAACCGGCTTCGTCGGCGTCCCGCCAATCATCCCGGGCACATTCACGCCCGGCGAGCCGATCTGCTGGTAAGGCGACGCCGCGGCGGGAGGCAACGAGTTCTGTCTCGGGGTCTGCGGCGGGACGGGCCCGACCGCGCTCCCGCCGTCCAGCCCGCCCAAATTCAGGGAGGCACTCGGAGATCCAGCGCCGACGCCCGGTACGAGGTTCGCGTTCACGTTCTGCGCCTGGCCGGGCATCGTCGAGCGCAGGCCCATCCCGATGTTCATCCCGTCGCCCGCTTGCCCCTGGCGCGGGAGGACCGGGGGAGGCATCATCCCGCCTCCCGCCCCGCCCATCAACGACGACGCCGAAGAGTTCTGGCTGAGGCCCTGCTGCTGCGCGGGGCCGACGTTGCCCGTGATCCCCATGCCCGCGATCCCGGTCGCACTGTACGTGCGCGCCATCTGCGGCCCGGGCGTGCCCGCCCCCGCGAGGGGAATGTTCCCAGACGCAGGCGTCGACGTCCGGGCGGGCGCGGGGGTCTCCGACGCCTTGCGCTTCATGCCTACGTGCGGCGAGCCGGGCGCCTGCGCCCCGGCGGGGACGGGCGCAGGCGCGATGGGCATGTATCCGCCCTGCTGGGTCGGGGACGTCCTGGTCTGCTGCTGCTGCTGATGTTGCTGCTGAAGATGCTGTTGTTGCTGTTGCTGTTGCTGGTGCTGCTGTTGGTGCTGGCGCGGGGTCTGCGGGCGGGCGTGCCCAGTAGCGGTAGGCGGCCGGCTCGTGACCTTGTTGTGCTCGGGCGCGCCCATCGACTGGCCCGTCCCCGGGCGCTGCGGCACCCCGCCCGTGACGGACGCGGGCATCATGCCGTGGTGGACGGGCATGGGCGCGGCGGGGCCATCCTGCTGGGGTGCGCCCTGACCTTGGCCTTGGGACGCGCCTTGGCTCTGCGCCGTCCCGGGACGCGACCCTGCAGCGGTGCCCGGCCGCGGGCTCGGGCTCGGGAACGGCCCGCCAGGCGCGTACCCGTGCTGCTGCTGCTGCTGTTGTTGTTGTTGCTGCTGCTGCTGCATGTGCGCCTGCATGCCATGCGCGCTATGCTGGGACGCCGCGGTGGGCGGGCGGGGCGGGATCGACGACGGGGGGCCCATCGTGCCCATCTGCGGCTGGGGCGCGTGCGGCTGCTGTCCTTGTCCTTGTCCTTGCTGTCCGTGTCCTTGTACTTGTCCTTGGTGGCCTTGTCCCGGCTGGGGCGTCGACGGCGACTGGAGCTGGCCCTGCGACACGCGCGCGTGCGGGTAGCCGGAGGACGCGGAGGACGGCGGGCGCTGCTGGTGCTGGAGCATCTGCATCTGCTGGAGCTGCGCGGGGGTCATCCCCTGCATCCCTTGCATCCCCTGCATGCCGCCCATGTTCATGCCCATGTTCGCCGCGGCGTTCATCATGTTCATGTTCGCGGGGCTCATGCTCTGCATCCCCTGCATGCCCGCCATCTGCGCCTGTTGCTGCGCCTGCTGTTGCGCCGCCTGCTGCTGCATGATGCGCTGGATCTGGAGCGCCTTCACGCGCGGGTCCATCTGCTGGAGCTGCTGCATCTGCGCGGGGCTCAGCTGCGGGAAGCCCGGCGGGAGCCCCTGCGCGGCGTTCATGTTCATGCCCATGCCCATGCCCATGCTGAGGCCCATGTTGCCAGCGGACGCGTTGGGGTTGGGCGTCGGCGGCGACTGCTGGGGCATGCCGCCGTGCCCGGAGACGTTCGGGAGCTGCGCGGGGCCGCTGGTCGGGGACGTGAGCGAGCCGCCGCCTGCATCGCGCGGAGCGGTGTCGGTGTCGCAGCGGGACACGGAGAGAGGCCGAGAAGGAGGAGTTGCAAACAAAAGAGGAGAGAGGATGGTCGGCAGTCAGCACCGAACGCGAGCGGGAAAGCGACGCACCCATGCCCATACCGCCCATGTTCATCCCGCCCATGCCTCCCATGCCGCCCATGCCGCCCATACCTCCCATGTTGCCCATGCCACCCATGCCGCCCATCATGTGCATCCCGCCACCGCCGAGCGCGGCGGGGTTGATCCCGCCCATCCCGTTCATCCCGCCTCCTCCTCCTCCCCCACCACCACCCATCAGGTTCATCTGCTGCTGGAGCTGCGCGGGGCTCATGTTCATGCCTTGTCCGCCGCCGCCCATCCTCTGTGCCTGGGCCTGCGCTTGCGCCTGCATCTGCTGGTACTGCGCCAGCCGGCCGTTCATCCCGCCCATCCCGTTCATGAGCGCGGCGGGGTTCATCGTCGCTCCGCTGTTACCTCCTCCTCCTCCTCCTCCACCACCACCACCACCGCCGCCGCCGCCTTGCTGGAACATGGCGGGGTTCATGCCGCTGCCGCCAGTGGCGCGCATCGCCTGCATCTGCTGGATCTGCTGCGGGGAGAGGCCGTGCGGCTGGCCGCCGCCGTTCATGCCGCCGCCGCCCCCGGAGAGGAAGGCGGGGTTGATGCCCTGGGACATGTCCGCCTGGGGTGAATTCATCGTCTTCCCCGTTGTCGTCGTTCTTGTCGTCGTCTTCTTCGTGTAGCTGGAGACTAGAGTATCGTATGAGAGTGTGAAAGGAGATAAGAGAGAAGAGTCCGCGTGTGTTCGAGTGGGGCCGTCGCGGACGTCGTGGACGCGCCGGGATATATTAGTATATGCTACAGTCCGAGTGTCTTCTGCGATATCGAGCGTCAGCGATCGTCGTTCGGGCGAGGGTGGACTGCGAGGACGAGGAGGAAGCAGCCTCGAGCTGCGTCCATGAACGCGAGAAAGCTGGAGGCGGAGGGGATGGCGGGGACGGGGGCGGCAGTCTCCCGCGTGTCCCGCGCGACGGCGGACACAGCGCGCGCACCGCACACGCACGCTCGCGGAAACGGTCGGTTCGCCGTCGTATGCGACGCGTAGGGCCGGAAAGCGCAGCGGACGAGACGGTCCCGGCGCGCATTGGCGTGTGGGACGGCCCACGTAGAGGCGTACCAGGGACCAGAGGAGAGGACGGGGCTACTCACGACTTATGCGCCTACCAGATGGATGTGTCCTGCCACTTGAGCCCTGCGATGGATACGCCCACTTCCTGCAGCGAAATATAAGTGTCAGTGCGCGGTTTTAGAAGAGGGACGGAGCACGCGTCGATCTGAAGCCGACCACAGCGGGCGAGCGCTAGACAGAGGGGACGCCTCGTGTCGACGTCGAGCACGCTTCACACACGGCGGGAGGGGCAAAACATGGACTGGGGAGAAGGCGGACGGGACTCACGTCTGGGAGAGGGCGGGGTCACGTTATTTGGAGGAGATGTTGAGTGGCAGGGGCGCCTGGCAGAAGGGGCTTGTCAGGAGACGTGGGCGGGGCGGGGACGGGGACGGGGACGGGGACGGGGGCAGAGCACGTGTCGGGAAGACGGCTTACGGGTGGGGAGGGGATCAGGCGGGGGCTGGATGGACGGCCGATGAGGCTCAGGCGGGCACCCGACGTCGCCCTCGCAGCGGAGGGGCGGGAAAATGCGCGTGGGGCGCAGGATTAAAGCGACGGGAATAGGCTCTGGGCTGAGGAGGAGCAAGGCAGGAGCTGTGTCCGAGGCCGCCGTCCCAGTTATCGCGGTGGGTTGCGAATGCGAACGCAAATGCGAGTGCGAGTGCGCCCCTCCAATTGCCAGCCAGCGCAGGGTCAACACCCCCCCCAAAAGTCACACAGTCACGCCCCCACCACCCACGCGGCACCGCCCGGGCTGCCTCTTTCGGCCTGCGCATCGTCTGCCTCGTCGTCCTCGCATCTCGCGCGGTCGCGCGCGCGGGCAGAGGGCGGGATGAGGGCTACGTTACTCCCGGACGGACGGCGTATTTATACGGGCCCGTTGGAAGAGGATACCACGCCGCTTGTCTCGTCTCATCCCCCCCGCTCGTCCAGATCTAGATCGTAGATCTTCCGAGTCCTCTCTCCTCCAGAGCCCTTCCTGCCCCTTCCCGATCTACCCCCCTTCCCTTGCAGCCCAAGCCTCGCCCTGAAAGCCCATCCATGCCAATCGCCCGCGTGAGGCTGGGGAATGCAGCGCACGTAGGATTCAGCCCATGACGTCCGTGTCCAGTGCATTCCTTATGTGATCTCTCCTCAGCAGCCCATCATGTAACCGCCTGCCGTCGCACCCGCGCCCCGGCTGCCCATCTGCTACCCGTCCTCACGCCTACGTACAAGCAATCCGCCGACGTGCAATGCATGCCCGGCCAAGCCCCGCGCACTTCCATTCCAGCACGTCGCAGCACACCCCCGCGCGTGAGAGCCCCTTCCTCCCGAAGCCCCCCACCACAAAGCCTGGAACGCGAAGCGCGAACTCACCCTACGAGCGTGCGCTCTCCGGACACTCCGCCCTTCGCTGTTCCATTGTCCGCGCGCCGGTGAGTGCCTGTCCTGCACTCTCCGTGCAAGAAAAACGTCCGCACCGCGCTGGGCGCGCACAGACACTCGCTTCCTATGTGACTCGCATGCGCCAAGTACCCTGACATCACCTACACCATCGCAGGACACACGATCAGATCCCCCCCTGGCCCGGCGACCCAAGAGCGCGCCCGCGTGAGCACCTGGATGCGCTCCCCTTCTCCTATCGTCTCCTCTGCAGCGCACGACCCTCGACGCGCTTACGTCTTCGCCAGACTGCCTGCGATGGCCCCGCCGGCCTCTCCAGATCGATCTCTCACCTCACTTCCCCGTCGAGTCTTCCAGATGCCAACGCTCGCGTCCGAGATGACACCTCGGTCGCCCCCGGCGCCTCTATTGCCATACATGCAATTTCCCGACGCTTCCTTTTCACCGAGCTAGGCAAACCCGCAGTGATGCGTGCCTTCGTCCCCGCTCGCATCTCACCGCGCTGTCGTCTTCCTGCACACCCTGCCCAAAAGTCGCAGCGCGATACCCAGACCTGACATCGGTCGATGCTCGTTCCGAGGCCAGCACGCACGTCTGCAGCACTCTGGCTATAGCCTATAAGTACGCAGTCTGGGCGCTGATCACTAGAGCAGCTGTACAACTCGCGCGAGCCCCAGACGCAACAAGCCAGGAACGGATCATATAGGGTCCGGCCCCTCGCATCTCGTCACACGTACATGTGGGCCGTGGCCACCACCCAGCCTGCAGCGCGATACCATCGTACACGCAACCCACTCGGAACTCGCACTCGCACTCGCACTCGCGTTCGCCCTCGGACCCGGACCCGACGTCGGGCAGCTAGGCTTTGTGCGGCCGATCGCCTCGAGCTCCGGAACGTCCTTGCGCAAGGGCGGTCGCACGCCATCGAATCCGACGTGCTCGATAACGTACACGGCTGGCGCCTCCACTAGGCGTGTTCAGTTCTCGTCGCTCGCTCATTTCCGCGCGCGCCTACCGGGCGTCTGCCTACCTCGATTCAAGGTCAGATCGAGCGCCTGTACCACGGCGAGCAGAGAGGTGCGCACGGTATTGTCCTATGCTAGGTTTGTTATGCCCAGGAAACCTGTCCGGAGAGTGGCTGGAGACGTCGGGAGAGCGTTATAGACTTATTGACCGACAATAATCGTACAAATGCGCGCCCACATCGGAACCAGATTCGGCACGACATACAGTATGCGCTTTACCTGGGGTTGCCGCCTTAGGCCTGATGGCAATCGGACCCAGAACCTTGCGGGACGACTCCGCGTCTCGAGCCATGGAGCTCTCTATCTTTCGAATCGTTCAGCTTTCGCGTCGCTCCTCAGTCCCAGCTCGCGACCCTCATGCGGTCGTGTTGCACCCGCCGCCTGTGCACCTCTGCTCGCTGTGCTACAGGCGCTTGATCTGACCTTGAATCCAGGTAGGCAGACACCCGGTAGGCGCGCGAGGAAATGAGCGAGCGACAAGAGTTGAACACGCCTAACTGCGACAAGTAAAGGCGCAATTCTGTCAAGTACAGAATCGGTGGTTGTACAATGTCTCTCGGGGCTTGTCATTACATGTTTCATCGCAAGAGGTAGACGAACTCCACAGGAGGAGGACTCAGACCGCCGCTTCCGCTCACCGCGACGTCCACCCTCCTCTCAGGCTCGAGGGAGTGCTCGTCAGACCTTCTCCGCCGCGACCCCGAAGTCCTCCTTCGTCTCCCCCACCGACGCCTTCTCCTTCTCCGTGTCTGCGTCTTCGCGCACGTCGGCACCGGTGAGCTGCATCGCGTGCTGCGCGATCCGCTCCGCCGCGTCGTCCCCGTCGAACAGCGCCGCCGTCTCTTCGAGCGAGAGCCCCTTCGTCTCGACGACGAAGAGGTAGCAGTACGCGCCTTCGAACGCGAGCCAGCACACGTAGAATATCTGCGAGTGTCAGCACACATCGACGTCCATACATCAGCCATCCATTGGCGGGGTGGGCGGGAGAGGTCGAGGGAGAGTCGGCAGAGGGGGGAAAGTGGGGCACACGCACGTAGTACTTCCAGCCGAGCTTGTCGAGCGCGATCGGGTTCACGTACTGGTTGAAGACGAGCGCGAGCGAGATGGTGAAGTTGAAGACGTTGAAGCCCTTCGCGCGGACCGAGTACGGCAGGATCTCGACCGTGTACGACACGATGAGCGGGCTGAACGCGACTCTGCGCCCTTTGCGTTAGCATGCCGTGGGTTTGGAAGCGCACAGGGAAACGTGCGAAAGAGACAGGAGTGGAGAGAGGAGGAGCGGACTCACGAATAACAAGAGCCGAACAGGAAGATCATCGCGATCACGGTGTGGGACGCCGCCACGGACCCGCGCTGCGCGTAGATGGAGGAGCACACCGTCTGCAGCGTGAAGAAGAGTGTCATGCCCGCGACGGAGGAGAGGAAGAGGGCTCGACGGCCGAATCGCTCGACCGTGAAGGCGCCGAAGCTGGCCCAGAAGAAGCTCCACATTTGGAGGATGGCGTTAATGAGCAGCTGTAATTGCTTATGGTGAGCTCCCATTTCGAGGCACAGGCGCGGCGATGATGTGTTGGAAGGGAAACGAGGGGGAGAGGACGGACCTGGATGACGGAGCTTGTTATGCCTATGGTGTCGAAGACCCTGCTGAGGTAGTACGAGATGAGGCCTACAAGCTGACATCAGCTCGTCGGCCTGCGTCTCCAGCACATCGCATCCAAGGCCACAAAGGGAGGCGGCACGAACCGTTTCCGCTCCACTGGCTGAAGAACGCAAGGGCGATGATGATGCGCATGCGGCGCCTGTTCCCGGGTGTACTGAACAGTGACTTATATCCAACGTTTGCAGCAACTATAGGATATAGTCAACAACGTTACTGAGGAGTACACGTACGCTTGAAGGGTATGTTGGGACCGTACCTCTCCTATCGAAGTCAATAGCAGCCTTGATCTCCTCGTACTCATAAACAATGAGTGGGTCATTCCTGCACAGGAGATGTCAGAGAGCCCATGAGCGTCCGTGCAGGTAGAGGACATTTTCAGGCTCACTTGTTCCCATCCGCATGATAGTACGCCAACGTCTCGATCGCCTCGGCATCCCTGCCCTTACTGACCAGCCATCTCGGACTCTCCGGAGCGAAGAGTACAAGGCACGCTTGAATGATCGAAGGGAGGCCTTGCAAGAGTGAAGGAATACGCCAGGACCATGTTCCCGACATAAATTGCCTGGTACAACAGTGCAATACTCAGTTTCCAATAATAGGTAGAGCAGGCGAGGGAAGACGAACGTTCCGAAAGTTACCCATGCCGACCTAAGCAAGAAAGGAGAGTTCAGTGTTGGTACAGCGTGAGTCGCCGTAAACGGGAGCTTACACAATGGAACCCGCGATCCACAGTCCATTGTACATCGAAGTCAACGGGGCGCGGTATTGTGGGTACGATAGCTCTGTGACGAGCATAGGCGCGGCATTTGCTGGAAATTACATACAAGGGCAACTTGTGAGCGTTACCGCCTTTGGCAGTCATTCAGGGGAACATCGAACTAACAAGCGAATGTGAGACCGAATCCTATAAGGAACCTAAGCAAAAAGGCATCATCAGTACTAAAGCTTCGTTTCTGAAGACCAGGGAGAGGGTCATCATGCTAGTGCGAAGCGCTCACCTTGCGCCGATGAACATGCCGAAAGACTTAGCAGCGGTTTGGATCGCCACAGCGACACACATGATACATGCACCGAGCCAGACTGATTTGCGACGCCCGATCCCATCGGCAACGTACGGAGCGAAGGGATAACCTGCGAGAGAGCCTATGTTCTGAAGACGAAATCAACTGAAAAGCCGCAGACGGCGCGATAAAGCACCAATGAACACATCGTAACACAAACCTGGATGGCATTGAATAGCCCGAGCTTGCCTCCCTCAGGGTTCCCGAAAAAAGTGTTCCATTGTTTCTCAGATTCCAGCGCGTTCATCATACTGCCGTCGTACCCGTTCGTTGAGGATGTGATGAGACTGAATGCACGAGTATCTTGAGTCCAATGCGTCGGTGGACTCGGGAGCCAGCCATCGTAGGAATACAAGAAGGTAAGGAGAAAAGTACATACAGCAAAACAAGCCACGCGTTCAAAACGATGAGCCTGTTGAATAAGGATATTCAGCGAATGCGCCCGAGTTGCTGCGTGCGCACTAAGCAGAAGATCAATTGCCTCACCTTCGGTTGTTGTACCACTTTTTGTTAGGATCGAGAAGATGGCGATAACCCCCATCCTTGCCCGCGAGGTCGACAGTCGGACCCGTGCCCATGCTGTTCGCAAGTCAACGTATGCAATCTCCTGCTATGATAAATCCTTGGGAGACGTGCTCTGAGCCTGGGAGGCCGAAGACGATTGGACTCTGTTGAGAAAGAGGCCCACCGAAGGGAGGAACAGACACTGAGCATCGTTATTTGGAGTCTATATGAACTGCGGGGAAGGGACGCAGGACTATAATAGGTGAGGAGACGGTCTGCCGTCATAGTCAGAAGACTGGGACAGGTGACTGGAGAACTATAGACTTACCAAGTGACGGAAGACCTCGAAAGAGGATCCCAGTCAGCAACCGGAGTATTGAAGCATTCAGGACTCGAACGAAGACCGTATCGAGCCGGACCGTGTATATTGACACCGACCCTTCCACGGGCGATGGCGCACTAGTGCCAAAGCACCAATGTGGCTGAGGTCGGGGTGCGAACCTACAGGGAGCTGTGTCAAGAAGCATGCGGGAAAAGGTAGCTGCGTCAGCGCACAGACATACATGAAATCTTCAGGGGATAGCTTCATTCACTTTGCAATGTCCCAGGATCCGATGCTTCCAATTATGAAGTAGAAATACATCCGTGACTAGTCATTAGTATACTGTGAGAGCACATGCGACTCGGAGTAGCCAAATTGGACAAGGGGCAGCAGTGCGGCCGGTAAATGTCTTCTCACAAGAACCACCTAAACTCGGGCGCATTGGGTCCCTCGCGCAGCTTTTCGGTCGAGACGTCGACTGCTTTGCGCACGACTCCCTCGCGCCTATCTCTCCGCTTGTTGTCGACGATCATATACGTCCCTAGCAGGAGCGTGATCACTGCGCCTGTCCCGCCAAACGCGGCAGTCGTGATCAGCGCAGGGATGTACTTTGGTGCGTCTTTGTTCCGGAAGATGTTGGACGAGACGAGACCCATGAGGTTCGCAAGAGGCACGCCAAGCGAAGTAAGGGCGATGCGGCGGCCTTCGTGAGCAATGTTATTGTTGTACCACGTCGAGAGGAGGACCGAGGGCGCGGAGGTGCCCCAGCACATCATGAAAGTCGCAAAGTACGCTACATGGAGCTGTTCTTCGACGTCGATCGTTGCGTAGATGATGAAGCCGATGAATGTGAGGATGAAGCCGAGGGCAATAAACGGAAACCGAATCTTGGCGTAGTCGGACGAGAAGGCGAGAATGAGGAGGAAAGCGGCGCCAACGCAGTTTGGCGCGACGGTATAGAGGTTCGTTTTGATCGTGCTGTAGCCGAGGCGACCGACGATCTGCGGCATGAAGAGGGCAACGCTCTGGATGGGCACGCCCAAGCAGATTTCGATACCGAGCCAGGCATAGGCGGCAGGGAGGGCGAAGATCTTCACTGCGTCCTTCAGGACGAACGGCTCGTTGACGATGGACGAGGAGTCCTGTTGAATACGCTGGAACGCAATCTTACGCTCTTCATCGTTCAGGAACCAAGCCTCCGAGGCAGACTTGGGCAGATAGAAGAATGCGAACACCGAGACTTTGTGACCATGGGCATTGCGAGGTTGCATAAGTAGAGGAAACTTACAGATTACGGTGGCAGCGCCTTCGATCATAAACAAGTATCTCCATGCAGGGAGCTTCGAATCTTTGATGTCTGGTCTTTCTGATCAACTACGGGTATCACGGTTCGCAGTTGTGTAGTACTCACGGAAGACGCCAAACGCAAGAAGACCTGAGAAGGCGTTCGCGATATTCGACGCGGCATAGAAGATAGCTAAACGACGAGCGAGCTCTCCTCGGCGATAGAACGTCGTGAGGTAGTAGATGACCAGGGGGAAGAAACCTGACTCCGCCATTCCTGGGCAATGCATGAGATGGCGCCGCGACCAAGATCGCAACCAAACTGACCTAGAAACCACCTCACAGCCATCATCCCACCGAAGTTCGTCACCGCCGCGCTCAACAGTGTCATAGCTCCAAAGATGAACATGAGAATGGGCAGGACGCGGCTTGGCCCATATTGCTTGCCGATGAACGCGACCGGGGCGGAGAATATGACGTAGGGCACGAAGAAGACGGAGAGGATGGTGTTGTACTGGCCGTCCTTGAAGTGGAGGTCGGCCTCCATCCCGTTCGTCTTCGCGTTGCCGAGGTTGCCCTTGTCGAGCGCGTTCGCGAGGTACATGAGAGCGAGGATGGGCAGGATGCGGACGTCAAATTTGAGCACAAGTCGCTGCTCGTGCTCGAACGTCGGCAGGTGGTCCTGCTCGGGCTGTGCCTCGACTTCCCTGACGGAGGGCTTGAAATAGGAGCTGCGGGATGGCGACGTCTTGAGGTCGCTTGAGCTCATGGTGGCTGTCGTATGCTGGGTGGGGTCAACGGCGAGGAAGATAGGAAAGAAAGCTGCCTTCCGCGAGAGTAAAAGTCCAGAGCAGCAGTGACGTCCGAGCGGAGAGGCGTACTCGGGAGCGCCGCGAAATGTCCACAGGTTTGTTATACATATGGCTTCCCGCGCGAATGCGAGTTCTGCGCTAGACGTGGAGCGAGGATACGCGCCTACATCCGGCACATGGTACAGGTCTGATAGGCTGAACCAGTGCTAGTGGATGAAGTCCGACATCTACGGCATAGCGAAGTCAGAGATCCTGGCCATGGGAACAACCGGCTACGCCTTACCTTCCGCGTGGAAAGATACGGTACCGGGCGCCGTACCTGCCAAGGAGCTATGAAGCGGCGGGGAAGGAGTTGAGGACACGAGGGGATATGTCGCCGGTGGGGAGCCTCCCGGCGGACCGCCTCTGAGTGCATTTCTTGGGTACAGCTGGACAACAACGTTCCATACGATCTGGAATCTTGATTGTAAAGACGTTTTTGACGCTTGCTGGTCAGATGACGTGATTGCAGTCCGAATCTCGAAACCCCCAGGTGATCAGCCAATCGTCCACAGTTTATACACGTCCGGCATTTACTTGAGGAGGTGTCTTGAAACAAGCCATGAGCCGTCAGCCCGAATGTCCGTGTCAATAGTGAACAGCGAGATCCAATGCCGTCCTTGATAGTCAAAGATAAGCACAGCGATGTTAGCGCTCCAGAAAATTGGCAAAGATACGAGATGATAGGAGGTAGAGCGAGTCAATGGTTGGTGAGAAAAACGAGAGGCAATATCGAACTTCCTCGGCAGGTGATTCGAGTTGTTGACTTATCTCCCGAGGTTAGCCAGCTTATCGGACTCACCACGTGATTGGACGGGGTTTTGCAGACGGTGTCTTCGGACTTGCAGAGGAATGGAGGCATGGGCATGAAACTGACTCAAATGTTTCTCCGAGGGGTAAGAGACAAAATTCGAAGTTCAGCTCCTCGCGCGGCAGTGCTACAAACATCAACTGAACCTGGCGAAGGCGCATCTTCCGATGCTTACCGGCCCTACTACTCTCATCGATCTGGAGAGGAAGATCGTCAGATACTGGCGGTCAGAACCAAAACACGTCCTCACCCAAGGAAGTTTGGCCCTGAGACCGTAAGGTCGAAGGCCGCGCCTGCTTCAGACAAGTCGAAGTGAGCATTCCGACCGCCACCTGTCGTTAGCACGGCCATGAACCGACTAGCGAGCGCCAGTGCTGGATCTGAGGCGCCGTGGCCGAACGATAACCTTTGCGTGACACGCGGACTCCGATGAAGGGGTGACGGCATGGAGTGGACGAGTTTCGACAAGTAGAGCCTAGTATACAACAGAATGGTGGCACAGACATATGCTATGGATACAGTGTTCATGATGGGAGTCCATTCCAGTAGTATAGCACAGCACCCTATGGGCGTCCAGGTTAACAATCACGAACCAGACGTAAGTCAGCAGTGGAGACGATACTTGCCGTGCTGTTATCTTTTTTCACAATCTTCCGATTCACTAGTGCAATGAGACACTTGTTCACCCGGGCCTGGTTCAAGTCTGGCGGCTTGACGAACGCTACAACTGCAGAGATAGCGGTTCAGGTTGCTGAGAAGCAGCGAAGGAGAGCGGCACGTACTGTTGAATGATTCCCCTGGATTGTCGAGAAACTTCTCAATCACTTGCTCGATATATCTCCTCAAATTCGGGTCGTCGCCTCTGAACTCGAGCGGTAACGCCGCGAGGATCCGCTCGATCTCCAGGCCGCGCTCGCGCTTCTCCTTCGCGGTCATTTTCGGCTTCGTGCCTTTCTTCTTCACGACTCCTGGCTTGGCAGCACTCTTGTTGGTACCACCAGTCCCAGCTGTTATGTTTGCTTCTGTGGGACACTCCGAAGGCGACATGGCAGATCGCTCGGTGGTCATTGTTCGTTCTGGTGGTGTTGGAGGACGTCGGGCCGCCGCCTCTGCAGCTCGGATGGCTTCCAGGGCAGCCTGCGCATCTTCCTCTGATGGACATTGCCGTCACTAGAACTTCTATAGCGCATATACAGAATGAGGATACCTGCTCGCCGTGCAGCTAATACAAAGGACGCGTCTATCGGTGCCTACGAAGCCACGCCCCTTAAGTCAACGAGAAGGTTCGATACTGATCCAAGCGCACCTGCGGCCAGTCGATTGTCAACGCGTTCATGTTCATGACATATAGCCAGCTCGCAAAGCTTTCATTAAACGTCTCCAGTGCGTTATCCAGGTTCTTGAGCCCCTCTACGTTGGTTTGGAGCGCTTCCGCCTCGTCGATGAGTTCAGCAAGCGCGGGTTCGAGGAAGCCGAGGCCATGTGGCGCGTCCGGGTAGGCTTCAGAGCGCGAGAGACGGAAGAGTGAGCCTTGAGAGAGGCGACGAAGAGGCGTGTGTGGGGGGTTTGGAGGCATGACGAACGTCGTTGATGATCGCGAGGACAGACGCGAAATAGACGCCTATCAGACGCGTCGGTGGCAGACGTTTGTGGCTGTAGAGCGCGTCTTGTCCTCCATCCACATCCTGTTTCTAGCTTTGCTCCTTTGAATTCCTCTCTGCAAGTGCTTGAAAAATGAACGAGCTCAACGACCCCTCGAAGGTGAGCTTTCTGTACTGGTCGCGTCGAGGACATTCGAGTCTGACTGTTACCTAGACTTGCATATATATTCCTCCTGGGCGACCAGGTACGCACATGTCATGAGTCAGATCGCTTCATCTCCGAATAAACTTGCAAAAAGAGCCAGAGAACCGAGAAGCATCAGCGCTGGCAGATGATGCCGGGGAGGATGAAGGATATGACCTGCAGATACGAGCCTACAAGGCTGCGTGGACGAGATGTTTGGACCGCGTCCGGGCGAGTACATCAATCACCTGCTTTCCTCAAACATTCTGACAACGCTACTTTCTTAGAATATACTCAAGGCGCTGCATGTTCCAATTGTCAATGACATCACTGAGCAGGTCAGAAACGCGTACGCTGATGTCCTCCCCGGTTTGCCTTGCCCTGAATTGCCTGTGGTGGCATTAGCAGGTACGTCCATACTCGACTATCATATGCCACTGCGACATGACGCTCAATGTCCCTGAAGGCGCAAATTCTGCCTTGCTCTCAGAAGTGATGGACGCGCTGAACGAGGACGTAGACGAAGATGTCATTTATACCTCACAAGTCCACTTGTATCCGGCCGAATGTTCTAGTGTGATGAACATGATGAAGGTGGTTGTCACGGGCTTCGTTGATCGTAGAGGTAGGTTCTCTTTAATTTCAGCTTACAGTATCTTAAGCCGTACCAATAGACAGCGGAAAGCGCAAGCCGACATCTCTCGCGAGCTTTGACATCAATTTACTACGCACATGGTATGACGCACAAGACGCTAAACCCCGTCTAACCGTGTTTCTACACGAATTCGAAAAGTTCGACACTAGTGTCGTCCAAGATGTATTTTACATCTGCAGGCAGGTTGCTCCCTAGTCGTGGGCCAGAGCCGACTCATGACCCCAACCCCTCAGTATGCATATACCTCATCTGCCATTAGTGTTCGTGTTGGTAATGAGCTCGCCGCCCTCGCCTTCGTTCCTGCAATCCGCCTATCCACGCTCGACCCTCGCGCTGCTTCGAGTACATCATGTCGCTTCACCCGCAGGCCTCATGATGGTCAAAGAGGTCCTCACAAAGGTGCGCTCGTCATACAACTCTGCGTATCGAGCACAGCTAAATATCGAGCGTCCTGACCAGACATTCTTCGACCCTGATTTCGAGCCAGACATCATGCTCGGCCCCGGCGCGCTCGAGCACATCATTGACTTCGCGTCCAGGCACACCGCGTCCCCCGACGCACTCGTTACCATGCTCCAGCTCGCGCACCTCAAGCATTTCTCTTCCAATCCGCTCAGTACGCTTGTGCACGACGAGCTCCTCGGCACGACCCTGCACCGCGCCGGACGCACACTGACGTCTTCGGCTGGGCTCGCGCTCCTTGTCGATGCGCTGCATGCGCGTTTGCTCGCTGCGTCAGAGTCACGACCGCAGTCGCAGAGGAACGGAGATGCACGGCCGCAGACTGCGGATGAGTTGTTGGCTGCTGTGTCCGGCGCACGGACGGTGTTCCTCACGCAGGCGAGGCGTCTGCGTGTCGCGTTCGCTGTTGCGCGGATTGCGGAGTGCGTCGCGCTGGGCGAGGCACCGCAGGGGGTGCCCAGTGGGAAGAGCGCAGAGGGGCGTGGGATGAGGCTTGACAGCATGGAGATGCTGAGCTCGCTTCTGCGGGGACGCGGGAGCTCGCAAGTCCGATACGTGTGCATGGCTGTTAGGTGCGTTTGCCAGTCCGAACAGCCCTGTGCGTCTCGTTCAAGGATAGAACAGAAAACTGTCCGCGACCAAGTTGCGCGCGCTCCTTGAGGCGCTGCATTCGTTTTGGTATGACATGGAGAGCGCGACAGTCCGGAGAGACGAAGAGGACGCGCGCATATGGATCGTCGAGACGCTGAACCAGCTTCCCGCCGAATCCGAGGACCCGCGGGAGGACGATCTCCCGGTACCGCAAGACGCTCAAACGAAGCGGCTTGCGGGTAGCGTCGGCGATTGGCTGCAGGAATACATCGAGTAAGTCCTCAACATGCGTTTCATGATGTCCATGGCTCTAAACCTATATCGCGACCATTCTGAAAGACAACGACTCGTCCGACTCGAAGACCGCGCGCTCTGGGATATCTGGTACACGGGCGCGACGCCCTTCCCCTCCGAGCTCATTAACCCTGCCCCGCGCCCAACTGTCGTCCATGCGCTCCTGCATCCACATGACTTCATTCGCTCGTACGAGGAACTCACGCGCGCAAGCGGCGATGGGGAGCACGTGTTCGGTGCACCAGAGGAACAGAACGAGCCTGCGCTCTGGGAGCTACCCGATACGAGCATCGCGTTCAGACGGTACGTCGAGGCGGGGCGGATGGTGAACGTGTTTGATTGGTTCGAATCGTTCGCCGTCGTCCTCGAGAGCCAGTACAAGCACCTCAAGCGGGGGAAAGATATGCAGGAGGACGAGAATATGGATGCTGGGGTGGACGAGGACGCGGATGTAGACATGGACGAAGAGGAAGAGGAGCAATGGAAGGTTGAGGTGCAGGCGCGCTTCATGCGCGCGCTACATGAGCTCGACTATATGGGCTTCGTGAGGCACACGGGCAGGAAGCCTGATCATGTCATCCGGACCATCTACGACGTTCCGGACTGATGTTTTAGAAGGGTATAGCTGCTGATAGTTCACGTGCGGTGAGTACCGAAGCCTGGTATGAACTCCGTTGTTGTTCATGGCCTCGGTCTCACTGAGATTTTTGCAGCTCTTGTTGCAGCACTTCGCACTAACCAAACCAGATCATTATCTTCAGCTTGTTTCTTGTTGAGTCGGCCAGCTCAACGCATGCGCGTGCTTCTCTCAAGTAGTACAGAGCAATCAGTGTGAACGCACCATGCTATGTAGGTGAAAAACCATCAAGGCAGAATCGTTCAGAAACTTCGAGAAAACCTCATAGTTTCTGGTTCCATGAGCCCCTCGAACTTAACCTGCAGAATCTGTGGTTGACTTCAGTACCGGGGGCGAGCTCTTCTGCTCAGTATAAACAAGCGCGCCGTAGATTGGAGCGGATCGGGAACACGGTCCGCACCGGATGGTCTCGGGAAGATTACGTCTAAACTGAGTTTGCAAACGACTTCTGGGTTGCTTTGTCCGCAGCTAGCCTCGGAGCAGCTTTTGGGCCATTCATCATCTCACATTAACTCGATCTCAACAGGGCGACTAAGGCCCAACTGATTTAGCGACTGGGACTCATAAATCACAATCCAAAAGACTGAGGGGTTTACGGACGATCACTGTTAGGCCCGAACGCTGAGTCGTTTGGGCTGGGGTATATCTCATCAGTTGCAGATACTATCCACATCGTTCTGCGTCAAGAAAGGTAACGAAGCTTTGATGTATCATGGACGCAACTTAAGCTCTGGCTGCCTGGAGTAGCGCTAAACATCCCACCTGTCTTACAGATTAGTTGATCCCTCCAGAGCAAGTGTGTCATCAACTCTCACCAACCATGGATATCGAAGCGTTAGTACTGTCGATGTTTCTAGCTGCACAGTCTAATGAGCTTTGTGGATGTCATCATTCAGTTTCCGCAAGGCCGGCTACCAGGCCATTGACAGGATCTGTGACTACTATGCATCCATGCACGAACGCCCCGTGGTATCTCAGGTTAAACCAGGGTACCTCATCGAGACACTCCCAGGTCAGTCACAAAGAAGTGCAGTACTAACATTATCTAATGCTGTCACAGAGAACCCACCTGAGCACGGGGAGCAGTTCGACGCAATTGCCGACGATTTTCAGAAACTAATCCTGCCAGGTCAGTAGGCATATTTGTTCTCTTCTTGCTATTGGTTCTGACCAGTACATCGCAGGAATAACACACTGGCAGCATCCGAACTTCTTCGCCTACTTCCCGACGGCGAATACGTTTGAAGGCCTACTCGGTGATCTTTACTCTTCTAGCGTCGCGAATCCTACATTCAGTGTAAGCTAATATCTCCCTTTGTTTGAGGAATGAGAATATTAACGAACAGCAGTGGCTTGCTAGCCCCGCGTGCACCGAGCTTGAGCAAGTGGTCATGGATTGGGCTGCGAAGCTCTTCGGCTTGGGAGACCAATTTTTGTGCAAGTCGAAGGTTGGCGGTGGTGTTATCCAGGTAAGCCTTCCAAAACTGATTCACCTAGCTCTCCCATATATCTGACTTATCTTGCTGACCTCAATAGACGACCGCGTCTGAGGGTGCTATTGCTGTCTGCGTCGCTGCACGCACCCGGTATCAGAAACTTCATCCGGACGCTAAACTCGAGGATCTCGTTATCTACACTAGCACACAGACCCACTCGCTGGGTACGAAGGCAGGGCTCGTCCTCGGGCTAGAGGTGCGTGCGTTAGAGGTCAAGGCGGAGGATGAATACGCCCTCCGCGGCAGCACTTTGAAGGAAGCCCTGGAAGCCGACTTGGCACGCGGGAAACGGCCGTTCGTTGTCAGTAAGTTATGTTCATCGAATAACGCGTGAAGAACATTACTCATCATCCAACCGTAGTTGCTACTGTGGGTACCACTAGCTCAGGCGCGGTCGATGAACTAGACGAGATCGGGGAAGTTCGTAAGTGCGCATCGATGACGTTAGGTTGGATGCCGGCTGAGACTCTATATACACAGTGAAGGACTATCCGTCGATATGGTACCACGTCGATGCCGCGTGGGCGGGTGTCGCCTTCGCTTGCCCTGAGTTTCGTTCTGCGGGCAAACTACACGCCGTCAACAAATACGTCCATTCATTCTGCACGAATTTTCATAAGGCCAGTGGCTCACATTCCCCACGACGCACTTGGAACCCTGACTTCTTGCACAGTGGGGGCTTGTCAATTTCGACGCTTCAGCCCTCTGGGTGACTGACCGGAACTACCTGACCGATGCACTCGACGTCACTCCCGAGTTTCTGCGAACGAAGCAGCATGACGCTGGTACTTGGTACTATGCTCCGCATCACATGGAGGTCATTGACATTGTTCTTGCAACAGGCCTTGTCGTGGACTACCGCAATTGGCACCTTGGTCTCGGCCGCCGCTTCCGTTCTCTAAAGGTCTGGTTCGTTCTCCGCAGTTACGGCATAGAAGGGTTTCAGAGACACATCCGCAAGGTAAGCCTTGTTCGTTTGCCCCGTCCCTCAAGCCTAATAGTTTCTTCAACACGTCGCGTAGGGAATCGAACAGAACGCGTACTTTGCCTCCCTCGTCTGCGCCTCGTCCGAATTTGAGCTCATGACGAAGCCTTACCTCGGACTCTCTGTATTCCGCCTTAAGGCCCCTGAGTCTGTCACCGCTCAGGGTCTAGCGGCCACGAACGACCTCAATCGTGCGCTGTACTCGCGATTGATGGAGGACAGTGATAAGCTGTACATCACGCAGACATTGCTTAACGGGGTGATCTGCTTGCGATTTGCTATTGGGGCACAGAGGACCGAGATAGAACATATTGATCGAGCGTGGAAAGTCATCAAAACGAGCGCACAGGCGATTGTGCAGGCTCTCTAGCGTAAAAGAGTCAAAGATAGACGAGGAATACTCAGGGCTTGTGGATATGTACTTTAAATCGCTCCAGTTCAAACATGCTAAAGGTTTCCTGACCTTGCCACAAAGGAGTAACGGAGGACCCCAGGCGCGGTGCATGTCGCTGTTGCCAATCTGACTTGACTTGGCAAGGTCGAAGAGCTCGTTTTTACAGTACTGCTTTGCAAAAAAGATTGCAGACCGAAGCGCGCGATTTTTGCTTGTCCCTGTTTTGTCCCCCGTCGGGTACGGTGAGAATTCCTGTTTCGGACACCGGGGCGCTCACAAGGGCTCCGTTCGACAAGACCGTGCTTGAGTCTGAGCCCCGTGTTCTGCTGCCAAAATGCACAACCATGTTCTTTGCCTCCACAATACAACTTTCCGAGTACTTCCGGTAGGTTTGCAGCTGAATCATTGACCATGCTGCAAAGAGGCTTCCGGTATCGCAGGCGTTTCCCCGGGTGGCCAAACAGGACCAAACCCCGGATTTCGCGCGCTTCGGTCTGCAATCTTTTTTGCAAAGCACTGTAATGAGAGCAAAGTTGAGTTGAGTTGACTACGCTTCATCGTATCTTAGGTATAAATGTAAACACCTCGCTAACACATGTGCACTAAGAGCAGGACGTTAGCCAGGCTAGCACTCCGACACTGCGAGACAGGTTACGAGAAACCGATATTTCAGAGCGTCCGTCCGAGAAGATATGCAGTGAATCAGAGCGCTCCGGATTGATCCGCGATCCCCGCCTCCGCGATAATCGCCCTGAACAGGTCTTCGGAAGATTGCTCATGTCGTCTTCCGACACCCTCAGGCCTGTGTGTGCTGCACTTTTATACAGTCACCGTGGGCATATCACGATGGTTCGACCCTACAGTATGCTAAAATAAAGGAAATAATTGTTTAAATGAGATTCACTTGCAGTCACCTGAGATATGGGAGAACCGTACGGACTGATTTCTGGCTGGTCAAGGATCGGTCAATCACAGATGAACTGTTCAGAATGTTTCGTCAGAGACCTGGTGTATATCCATGCAGAAATCATTCAGAGTGCGGAGGGTATAGTGAATGGTTGATTCGTAGGTGATCTCCGATTAAATATCTCGCATGGTTGAAAGATCTGTGATAGGATGGTATTTATCTAGTAAGCCAAAATCCGATAGCATTGAGCTCCCATTGTATTGAAACCTTTGAACCATGTGAAAGATTAAATCGGAGTTCATTTGCGAATCAACCATCACTATACCCTCCGCATTCTGAATGATTTCCGCATGAATATACACCAGGTCTGTAATAAAACATTCTGAACAGTTCATCCGTGATTCACTGAGCTTCAAACAAGCAGTCACTAGTCCGCATATTTCTACCAGATCTCAAGTTACTTCAGGCGGAGTTCATTTAGACAATGATTCACATGGTTTTAGCGTATCGAAGGGTCAAACCATCGTGATATGCCCACGGTGACTCCGAGGTACCATTGACCCAGCGCTGATACTCATAGGCCTATGTATCACTAACTCAACATATTGCCGTATTCACGGCATTGCTTCATGTTTCAGGAATCATCTTTGATGATCGACGTCTGTTCATTCCGTGGCACTGGTCTCTCGAACTGCAACTGCAGCCCAATCACGGAACTGGCGCCTCCCTCATTCCGCAGGGGAATGGCTACGTGCCAGGAACTGCACACCGTTCCATACGGCGAGCCACCAAATGGGCTTACTCTAGGTCGATCGAATGCTTCTAATCGGCCATTACACTGTGATAGCCCCTCGGAAACATCTTTCCGCGTGTGTGTGTAAAGACGTCCATCCATTCGTCAGAACGGACACACGTACGCTGCACAGGGAGCACCGATAGCACGGTTCAAAGGCCTGAGACTCTCCAAATTGCTGACTATCCCGTATTGTCCAGCTTTACCAACATGTGTTTCAGGTACTAGGAACCGAGATAGCCAATCACCGGTCGTCTCCGAAGGAAGGTGAGCTTGTAGTGTGCGTTAGAATCTAATGGATGTTTTCGTCAGGTATTTGTCCTATCAGAACGTGGAGCGCTAGGGCGATTTCCAGGGGTCATAGTGCTGGTGAGTAGAACAGGAGGATTGCGAGAACGTGTTCACGGCTGAAACCAGAATCGAAGTTGGCGTCTAGCAGTTGCTGCCCTGGTTTGCGTCCAAGCTTGCATTTCATGCCAGGTGGTGTCGTCCTGGGCGGCTTTTGATACCCATATTGGTGATATGGGTGTACGATTGCAAATAACAGACTGGTAACAGTAACAGGTGAAAGGTGCTAGAGAAGAATGAGTCGATTGATGTAGCGTTCTCACCTTGCCGGCGACACACAAGGTAGCCCTCTTCATCTCTTCCGGAGATTTGCTAACGCAAGCGGGCGTACAAACCAATCTTGCGATCGACGTCGTCACGCAAAACCAGGCTCGCTACAAACCAACTCAGTCCGTAGCGCCTCGACGGAGACCACATGACCGGGCGATCAATGCACTTAACTCGGAGTCGACTTCTCCCACCACAAGCTTACGGCGGCCTGAAGTATTTACGTACCTGGCAGGAAGCTTCAATTCTAATGCGAGAGGCGGCATTCGATGTCGCCTGCGTATACTTATATTAGAGCAGATCATGTCCGCTCGCTGCCCGTCGACGTTCTGTCCCGGGCACCACGACGCCCGAGCATCCCCTCCTCGACTCCCACCTTTCTCCTCCGAGCATCCCCTCAGCTCACGATGACTCTCGATGACCAGACGCTCCCCTCGCGCCCGGGCTCGATCCGCGAAGAAGACGTGAAGCTCGAAGAGGGCCATGCCGTGCGGGAGTCCGCACTCTCGGAAGGCACCTTCCACCAGTCGCAGGTGGTGGGCAAGGCCATCCGCAAGCACTTCTTCTGCCCACCTGACGCGACGCTCGCCGATGCTGTCAATCGTGACGCCGATAACGTCGAGTTCACAGATGCTGAGGAGGTATGATCGCTACGGGCAGCCTTTTGCAATTGGCCGCTCGGTCGTCCCCCACTCACTTGCTTCCGGTTTGGTACAGAAAGCCGTGAGGCGCAAAATTGATCGGAGGGTGCTCACTCTCGTTGTAAGCAGGTCAGTTATGAATGTCGTTTCTTATCTGTGACAGCGCTGCACTTACCGGTCGCGGTGATCTTGACAGTTACATCCGTGCGTATTTTGCATTGGTGTAATTGCGGGGCGCTTAGGACGTGGCTCATGACTCGAGAATATGACGCGATCCGCAGTCAACCAATTCGGTACGTGCTTCGCAGATAAGTACATCCCTGAGATGATATTGACTACCTGCAATCTGGCTTGCCGCAGATCGTACAAACATGTCCGTTGCGAGCCATACGCCTCCTAACGACATCGTATCCTGACGTTCGTTGAATCTCCAGTGGGAATGCACATGTTCTCAAAGCATTCAACGACAACTTCGGCATCACTAACAACAATCAATGGACATTGGCGCTGAGTATCTTCTACGTCGGATACTGTTCGGATGACACGCCTTGCAGCGACGCATTCAGTGCTAACATGCCTTCCATAGGTCTTCTTGAGATGCCGGCAAATGGTCCGTGGCCTTGCCATTGTTGAAACTCGCTGTACTATACTATTATGTTGTCCTTGTTATCTAGTCCTCCAAAGGTACATAGGTGCGAATCGATTGTGCGTATGCGTCCCTTCGTGCATCTGTCGATGAGACCAAGAAGCTGACACAGGCACACCCAGCCTCTTCCTGTCCTTGACGTGGTGGGGCCTTGCCTCCGTTTCGTTCGTCTACGCGAAAGGTTATGGGGGTCTACTTGCGCTGCGGTGCGCCGTTTTCTCTTTCAACGTAGCCACTATGCGCTGAGCCTTGCGGCCTCTATAGGGTGTTGTTGGGCATCGGCGAAGCGGGCTATTACGCAGGAATGATCTACTACCTGTCGTTCTGGTACAAGAGGTAGGCGATGCCATTTACCTTGTCGCGTCATCCTTTCTGACACTTCCCTTCTGACATTGCCGTCGCTGTTAGATCGGAGCTAGCCCTGCGAATCAGGTACGTCGGGCTCTTTGGCCGCGTTCATCGGGCAACCACCGGGAAAAGCTAACGCGGGGGTGGAATAGTCTATGCATGACCGGAACCCTACCTGGAGCCATTGGTGTGCGTTGTATAGTACTCATCGCGGTCCCGGTGGCTCACCGCCAATGTGGATGGTAGGGTCTGCTCGCTTTCGGGATTGTGCGAATCTAGACGAAGGTGTTGGTTGGGTACGTCTACATAAGCGTTCATCTGCTTCGCTCTCGGAGCTCATTTATCACGTCTACCGCAGATGGCAACTTCTCTTCCTCGTAAGCCACAATAGACTACAAGTCGTCTCCACTTCGTACTCACCATGGCATGACGGGCAGGTCGAGGCTATTCCCACTATATTCATGGCGATTGTCACCTTGCTATTCCTGCCCTCCTTCCCATTCTCATCATCGTTCTTGACGCCCCGGGAGAAAGCCATCGCCCAAGCGCGCCTCAACCGTGACCACCGCCCCAAATCGCATGGTGGCATGACGGGCTGGGAAGGGTTCAAGGCGGTAGTAAACGACATCCACGCATGGTTGCTCATGTTCATGTATGCCAGCTGTGAGTAGCCTATACCATCAGAACAGAATCGCTAAGCACCCGGTGGATTCCATAGTCAACGTCGGCGCCACCTCGATCGTGTACTTTTTGCCCACGGTACGTCTCTCTTCGTCGCTGCGTGCGCCGTGCCATCTCCTGCATCGGCTCACGGGCGCATCCCAGCTCATCAACGAACTTGGGTTCTCCCCGCTCGCCTCGCAAGGCCTCACCGTCGCCCCCTACGTGGTAGGCTGGCTCATGGTCGTCTTTCAGGCCTGGCACTCGGACAAGACGCGCGACCGTGGCTACCACATCATGCTCTCCACCGCCGTGTCGTGCATAGGCTACATCGTCCTCGCCGTGCTCGCGACGAGGGGCAGCGGCTCGAACATGATCGGGGGACGCTACTTCGCGCTGTTCCTCGTCGTGGGCGGGAACTACAGTCTATTCCCCTTGGTAATGTGAGCGCCGCTGCTTTCCGTTTCAAGCACGACCAGGGGGGCTGGTGACTGACCGATCACGGCATGCGGACAGGAGCTGGGCTGCAAACGTGTTCTCACCGACGTCGAAACGGGGCGTCGGAACGGCGTTTATCGTCTCGATCTCGAATTGTGTTTCCATGTGGGTCTCGGGCTATTGAGTCTCTAGCTCGGTGGCGCGCTTTGATGACACTTATCCTGGCATGTGGCAGTGCGTCCCCACAGGTCTACTTCGACGCAAACGACAACTACCAGAAAGGGCACGCCATCTCCGCTGCGTTAGTAGTCTCCTCGCCCCCTTGCCAAGTCCGATGATCTTGTTGCATCGGCGCCCGAGACTGACTACATGACCACTTGCGCTTTTGGCTCTTGCATAGATGTCTGTTCCTGACGTTCCTCCCGTCATTCGTGCTTCGAATGCGCCTTGCACGAATGAACAAGAAGAACGCTGCAAAGCGGCTGGCGATGGCCGCGGAAGGAGCGAGCGTGATGCAGATTGCCGGCCTGGAGAGGAACGAGGAGATATACGACAACGACGCACGCTACGTCTTCATGATGTGAAGTGCCCCTGCATATGCATGTACTACTTGAAGTATGGATGATGTACCATTACATGACATGCGAGGCTGTAGTCTTATGCGAGGTGTACCTGTTGTATCGATCTGTTTCCGCCTCGGTTCTAGCGATATATGAAGCTGTGCAAAACCGATTACCGTGTCTCACTCACCTTGCGGTGGATATGAGCAGGTAGAAGGCGAGCCATGTGGACGTATGCAGTGGTGCTCTGCTCGGGTAGGGCAATCGGAAGCAAGGTAAAGCCACTGGAGCATGGGGTTTTTCCCATTAGCCCGCTAAGCAAGTTCGTCCTAGTGTTTCAGCGGCCCGGGACCATTGCGTGCATGTAGTCATCGTACTGGTATCGCGGTAGGCTTGGAACCGATAGAACTCGATCGCATCTCAATAATGTTCCTTGGAAGCATAGCCACGTCAAGTCTGTAAGACCACTTATGTTCGGCTACCCTATGCAATCCGGATACATACAACATCGCACTGATATGAGTACGGCCCAAAGTTATACAACGAGCGAAGAATACATACGTAGATTTCCTCGATTCATCATATACGAGTCGTCATCGTCACCACCAAACTTGCTCGTCGGGTCGTCGGTAGAGACTACAACGAGGTCCTCCTGAATTGCCAGTGATATGAGCTTTATACGAATCATCACATTTGTTCAATTCTTTTGAACGTAGTCCTTGATATTTTCTCGCAATGTGATTGGTTGGGACATCATAGCAAGACTACAGAATGACCCTAAACAAGATGCTTTGTCTGAGGGCATAGATGTCAACGAGGATCGCTGCACGAGCGTTAGTAGGATAGTCGTGTACACCTTTAGAATGGGACACACCCGTCGGCACGCTGTCCACCAACAGGCGATCCACCATGGTTAGGACTTCTTTCCGAACGGACTTCGCTCAGATATCCACCGCAATCGTGGAGAACCGACAAGCCCCGCCATAGTAAGCGTAATCGTCCCGGCACCAATGAGCACCCCCGAGAAGATGATAAGATTGGTGAAGTGGCTTTCATCAGTCACCTTCAGTAGCGCGCCGCCGGTCGGCGTGCCTACTAGGGTGGCCACAGCGACCACCATGTACACGGAGCCTGACCGACATATAGTAAGGCTTTTGGTAGCACAACAGACACTGACGCTCACCCAACCGTGCCCCGTATACTTCGCGTGGAGTTATAGAGGCGATGTATGTTGGCAGCAGCGATACGAACGCACCTGTTTGCGAGTGGGTAAGGGGGACGAAATAATGCAGGACAATCCATCATACCAGAGAAGAGTCCGTATAACGCCGAGAATGCAATGATAGACGCAGCATTGCGTGACGGAAGCCACAAACCCAACACCAGAATCGTGCAGATCGATGCTGCAGGGACAAAGACGTGGAGACTGTCTAGAGCGATCAGCACATATCTCTCCGCTTGAGCGACATCGAAATCGACCTACGTTCCATAGCGGTCCGCTATGAATCCCGGAAGAACCCGAGAGGGAACAGTCATGGCATTCATGATGGCTAGCAAATAGTTCGCGATGCCAGGTCGGACACCTCGAAAGTTGCCGTAAATTTGGATGTAGAAGTACGGGATGAAGAACGAGTAGAATAGACTTTGGTGTTCCCCCATCAGATATACAGTGTGACTGCTCTGATGTCAATCAGACACTCACAGGAAACCGGCGATCGTCGCCAATGCATATCGCGGATCCTTCCATCCTCCAAGGTCGACAGCGGTCCGCAAGGATATACGGCCCGACAACGGCAGCCGTGTACGGATTGTAAGGCAAGAGACGGTGAGGCATCCCAAGATGATGAACGCAATAATCCGGACAGCCCACCCGAAGCCAACAGCCGGGATCAATTTTTCGAGGATTACTGGGAAGATGACACCGCCGCTCGCGCTGCCTCCTGTTGTGAGGCCAATAGCCAGTGCACGTCTGCGTCGGAACCAGTGTCCGAGAACCGCGATGGCAGGGTTGAACCTGTACCGAGAAACCCTTCTAGTTGGAGCTGACACGGTCCAGGGCGAAACAAACCTACAACATTGCCAGACCGATACCAAACAGGACACCTTGAGAAAGGATGACCTGATAAGCCTGATCTTTTTGTGCCAGGGACACCATCATCAACGAAAACACCGAAATGAGAGTGCCTGCTGGTATGAGTACCTGAGAACCCAATGAGATCAAGATTTCAATTGGTATGAGGGAGCGGGCACGGACCGAGGTTCCATAGGCATCGAAAATTCTCCCTGTAATCGTTCCAAGAAAGTACAGGAAGAATATCTGAAGCGACCCGATGAGGGATATGATTGAAGACGAGGATGACGGTAACAGCGTCGTCTCATAGTAGTTTTGGAAGGTCCCCTGCATGTCGGAAAAGCGGTAAGTCTATCAGGTCATACCAACACAGCATGAGATAGGGAATCGACAAGGGCACTGACATATGTATTGATCATCCCTGCGGACGCGAACAAGGCGAGCGAAGATCCCAATACTACGGTCCATGCCTCCCTCCCCCCATCAGGAACGTACTCAAGCTCCGGCTCCGCAGAGGGTTCAGGCAATGGATCTTCAGCTACGGCTCGTCCCACAACCGTGAGCTGCTCCTCGGCCTTCTCCAGATCTCGCTTATCTACGACCGTTACGTGATTCATACCGACCAGCTCAAGAGTGACAGTTTTTGTCGCGGATCCTGGGGTCGGGGAACGGGAACAGGTCCGCGTCACTTCAATGGAGGCGGAAAAGTCACAGTCCGGTTGATGAGGAGCGTTTATATCACGAATGCACGTTGGGGATCCCGCTTGCGCGGCCCACAACCCGCATCTCTCTATTACTCACCAGGCGAATGGACCGGATGTGACTCACCGGAAACGTCTTTACCCTGCCGCGCCTCTCAATGCTGACTCATTTCGGGCGCTCGTAAGACAACTGCATTTTTTGACATGATGGCGACATACCCATTACCGACAACGAGGCCTGTCCAACTGAACTTCTGCAGCGTAGCAGTTCACCTACTAGGTGTCCTTAGATTCGATCGAAAGCGCGACTGTCGGGCTATCAGGTAGGACGAGACCAGCGGATTACTTCTTTGCTGCTGTTTATCCAGGTTCAGGAGACGCGCAACGTCATATGGACGTTCTCAGTGCGAATGCTGGGGAGATCAAGACCCAGAAAGCGTTGAAATCGCTCACGATGAAGAAGGATGTCTGGCGTCCTTCATCAGCCATTCAAAAGAAATTTCTCAAGCGACGATTACAGCCACGGGCGTCGCACCCAGCTGGGTGCGTGATCAAGGCGAGGAAAGAAGCTGTGCCATGATCCTAGCCGATAGGCGCCCCAACGCAAGCGTGCGTCGTGCTATCTCCATTCAGCCAATCCTAGCCACTCATGGCATGCAAGCAGCTCCTGCTATTCGCAAGTCAGCTCAGAAGGTGACACAGAACGCATCACACGTTAACACCACTTACGTCCGAAATCTGCAGCACCTCTTGGATATCCAACCTCACGCCGCGCGAGCACTTCTTCGCAGCCTTCCTGAGCGAGGCGGTATCCCGCTTTGACAGTGACTTTCCGCGTCCGTTCATGCCGGTCGCCTTATAGCGCTTGACGAGTACCTCGAGCACGCCTTGCGTCACGGTTGCCGCGGTGAGAAGCGATATCGGGAAGCGAAGCAGGTCCTGCTCTGTGCCCACCGCAAACGCGTCGTCAGTCCTCCGACGTTCTATGCGGGGCTGAAGAAGCCCGCAGACGAGAGAGACACGGCAAAACGGAAAGCGCACGCACGCTGCAAGGCGTCGCACAAGACGTCCCACGCCTTGTCCTGCACGCCATCCCAGCCCCCGTCGAATCCGACTAGACTACGAAGCGTCGGGAGCGCCTCCCACAGCTCTGCCATGAACGCGCCAGGGGTCACGCTTCCGACGCGGAACGCGAGCGCCTCGAGGACGTCGCGTTGCGCGTTTTCAAGGTTCGCGAACTCCATCCGGTGGGGTGCGAGGTCGAGGAACTCCTGCGCATAGATTACGTCCAACGGAAACAACACGTCGCGGTGAAACTAGGGCGCGCAGGAGTCTCCGTCAACTGGAAAGGGGGCAGAGCTGCATTGAGACTCACCTTCACGCTCAGCGCCAGGCAGGCGACGGCAAGGTCCCATGTGACGGCTTCCAGCGCCTCATCGTCGTCTTCCTCTCCTTTATCAGGGGCGCCGACGACATGGAAGTAGCGCATGAAGATATGCGCTGCATGGAAGTGCGTCTCATCTGAGCTAGATAGGAGATCGTATAAGTCCCCCGGAGCGTACGACGTGTCGTGGTCCTCCTCAGGAGGCATGACCTGAACGCATACAATCAGCTCGATTTGCGTCTCGCATGGGCGATGTTTGTCCTTGCCTCGAGAAACCATTCCATCACTTCCCCCAGCATCCGTGAGTCGATGTTGAGCTCCGTAAGGGAGCGCGATATCAGAGCGCGATTGATGGGGCGGGGCGATTCGATGTCGGGTGTACGCAAGACGTTGTAGATCTCTTCTGTCTCAGTTTCGTATTCATCGCTGGCTGATACGGAGGGCTCGGCCCAGAACCGCTCCTCTTCATCCTCGATGCTCTTTACTGGGTGCTGCGCAGCAGGTATCAAGCCATCAGCAGCTCTCTGCTCCCACTCCCGCTCGAGCAACGCAACGATGCGCCGCTCAGCCGCTTCCTCCTGAGAAAGTGGGGCACGGGGGATCAGTTGGAAGGAAGGTGGCGTGATGATCGGTAAGTCCGCTAGGGTCGGAGAAAGAGCGCCTCTACATGACGATGGGTCATTTGAGGTAGGGGTAGTCGGTACTGTTGGCGCATATCCTCCCAAGGGCGATGCAGTAGAGCCAACAATGATAGGGAAATTCTCCGGGCAGAAAGCCTTCGCAAGTTCCGAATAGTCGGACACGGGTACAGGACTGCGCTCGGTGACCTGCGCAGAAGACTGAGCGCGCTGCGTAGGAGAACCATGTGGAAGCCAAGCACCCACTTCGTTCAGGACGACTTCTTCCTGCGCAGGAGTACTGGACAGCTTGGAACGCAGCGATTCTGCCCTGCGGAGACTGCCAGGACCCTTGGCATAGCGTAGCTTGAATGCTCCGGACAAACCTGCGATAGGTGGCTGGGTTGTGCGCTTCCTAGGATAGTCTTTTCCTGGTTGTCGGGACCGGTCACCGCACAGTTTCTGCTTCTTGTTTGTTGCCAGAGAGCCAGAGTTATCGTCTAGATCATTGTCGCCAGCGCGAGACCTGAATGGGCCTGGCTGCAGGCGCTTTTGGGGGACCGAGGACTGGGTATATGCGCCAGTTGTCGCCAGAGAATTACCGATATTGTTATCAAGAGTCGTGGAGCCACTCCCTGGCGGTCCGATTGGCTCCGTACAGGTTCGAGACCAAAAAGAAAAGAGAGTTGTGCGATCGGCAGCTGAGCGATCCAGAGTGTGAGAAGAAGACGATGACCCCGCACCAGCATAAGAGACCCCGGGCTCCTGTATAGCCGCAAGCAAAAGTCGATCAAGAGACTGCACGAAGGAAGAACCAGAGCATCCACGAGAAAACGTGCGATCTTGACTAGCAGCCTTGTCATCCGAGCAATCGCCCCAACATGCAGTCGTGGATCCAAACCGTTGACCTATGACCTCTGGAGGTGTCCCAGCTATAGGAGACGAGGACGGTGGTGCGGTCGCCGCAGCCTCGTCGAGCATGACCTCCTGGGAAGAGCTGCTCATATGCGAATAGTTCGGCAGAGTAAGTTCGGGATGAGGCGCTTGGATAACACCTGGTCCGTGTCACCAGCGGATAACCTCTTAAACGCCCGTCTCATGGTATCGGCTGCGGCCGCGTACTTCAAGTACTCGCGTGGGAAACACAACTGCTTGTACTCGGACACTCCCCGCCGAGCACACAAGGTGAAGCTTACACCATCTCCCTGGGCAGTACTTAGTCCGAATCGTCTTCATGACTCATACCAGGCTGACGAGTCCAGGGAACGCTTGTGCGGTCGCAGCTAGTTGCCCACTGGTTGCCGGCTATCTCTTTTCTGAGTTCTGTCACACACTAACCTTCCCACTCGGTCTAGGTGACCCGCGACACAATTCATAGCGCGACGCTCGTGCCTCCACGAACAGGTGGCTCGGTGCCGAACGATGCTGAACGTTGTGGTCCAGAGGGTCATTTGGCAAGATAAACTTCGATCGCCGATTGTCGACTGATGGTCGCATGAGGGCACCGCTTCTGCTCCGCGAACGTCGTGCGCTGCGGTGATAACAGGTTTCTGCAAGAGCAGTACGTACGCGCCGTTGATTACCTGAGGTACGCGAATGCTGCGACGCGTCACCGCCTGAGTTCTCTATATATTGGAACTGGAGGTCGTGTCGACGCGTCAATCCCTCTTCCGATTTACCGTTCCTCGGGTTCACAACACTATGCTTCCCAGGTTTGTTCCTTTCGCTGCATGGAGACTTGTCATCGACCGAGTTACTCTTCCAGCTGTGTAACGGAAGACAATCGCCTCGTCCCCCTGTATGGCGTCGCGCTGTCCCTATTGCACCTTGCTCTGCACGCTATACGTGTTCCCAAGCCTCGTGATGCGCCCAAGGGCGCGTCCCCGCTTTTAGCATCCGAAGAAAGCAGCACGCGGCATAATGCCCTTCAACGTCTCATACAACGAGCAGGAGGTCCGACCATACTTGTGCCGAAACTGACGCGTCTTCTTTGCTCCCTGATCCTCGTTGCCCTATCCCTCGTGACCGTCGTCCGCCAACACCATGTTTCGGGCGTAGACATTTCCTGGATCCACTGTGTCGAACCTGCAGTATACGTGCGTTGGTTAATGTGCGGTGCATGCAATTGTGGCTGAAGCTCTAATGACAGGTTTACTCCTTGATTCTCTCCGCGGCGTACGTCATGACGCGTAACTCCCGGTTGCTCTCGTTCCACTTGTCTTGGGTCCTGCTGTTCACCCTCGGAGTCTACGTGTTTCGCGACGTCGTTCCCCTGTTCGTAAAGTACCGGAGTCCCGCTGACAGCCCGGATGGCATAATTCTCTGGGTAAAATTATTAGTGCTCTTCGAAGCGGCAGTAGCAATTCCTCTTGTCGCGCCTCGTGTCTACGAACCGCACGATCCCGATGTAAGCACTATGAATAGATAACTTGGGACGTGGTCACTGATACAATCCTCACAGGAGCCTATGGAACACCCCAACAAGAACCAAACCGCATCTGTATTGTCCTCGATTCTCTTCAACTGGATAAATGAGACGATATCGAAGGCATCTCGCGTCTCCCATTTCCCCTTGGACGATCTGCCAGTGCTCGCCGACACGTATACTACTACGAACCTCATCAAGGAGAGCTTTCCGGTATGAATTCAGTTTATGGCTCGTCGGCAAACCGACTCATCCTTATTGGTGATGCAGCACGTCGACCCATTCCAACTCGGCAAGGATGAACACTTGTTCTGGGGGCTTCTACGAGTGTATCGTAAGTTCGCATTATGCGTCTACATCTGTTTCCCTTCGTTACAGTGCTAACACTGGACGTGCTCAGGTCGCAAGTACTTGATCTACTCAGCACTGGTCTTCATATCCGTAAGTGCCATGTACCGTCATCCTTCCGAATCACTGGTTGACAGTACGTAGTCGATACTGGCCCTGTCACGCCCGATTGCCGTGAAAGGCCTCCTTGCGTAAGTCACAAACCCCCTCCTTATCCCCAGGAGCGAGTCTGAAGAACACTACAGGTCGATCGAGGTGGGCGGACAGAAATCAGACGTGTACCCCTGGGCATGGATTGTCCTCCTGTTCGTCGGTCCAACGCTAGTGACCCTCCAAGAGGAATGGGCACAGTGGATGATGGTAAGCCCACATATCGCTCATCCTCCCTCTCCCGCATCTCCGGCATTGCATCTGACGTTCTGAACAGAATCGGCTAAACATCCGCAACGATGCAATCGTTACGGAACTACTCTTCGAGCACGCGCTGCGCATTCGCGTCAAGTCCGAAACGTCGCGGAGTGCCGACGAGCCCCAGGAAGGGGGCAATGCGGGCAACGCGTCGGAAAAGCAGGGCAACCTCGTGGGACGCCTCAACAACCTCGTCGCAAGTGACTTGGAGAATGTCCGCCAAGGGAACAAGATGTGGCTGCAGCTCTGTGAGGCAGTCCTCGGGCGTCCCAATTCGGTCGTAAACTGATGTCGCGGGTGTTCAGTTGTGAAGGTACCTATTTTGATTGTGGCGAACATTTCGTTCGTGTATGGAGTCCTGGGATACAGGTGCGCGCTGTTTGTCCAAATATGTTCCCTCGTACCAACAAGCATATTGCAGTGCTCTCATCGGGCTGGCCTCCATCATTGCACTACTCCCCGTGCCGGGATACCTGAGCAAACGGATCCAGAGATACCAAATAGAAAAAATGAACAAGGTACTTGAAAACGCGCTGATTCACACCATCGACTGACAGGTCCGTACGCTAGACCGATTCCCGAGTGCAACTGATCAGCGAGAGTAAGTCCTCGACTATCCGACACGAGTAGATACGGATAACAATGTTGCATTCTAGTCCTCAACGTCATCCGGATGATCAAGCTTTTCGGCTGGGAACCCCGCGTAGCAGGACAAGTCAAAGCGCGCAGAGAGGCTGAGCTCAAGCTGCTCCGCAAGAGCAGGTTCGTTGAGCTTGTGAATAACTGCAGCAAGTGAGTCTCACATCGCCAAGATACATTGTATGAGACAATTCTAACCTGCCCCCAGTTTCAGCATCCCATTGTTCACAATGGCGATCACGTTTGGAGCATATGTGAATACAAACCGCATGCTTAAGGAACACGTTTAGCTGAATTATGACCTCGTGCAGACGACGTTTCAGCATGGGGTGTTGACGGCACCCCGGCTTTTCTCGTCCTACACCGGTGAGCACGATAGTAGTGACCTAGGCATCCAACGTCTGACCACCTCCCAATAGCGTTCATGACGATCCAGCAACAATTACACTTGATCTTCTTCGCAATACCTGTCGTGACACAAGGTATGTAGCGAATGATTATGTCTCACGTGACCTCACTGTTGAGCACTTTCATGGTTAGCCAAAGTCTCATTGGACCGTCTCAATGCGTTCCTTCATGACGTATGTTCTCGCTCATGATTCCTGTACACATCCCTCTGAAGGTTGCGTCCTCGATCCAGACTGAGCTCCTCGATCAATACGAGGAGATCAAGCATGGAACGGTCCACAGAGAGCAAATTCGCCACCTTCGTGAACCCGACATTATTGGTATCAAGCAGACGGCGTTCAAGTGGGCCAGCGACAGAAAGGCTCAGACTACTGTTACACCTTCCGGAACGAGGCAGCGCGAATTCGTGCTGAACATTGACGAGGAACTGCTCTTCAAGCGGGGGCAGATCAACCTAGTGGTTGGACCGACTGGATCGGGGAAGACGTCGCTGCTGATGGCACTTTTGGGTAAGTCCCAATCAGGTATTACCAGCTAACCGCGAACCGATACATGACATCGAGTGTAGGCGAGATGCATGCGATCCCTGCTGGACCTGAGTCTTTCGTCGCACTTCCGCGAGCGGGCGGTGTCGCATATGCTGCACAGGAGTCTTGGATACAGAGCGAGACGATCAGAGTGAGCATCATCTGCTATGGTATCGTATGATTGTGCGCCGACTTTTCTTGCACTTGCAGGAGAATATCCTTTTCGGGGCACCTTACGATGAGAAACGGTACAACAAGGTCATCAAACAATGTGCTCTCGAGCGTGACCTTACTCTCTTCGATGCCGGTGACAAGACGGAGGTGGGCGAAAAGGGCATTGCACTCAGGTGCGTACTTGTGGAAGTGATGGAGGAGGCGAAGCTGACACAATTCCACTCGGTTATCAGCGGTGGACAGAAGGTATCGTTGGGCACTTGAGACTGGTAGCAGGTAGCTAAAATCCCGTTGAAGGCTCGCATTACGCTGGCTCGTGCCGTATACTCGTCGGCAGAGATACTTATCCTTGACGACGTGCGTTTCTCGCACTGTTCTCAGATCCTGAGTGTGAATTCTCACACGCTTTATGTAGGTCCTTGCTGCTCTTGATGTCCACACCAGTCGCTGGATCGTGGACAAGTGTTTCAAGGGCGATCTGATCCGTGGACGTACCGTCATTCTAGTCGTAAGTCATTACCATCATCATCCAGGTCGCCGTCCGACGGCCGCCCACGCAGAGTCACAACGTTGCCCTTATACGTCCTATTGCGAACTTTCTCGTTGCACTTGGGAGCGATGGTCGGGTCGTCAGCCAGGGGTCTCTCGATGAGGCTCTTCAAAAGGACCGCGAATTGCTTGAAGAGCTCAAGACAGAGGAAGCCCTTCATCAGGCGGATACGGAATTGGAGAGACCCAATATCGATGGCCATGATACTAGTGACGGAAAGCTTGTGATTGCCGAAGAGATCAGTGAAGGGCGCGTCGGGTGGAACGCTTGTGAGTCTCACTAGGTCACGAACTCGGTCTCGACTGACATGTCTCAGTCCTGCTGTACACGCGGAATACTTCAACTCACAACTGGCCGTACTGGACTTTCTACATCGCCACTCTCTGCATGACACATGCTCTGATCAACGGCGAGGTATGTCATTTGGGCCTTTATGAAGCAGAATAAGCTGTTGAGAATGTGCGGAATAGTCGTACTTCCTAGGATACTGGGCAGCTCAGTACGAAGATCACGATCCATCTGAGGTGCCCGTCCCTTTGTGAGTCCTCAGCTGCGAATATTGTTTATTGTATTCTGAATGGCGGGACAGCTACATGTCAATATACTTCGGTATTATCACAGCTATTCTCTTCATCTACGCTGTCTGTTGGTCAACATACGTGTATGGCTCCATCCGCGCCTCGAGGAATATTCACAGCGACCTCGTAGCCACGATCCTGGGCACTACTCTTAGATGGCTTGACATGACGCCTACATCGCGTATTGTAGCTCGTTGCACCGCCGACATCCAAGCAGGCAAGTCCAAGTTCCCTCACTGTCTTCTGACACGGTTCCTTACTTGTGTTTATAGTCGACACAAACATCCCTTCCACGCTGCATTACGTTCTCGAAGGAACCGTGTTCATGCTTTCGCGGATAGCCGCCGTCATGCTCATCACGCCCATGTTCATTCTCCCCGCCTTTGTCGTCTCTGTCATCGCAGGTTGGGTCAGTCAGATCTACATGCGCGCTCAGCTCTCGGTTAAACGTGAGATGAGCAATGCGCGTGCGCCCGTCCTAGCTCACTTCGGATCTGCTATCGCGGGTATCAGTAAGTCCTCCATCACTCCCTCGCCAAGGAACTAAGCTGAGTCTATACGGACAGTCTCAGTCCGTGCGTATGGTGCGCAGGAGACCTTCAAGTCAGAATCTTGCTTGCGTATGGATAGGTATAACCGCGCTGGCTTCGTTCAAGATGCGCTCTCTCGGTACGAGATATGTGCAGCATGTTGCGGTTGACATTCGCGCTAAGTCCATGACAGCTGGATCAACATCCGACTGGACGTTTTAGGCAACTCTCTATCAACGGTACTTGCCGCATACTTGGTTTATGTTGCACATATAAGCTCGTCTGGGGCTGGCTTCGCTATGTCAATGGCAGGTATGTAGTGCCTATCCCTCAGCGTGACTCACAGATGGGTTACTGAAGGCTAACCTCTCGTAAAGTTGGTTTCAGCGGCTTCATCCTTGCGTGGCTGAGGACGCTCAACGACTTCCAGGTCATGGGTACGCCACTCGATGCCTCTGTTATCGACGCTATGAGCTTACGATTAACGGCGGCTCTTCGTTTAGGTAACAGCTTGGAGCGGATCCAACAATACATGACCATCGAGCAGGAACCAAAGTCGTCTATAACAGGAGTACCGCCTGCGTACTGGCCTGCGAGTGGGGATTTACGTGTCGAAAAACTATCAGCGCGGTACTCACCGGTAAGAGCCTTCGAACTATATCTAGCAGAGCTACAGATGCCAACTTCGACAACAGGATGGACCACGGGTGCTCCACGAATTGTCATTCGAGGTCAAATCCGGAGAACGTATTGGTATTGGTATGCATTGCTCTCCTAGAACACCTTCACCATGCTGAAATGACACGAAAAGTTGGTCGTACGGGTAGTGGGAAGGTATGTCTATGAATATCCGAGACCGCACATATGCTGATATCTAGGTTCAGAGTTCCCTCACGCTTTCTTTGCTACGGTGCATACCGACGGAGGGAGCTGTCTACTACGATGGCCGCCCGACTGACACTCTCAATTTGGAGGCTCTCCGCTCCCACATCACCATCATTCCCCAGATGGTATGTCACCGGGACTAGAATACTCCACAGGCCTTGCTCACACATCACGACGCATTAGCCCGAACTGCTTAGCAGAACTCTCCGTCAAAACCTGGATCCTTTCGAGCAGCATGACGATGCCACACTCAACGATGCGCTGCGCTCTGCTGGTCTGTTTTCCTTGCAGGAAGAAGGGGACCATGGACGCATCACGCTTGATGACGACATTGCCGGAGGAGGCGGTAACTTATCGGTTGGTCAACGTCAGATTATCGCACTGGCTCGGGCCATCGTGCGAAGGAGCAAACTACTGATTCTCGATGAAGGTAAGTCTAGACGCTCGTCATGATCCAGGTGCTGATTCGTGTGATTCATCCTCAGCAACATCTGCCATCGGTGAGCCCAGCGATTGTTTGCATGACAAAAACGGTACTGACAATTAATTAGACTATGAAACCGACTCCATTATTCAGAAGTCTTTGCGGGAAGAACTTGGCCGGGATGTCACAGTCCTGACTGTTGCTCATCGTCTACAGAGCATCATGGACTCGGACAAAATCGCAAGTATCTCTCTTGATTGTTATTCATCGGCTACTGATGGGACGGCACCTTCAGATGGTGCTGGATGCGGGAAGATTAGTGAGATAACTTTCCCAGCTGAAAACGTCGCATGACTGATTTTCTTTCATTCCAGGTGGAGTACGATGCCCCAAGTGCGCTACTAGAGAGGCAGGATGGGTACTTCCGGAGTCTGGTAGACGGTAGTAGTGACCGCACCGCGTTGTATGCAATGGCTGGAGTATCTCTGTGACAGGAAGCACACCAGTGAACTACGTAACACAGGCTTCCTGCCTCCAAGAATCATAGCAAGACTTAGTCGTGGCTACATTACATTTCGTGAGATCGCTGCCTCTCCTTGATGGAAGGTCCCTTCCATTGTGCGCTATGGGACTCAATCCCTAAGTTACATTTTATCCTCCTTGTCAATTTTATGCTTGTGATTGTATTGGCAATAACTTGGCATTCCTCTGTGGGCATTTGGCACAGTGGTAGCGCGCACGCTTCGCATGCGTGAGGTCCAGGGTTCAATCCCCTGAATGTCCAAAATATTTTGTTCCCTATAGGCTCAGGAGGCGTCGTTATCTGCGGAAGTATACTTACGAGCCACAACCGTTTCCCCATCGCCAGATGACGAATGCTGTAGTCGACGTTGATGAAGTCAGTCAAGCTCAAGCTTCACAAGTTTGCTCTTACACCCCTGCACCGACTGCCTAGATATGTAGAGGTCATTACGTAGTACATCTTCGTACACATCCTATGTATTCTGTCCTGTCCTCCTTAGATATAGAACATGGTTTCCTTGAGGGCCCCACCCACAGCGTTCGGACTGTTATCGAAACGCCACATCTTCTTCGCCTCATTCATGACCTCCTCCTCTCCACCATCACTGGTCGCCGTGGCACCACTATCAGAGTGACCCTGCAACAGGGGATGTATATAGCACCGGCCACGCTCGCAGGCGAGGTCTGCGTAGTAAGCGGGCGACACCAGACTGACGGCCTTCGTTGCGCGAGCGAACATGTAACTGATATCGTTGGTCAGGCACTGCAGCTGGTCAGCGCCGATTCCAATCTCGTCGTGGACGACGTAGTAATGTGTCGGCCTCGTCGTACCCTGGAGTCCTATTGACAACAACGTCGGTTGAGGTGTCGCAACCAACATATCGCTAAGAATAGCAGGTGCTTACCTCCGTGGGCTTGCAAGTAGAAGTCATACTCATACACAGCCGTTACACCGCGATCAACCACCGTACCCGGCTTGGGGTTCCCATCTTGCGCTGCATGCGCTGGATCCATCGGGAAGAAACGGGTGTGGTGTCTCTTTCCGCAGATGACGATCGTCAGCTTGGGCTTGTAGGTGGGGCCGAATTTGGCGAAGGCCTTCCTGATTTCCGGCATCTCCTCCGCAACCACGATCGAGAATTGACCCTACACGTCGGTCAGTACGACGACATCTTTCCTACGAGCCAGCTTCTAAACGCACTTCGGAGACACCATCGCGGTAGACCAACACGCGGCTTGGCAACGTCTTGTTGTTCTTCGCCCGGAAAGCCTGCAACCGCTCCTCCATCATGGACGCCAAATCGGTGATCATCTACACGATGGTTAGTATCCAACATGCCGAAGGTTGCAAATGATCGTGATCGACCCCACCTCCTTTCGCGATTCCTGAAGTCGCATGCTGGCAGGGAACTGGCCCATCCGCCTGTCGATGCTCGCAACGACCGCAGCTATCGACGGCGTTCCCCTGACGGTCCCGGTGCCTGGATGCGTGACGTCCATGCCCACGAGCATCGTAGGCTCCCTGCTCAGCCACGCCATGTTCTGCTCCCCGAGCTCATGGTTTATGCCCCCAAGCTTAGTGTTGAACTTGAGCGCAACGTTCGCGTAGTATGTCGGCGCTCCCTTTCGGATCTTCGCCGCGTGCACGCACACAGTTGCCACGTCCAGGTAGACGTCGCATAGGTGCTTCAGGCCAGAGTAGATGTGTCGGTCCCCATTCGAGAGAATGACGAGGACGATACTGGGCTTCCTCGGGATACCCATCAGCGTCTCCCTGATCTGCTTGACCGCCTGCTTGCGCAGCGGGTCCTCCGTACGCCTCGGCGGGAGCCGCGCGACAGCGATCTGCGGCGGCGCCTGGTCGATGGACATGCCGCTCTTCTTACACATGTCTGCGAAGCCGCGCAAGACGTTCCCGAGCTCAGGGTCGTCGGCACCCGAAAACTCGTCGCGCCCGTTCCCGTCGTGGATAAGGAGGACCCCCCAGTTCTGGAGGCGTGCCCCAAGGGCGAATCGCACCCCACGAAGATTCCACGACGCACGATCGTCGACCGCGCCGGTGCCTTGTGCGTAGCGCACGACGGGGGGAGGGAGGATGCGGCCCGGGACGACGGCCATCTCGGAGCCGACGGTAATACCGAAGGCGTTCACGGGCGGAGGGGATTGCGAGAGCCCGAGCTCGAGTAGACCACGGTTCGTGATGGCGTCGCCGTTAACGTTTGGGTACTGGCAGGCGACTAGGAGCATGTTGGCGGTGAGCTCGTCGGGGACCTTGCCTTGGTACGGCTGCTTTTCCAGGATCATGCAGACCTCGGCCGGGAGGTAGTTCGTCCGCTGCCCACCAACATCGATAAGCGGGAGATCTGGATAGCGCAGCTTGATCTTGTACTCTATATGCGGCTTCTCAGAAACAATGATGACGCATATATGGAGATCAACTCACTTCTCTGGAAGTACTGCTCTACAGTGACCTCGCCCATACCCTCGGCCGTGAACTTATGCTGACGCGCATTCACATTCGCGAGGCCTTTCACCGTCTTCCGGTACCCCAGGTGCGTCGTCTTGACCCGCACACTCCTCACGAACGTCCTCAGACGCGTGGTCGGGCTGAGATTCATGAATTCTATCATGCGGTCCGCAAGATTTCCTGGGGTGTAGAACGCGGTCGTGCACACGTTCACGTTCACCATGAGCTGCTTCCAGGCGGGACGCACGGACGAGTAGAACCCGCGCCACGCCTCGAGGCCGCCCCCAAGGGGAACAGGGGGCGCGCTCGGGGACGGATGGAAGAACTTGTTGCGCCCCACCATGACGCCCCCGCCGATGACGCGATTGGGATGCGCGGAGAGGATGATGTTCATCGCGTTGACCACGGGCATGAAGTCGTACATCCGCTGCTGCGGGTCCCCATTCAGATAACTTCATGCACGAAGTAGTTAGCAGAGGGACACGCGCAGCGGAAGAACGAATGGATGCGTGATGGGAAAGGCAGTAGGGAGGCGACAGCATATGAGGAGCTGGCGGCATAAGGAGTGGTGTTGCGCTGCCATGCACCGGGCCCTCATGACACTGGCACCTCCACAGGGAAAGCGAAGCGGGCAAGGAACGCACAGAACAGAGCACATACCGAAGCATCTTCTCAGTGTCGATGAGTTGTTGGAACTTGATCGTCATGGTATATTCCTTTCGCTCCCGAGCTTTGTCTCTGTCTCTTTGTTCTTCCTCCTCGTCTTCGTCCGAGTAGAGGAACTTGATCTGTAGAGGTTGAGGGAGTTTGTTCACAGCGAGGAGCTTCGCGCTATTGTCATGCGCTACTCTCCCAGTCATGTTAGCTCGCTTCCATTCCTTTGTCTGCTCGGCGAGCTGGAATATCCTCCGTTTGAGACGCTTGTTCCCGGCCGGCGGGTCAATCTGCACGTCGTACTCGTAAAAGGGAGTTTTTGGCAACGTGAGAGGGAAGAAATTCGTCCGAAGCTTTATTGGGGAACCCGCAGTACCGAAGCCGGGTCGCACAGGAAGGTCGTTGTCGTTGAGCCGCAAAGAGCGAAGCGAGACGACGAGCTGATCTTGGGAGTTATCCGTGAGGCGGGGGTCAACGACGGCAGGGCGGTCGGGCGCGAACACGCTGTAGGGGGATCAATCAGTCGGCATCATCACAGCGACGGAGCTGAATGGGAGAACTCACCCTCCTCGACCCCGACTTCCAGATCCTCTCCCTCCGCGGGACCCTCCACGGGACCCACTACGGTCGCCTCTGAAGCCTCCTCGGTATCCTCCTCGATCGCCGCCCCTGTAGCCACCGCGATCCCCTCCGGGACTGCTACCGCGGCCTCCTCCAGGACTGGCACCACGACTCGAGTAACTGTCAGAGCTTTGAATGGACCCACTCGGAGGTCCACCTCGTCCCCTATATCCTCTATCTCCTCCCCGTCCGCCTCGACCTTGACCTCGACCTCTTTCCATGGGTAATGCGCTTCGCTGTGCTGGGAATTGAAGTAGGCGGTAGTTGTGCAAGCTAGAGCCGAAAGACGAGGAGACAAGACGCAAGGCCCGCGGACGTTATATACTCGGAGAAGCCGTCACTGCGGTACCGCCCATCCGAACAAGTTGGATTTGATATCTGTGAAATCCGCTCCGAGTCGCGCATACAGCGTGCGGTCCTGAAGGGTGGATGCGTGCAGCGGTCGCGGAGTGAAATTTGCCGTTATTGTGGTATGCTTTAGAGTTCGACGGGTGAGCGTCGCACTCGCCGACGAAGATGGATAAGCGTGACCCACCGCGTGGGTAGCGCGCGCCCCGTGCCCACCCAGCCCTGCCTTCTCCCTGCCTATTCTTATTCCTTCGTCATCCCCACGCATGTCCAACTGGCACAGTACCCATCGAGTCATGACATGTCGAGGTGAGTTTCGCGGGAAGGCGTATGTCAGCTGAGGGGGTCCACGATATCTCCCCTGGTTTCGTTTGGGTCTGTGCAGTGAGTCATGGTCACCTTGCCAAGTCTTGACTGAATCCGTATGTGGAGACAAAAACCTGACAGAGAATAACGTTGCTAGGTGCTTTATCCGCGGCGAACGCTCCGAAGATGCCGACGTCAGAGGGCGCACGAGGGCCCAGGCTACCTCGACCCGGACGTCGAGAGCAGCTATCTGTACCCCGATCGTGCTCGACGTTCCAGTTTCAGTTGCATGCCGTTATGCATCGTGGCCTCTACCGCTGCATCGATCGTGCCGCACTGCGTCCAGACAATGCAAAACGTTTACCAGCTGGCGGGTGAGCACTCCAGGACCTCTTGCCCCGCGCTCCTGGGATACTCACCGGAATAGTTGTCTCTGGAGCGATGCCTATTTGCCGCTCAACAGTTGCGTCAGGCCCCGTTTGGGGAGCAAACCCTGACGTTTAACTGCGCGCAGAAAACAACAGAAGTGCAAGGGGATCAGAGCAAAGGGGTGGGACGAGGATGCTCAGCCGGGTGTGCTTCGTCGGTAGAACCGGCGGCGTTCTTCCCAGGCTTGCCGCAGTGGTCCCTTCGCTCGCCGAAACAGGGCAAGAAGAGCAATCAGATACGAGACCTTCGTACCATGCCGATTATGATAATACAGCTAGCCACAGTACTGCTACACAGTATCACTACATAGGAGAGTCCGGTATCAAAATTGCACGACAAATGTGACATGGATTGCCTACGGGGGCACATCGTCCAAAGCAGCGTGAACAGCAGAAAGCGTGGTGATCCAACAAGAACAGCAAACACGATCAGAGCGGGACGGCAGGAAGGGAAAGGAATCGATCCATGCCCTACACCCGCGCGCGACACCGTCCTCCTCCTACTCAGTACTCCTGGATATCCTCGTCCGCCAACGACGCATACTCGCTCTCCGTCCTGTCGTCGTCCGCGTAGTACTCCTGCACGACCTCCTGCATCGCATACCGCATGATCGGCGAGATAGGCACCAGCTTCGGCCCCAGCACCTCCTCCTCCTCCTCCCCCGCCAGCGGCGCGCCGTCCATCAGCCGCTCGTGCGCCCGCAGCACCTCCTCGTCCGTCATCGGCACCATGTCCTCCTCGCTCCCGTACACGCCCTCCGCCCCGAGGCCCTCCGTTGTTCCCGTCCCCATTCCCATCCCCGTCTGCCCCGCCGCGCCAGGCTCTCGCTCCATGGGTTCGTTGATCGCCGTCACAGAGCTATCCCCGCCGGGCGCCCCCCGCCCGAGCTGCACCCGAACGCTCTCGCGCACGCGCATGCTCATCCTGCCGAACGGGTCCACGAACTCCCTCGACACCGGCTCCGTCCAACGCAGGTCCAGGATCCGTCCCTTGACCATCCCATCGATCGCCCGCGCCCCCATCTCGCGGCAGAGCAGGAAGTACGGCAGCGAGCGCGTGCGCGGCTGCGCGAGCCTGTTCATCACACGCAGGAGCTGGTACGCGGAGAAGTCCGCCTGGAACTCGGGCGCGTCCTCCCCGCTCCATTCGCGTCCGTGTCCGTGCGGGAACAGCGTGGGCGGGGACTGGTGCGGGTTCGCCATGAGCGGGCTGTAGATCCGGAACCCGGACCCGCCGCCGAGCATGCCGGAGGCTGGTGGGGACAGGCGGTGGATCGCATGCGTGGACGCGTGCTCGTTCGCAGGGCTTGCGGCGCCGTTCCCTTCTGGGACTTGGCCGTTGGTGGAAGCCTGTGCCGAATGAATGATGTGAAGGTTCAGGAGGGCATGTGCTTGGATGAAGTGTGAAGACTGTTTGACTGAGGTAGATTGCCCTCAACGACATGATCGCCGGAACAATGAACGCGAGACTTACTGTCGAGCTTCCCGTTCGAGTTCACTTAGCGTACAATGAGCAATTACCGTCTGCCCCCCTCTTTCATTTCCGCGCGAAGCACGCACCATAATCTGTGATGTAATCTTGCCAGTGGGCAAGCTTGCCCCCAAACGCCTCGTACAGCTTCTCAAAGTCAAGGCCCGGACGCAGGCGTTCATGGACGCTGGGGAGGATTCGCTCACGGAAGAACTTCCGCGTCTCCGCCTTGGGGTAGTCGCCAATCGTAATGATCTGCACCACCACAATCAGCATTTAGAGCTCGGATATGGCGCGCGGCAGGCGGGTGCACACACACGGACCGGCGGACAAGAACATACCTTGCAATGCTGCATGACGTTCAACTGCCGCAGCCACGTCTGGTAGAACGGGTCGCTCGTCGCGTGTATTACGTGACAAAGCCTGTCCTGCTTCGTGAGCACGAGCATCGCGTCAAGAAGGCACTTCATCGCATCGATCGAGCGAATGAGTGCAGGCCTGTACGGCAGCTTCCCAGTTAGATATACGCTCCTGCGGGGGGGGGGGACCTAGGCCACTTACAGCTTATGCGCCTCGTCGATGAAAAAGACAGGTATCTTCTTCGGGGGAGCTTCCAGTTTTTCCTTGTCCTTCCCGCCCTCTTTTTGACGCGCCTCGCCGTTCTCGCGCCCAGCCTTTTCGGCTTGCTTCCTGCGCACCGAGAACATGCGTTTCGTCCAGGAGGGGCGGTCCTGTTGCTGCTTCTTGTTCTCCTTCCCGGAGTTGGACTCCGCGTCTTTCTTGGCCTTCAGCGCCTCTTGGGAGGGCAGGAAGTTCCAATACCGGAGGAGCGAGCTCTGTGTGCTGTATTCAGATGCTATGATGCAGCGTAGAGTGAGCGGACTGAGGCTTACTTGGAACAGCTCCATGAGACGCGCAATATCGCTTGTCTTGATCTCCCCCAAGGGCGAGCTCAAGGCTTCCGTCGACTGCCCCGCATTCGAGAGGCGACGCTCTACGTTCAGTCTGTCGTGCTGCAACGCGGTCAGTACGACAAACCACGCATACTTACGGTTTACGAGCACGCGCACCTTGAATCCCCACGCTTCCTTTTCGAACGCTTCGTAGCCCGGCATATCCTGGTCGCGTGCTATGCCCATGAAGAAGCCTTCCATCTGTTGGCTGATGCGCGGCGAGGTCTTCAAACAGTTTCTCCGAAAGACGGTTGGAAGAACGCACCTGAGACTCATGTATAGACTCCCCAGGTCCGCAAAGCCTGCTATGCGCAAGTCGAAGTGTAGGACGTGGTAGTTTTTCTGCGTCAGCACTTGACGAAGCAGAGCCGTCTAGAGAGACATGAGGATGGGTTCTCGGTATCCAAACTAGAAGGGGCTCACCTTGCCTACGCTGCTGGCACCAAAGAGGACCGTGAAGCTCGGCTCCCCTTCCAGCGCACGTACAATCGCCCTCAGCTCCGCCGGCCGCTCGAAGAAGCCAGGCAAAGCAGAGAACGTATGCGTCGGAGTGAGCTGCGCCCGCTCCCGTGCCTCCGCGAGCTCCCTCCTCGTATCCTCGAGCATCTTTTTCGACTCCGTCAGCGAGCGGAGCGTCTCGGACGGCTGGCGGCGTCGAGTGGACATCGGCGGGTCGCAAGCGAGGAAGGGGGAAAGAGGCTATCAGACAACGTGCTTATGACGCTGCACCCTCGACCCCCCTTAGCGTGTGGCCCTTCGCGCTTGGAGCAGCGAGGGTCGCACGCCCTTGATAGGGTCAGGCAGGGGCGAGGGCGAGCGGAGACGAAAGAAGAGATGTAATACTCACGTTGGCGAGGACGCCGATAATCTCCCCCAGGCCAAAGAAGTTGCGCTTGCGGACGTCGTTGGGCAGGGGCATGCCGCGGCGGCGGGGGATGTTGGAACGGAAGAGCCAGTGGAGCTGGATGGTCGTCCCCTCGCCGATGCCGTTGTACATGCTCTGCCGCCGCGACTGAGGGGGCGAGAGTGCGTGCGTGCGCGGCGTGGGCGCGGGGCCGTTGCGGGGAACGGGCGCGGTCGCGGTGATGTTGGCATTGGGCCTGCGGGACATGCTGGTGCTATCGGTAGATCTGCGTGCGCTGGTCGAGGTAGAAGAAGAGCAGATGCTCTGACGAAGGTTGAGGATATGGAAGGATGAAAGGGGGAGAACGGACGAGATATGAGATATCCAGGCCGTTAACGCGGACCTCGCGCCTGGCGGGTGCGGCTTGGGGAGCACATAGAACCGCGAGCCTCGCACTGCGGGCAGTGTTTGAGGCATGTGTCATAGTACAAAGGACAAGTCACCGCTTGTGAGGGCGGACACGTTTCAACAGCCTGTTGGCTATCTTCGGACCTTTGATTGCGAGCACACTGGGGAGGTGGATCTGGTCGATTATCCACAAACGTACTGGTATAGCCACATAACCGAGCACGTACTGTTCGATAGTGTCGAGATAGCGTTGATAGTCGAAGAGAACAGGAGGTCGCGTCCGATGCAGCTGGCGGATAAGTACAGGGTGGATGCTGGACGTGCGCGAGAAGCGCTGCTTGCATGACGTCGATCGCGACGCGTCTTCCACGTGCGCAGAATGATGAACCGGGGGTGCTGATCTAGCATGAGTAACTTTATTAGCATCCACGGTGAACGTTACCTACCTTGTGGCCTCAATGAAGTCAGCGAGAGTGCTGATGGTGGTACAACAGAGGGAAGAGTTGGGAGAAGGGGAGATGGTAATCGACTTTATAACTGCGTCGGGAACGTCGATGGCGTCATGGACCAAGGGGTCGGGGACGAGGTCGAGGACCAGCCCGAGATGTAAATGGCTGAGTGGACGTCGGTTGGCAGCCAGACAAATAGATACGTATGGATATGTACATAGAACACTGGTCGTCGTATTCAAGATGGTTTCGACAAATAGACGCCGAGCGGTCATTGCGACAGCTCTGAGTCGATAGCAATTGACAGCATTCGCTGGCAAAGGCCACGAATCGAAGGACAAATGGAAGGTTTTCACTAGAGGTGAACATGAACCCTCGAATTTTATGTTCTGAAGATCCTGGCACCAACAACATGACGAGCACTCGATTTATTACAAGCGTTGTTGTCTACTCAATTAACCACGCACGAGCAATTTCTTGTCTAAGCGCAACTCAACACCATCACGTTCACCCGATCGCAACGTCCGCAGCCACAAGCCAGTTCCCATAGTACTCGCATTCCCGGGGGTTTACCGGCCCTCCGTCCTTGCAGAACTCGAAGACCGGACAGCGCACGCACGGCGTCTGCGCCAAGCCCCCGCCCCCGCCCCCCGCCCGCTCCTGGCGCACCGCACGATAGACGTACGCGCCGTAGTCCTGGCCCAGCAGCGACGCCGTCACGTCCTCGGGCGACGCGGACCGCTTTCGCTTCGAGTGCGTGCTCGACCTGGACTTGGAGCGCGAGTGCGCGCGGCGGCCGCCGTCCGAGTCGCTGCCCGAGTCGGACGACTCAGACTCGGACTCGTAGCGCCTGCTCTTCTTGCGCTTCTTGCTCTTGCCGCTCGACTTGGACTTGCGCTCCGCGTCGCTCATCTCGACGTCCTCGCCCTCACTGGTCTCCCGCGACCGCTTCTTCTTGCGCCGCCGGGTCTCCCGCTCGCTCGCCTCGTCGCTCTCGTCGTCGTTGCTCGCTGCGCGACTCTTGCTCTTCTTGCGCCCCTTGTCTTTCTTCCGCCGCCGCTCCCGCTCGTCCTCGCTCTCCTGGCTGTCCGACTCTGCGTCCGACTCAGACTCAGATCGGCTCCTTTTGCTCCGTTTGCGGTCGCGCCTCGGCGACTCCTCGTCGCGGCGCTTCCTTTTCTTCCTTTTGTCCTTCTTATCACGACGGCCGCCATCCTCATCCTCGTCCTCGCTCCCCGATGCGTCAGCAGCGTTGTTGCTCTCCGATGCATCCCACATTGCGGCGCCAAACGCAGGTATGCGCTCGATCTCGCCGTCGAGGATGAGCACGTTCAAGAGCTTCTCCACGTGCTCCGTCGCGAGCTGCGTTTCCGTGATCCGGCTCTTGCTCAGGAACGTCAGCACCTGCTGCGCGGTCGGATACGCCGGGGCGGCAGAGATCGGGTGCAACGGCTGGTTCGCGGACGAGCTGGAGGGGTCGGCTCCCTTCGGTTTTGGAGTGCTCTGTTCCGATGTCGATACTCCATCCGTCAGACATCTCATCGCAAGAGGGGAAAACTGACCCTATCGCGAATGAAGCGCAGGCACGCGCTGCAGAGGAGCTTGATGAACTCGGTGTCGAGCTCGTTGTCCGTATACCACGGCCCGCCGGTCATCTCGACAGACGGTTCGAGGTGGTAGAGCATGTATATCTTCCGTGTCGGGTACTGAGGTGCCTGTCAGCCATGGCCGCGCACGATCTCAAAAGGCCACCCCCACCCCCACCTGGACTGATTTCACCGCCTTGATGAGCTGCTTCTGGACGAGGGACTTGAGGCAACGGTCGATGACCGTCTGATGCAGCTCCGTCTTCGCTTTGAGGTGCTTCGTCCAGATCCCTGCGAGCTCCGCCGATGAGCACTGGACGCGTCCGGGGTACGCACGCATCCGCACGCGCTTGGGCAGAGAGACGGGGATGCGCACTCACCCTCGTTCCCGGAAGCCTGGATATAGCTCAGGATCATCCCCTCCTCCCCGCTCATATCCTTCTTGCTGTCCCGCCAGGCGTGCGCCATCAGGGTGGGTTCGAGGCATAGGAATGAACGTCGGCACTCACACCTCAAGCTCTTTCTTCGTCACGACGCGGTATGTCAAAGCCCCGGACGAGTCTCGCAGAGCTTTCCATAGTCCCTATGGTTCCACCGCATCCAAGCGTTCGCAAGTGCGATAAGTTGAACCGAAATTGAGAGACGTACTGTGCCCAGCAAGAAGTTGGTCGCGGCAAGTCGCGCTGAGGGATCCGGTACGAGAGCATCGCACTCTTTCTGGGTGATCGTCTGTCGGACGTGCGCAGTCAAGTCAGTCGCGCAGTAGTGGTAGTACAGTGTTCAGTATTCACCTTCTTGGGGTCTGCTAGAGCGGCCTGATGCAGCTTCTGCTCGAGCGGATTGAGCTTCCTCCCGCTACCGCTCATCGTGACAGATGAGGTCTGCTGGAGAGTCGAGACCGTATGAGGAGAGCGAAGATGACTTCAATTTGGCATCTCGGGGACGTAGGCGCCTCTTCCGGACCGCGGCGGACCAGTGGCGGTGGCGCCCCCGCGCCACCGTTTCTGCCCTCGCAACTAGCACTTTGTCTCAATTACCACCAGTCTTTTACAGATCTCTTTTTTCTGGTGAGTTCGCCGTCCGTGCCGCATGGGTTGTGAAAAATGGGTACGAGATCGACTTAAACCTTGTCGTGACGGCATGGCAAACAGGAAGGTCTACTGCGAATTTCTCGGATCGCACAAACGAGCATCAAGCTCGTCACCGCGTATTGTACAAGATCATATTACTCTGTCCATCCGCAAGGATGCTTAGGCGATCTATTTGTGCGGATACGGATATCAACGCACACGCATACGGTCACGATGAAGGCTTGCCGATGGGTTTTGCGCTCTCAGCCCGGCTGGTGCTGTACGGGATCCATCAGAGTGCAATCCAGCTGACATAGAACATCCTGCCATTGTTAAGGAACCCGCATCGAACACCCTACTCGTCCGACTGACTATCAGGCTAACGCTAGCGTCTCGTACTACTTACTCGACCACCCTCTGACCATACACAGGTCTCGCGGGACAAATCTTCGCGGAACACATCTTTCGTCATTGGCTTCACCTTATACTACTGCCATCGACCAAGCCTCTCCTTCGCTGCGTCCCACTCCCGCTCGATGCACTCAGTGACCTTGGGACTTCTGCATCTCAACGCGCACGGGAAGCTCACGGGCTTCGAGTTGAATCCATTCGTGAAGTTCCACGGGTCGGGTAGAATTGGCCTGCCATCTCCTCCGACGGCTGGAAGGATGTCGAATGCCCACAGGATCCGCGACATGGTGATGAAGAGCGAGTTCTTCGCGAGATGCATCCCCACGCATATCCGCCTCCCGAAGCCGAAGGGGAGATCGAAATCTTGCAGGCGCGGATCGGTTGTTACCAAGAACCGCTCCGGCCGAAAGTCGTCTGGGTAAGGAAACATGACGGGGTCATGCATGATACCTCTGTCATTAGGCTGTTAGGAGCTGCTGCGTTTGTACAAAGGCTTTACTGACGCAAGGTTCCCAAAGACGGTGGAGCCTTTGGGGATGTACCTGCAAGGTGCAGTTGTCAGCGACCCGGGGGTATTGGAATGAGCAATGATCGATCGTTGTACGTACATCCCATTGTACTCATCATCTGCTATGACAGCATGCGGCGTTCCGCCAAGGACGGCGATAGGACGCCATCGTAGCGTTTCGTTCATGAGCGCATGCAGGTATGGGAGACGATCACGGTCCTCGAACCCTGGCAGGCGATCGGGCCCGACGACTTTGTCCAGTTCATCTTGAGCCTTCTTCATCACCTCTGGAAAATGCAACATGGCGACTGCACAACTGTCAGCCCTTGTGGCGGACGGAACGCACATGCGACATGCACGTACGGAAGAAAACGCATAGCGTTCCTGAGGTCTATACGGATTCTTCAACGCGAATGCAAGTCCTCACAAACATGCCTCAACGTACTGTCTCGATACCAGCACCGAATGGAGAGGAGACGGCATACGCTATCTCCAAATCCGACATCCCGTTCTTGGATTGATTCGTGACAGTTTGCGACGTGAGGCAGTCAGGAGTGGTACCATCGGCCATTCGCTTCTTGACGTCGTCGACTAGATGCGTGAGTAGTTTGATATCTCGTTGCCGGCGATCTTCGGGTTCTCTCCTAAACCACTGCATAGATCTCTGGAATAATCATCACTCAAGTGAGGCTAGTGCTCCATATCTGATATCGTACAGGAAGCTTCATTAGCCATGGCCAAGACTCGACGAGGTATTTTCCTGGGATGCTGAGGGGAAGGGTGGTGAGTACAGTCTCACCGCTTGCGATGCTCGTGCTCTCACTTGACGCTAGGAAACATTCAGTACTCCGCGAGATGGAAGGTGACGGGTAGGGCATACCTTGTCAGGTCTTGACACGAAGGCTTTAGTTAGTTGCATCACTCCTTGCATGTCAATTATTGCTCACAATCCATGGCTGACATATTTTCCTTCACTATCCATTCATCCACGCTCTCCACCCGACGGCCATAAGTCACAGAGGTAGCGACGCTCGCAGCAAACCTTGCCGTACATTCAGTCCCAGTACCAGCAACCAAGCTCGTGGAGAGCTTACCTTTGTAGGTGGCGCTCCCAATCCTGTGGCTCGGTAAGGAGCTGGTGTAACAGCACGGTCGATTCCAGCGACTGGATCTCGTTGTACGTGTCCGCTCGTCGTGAATGGAATCCAGTATGGAGTACCTGGCAATGTGGTTCAGGTGCAATCTGTTGTATCCGACATGTATGTCGCTCACCTTGCGCCATTTACGCCACGGCTCCCCATTCGGAAGCATCAGACCTCGCTTATTATCAGACAGGATCTCGCCTCTGCATAGGGATAGCACATTCAGGGTCATGCCTCTGCTTCGTGGAAATCCGGACATACGCGACGACAAAGCGCGGTCGGCTTGAGTAGATATCAGACCGTTTCTCCAGCAGGTCCCAAGCGGCTTGCGCAGTGCCAAGGACTGGACGGACCCCGCCATGTTCAGTTTGCCTCTATGTAGTGTATGTACTTCGTCACCCACCAATCACAGGAGTGCTGCCCAAGTAAAGAGACACCACTGGCCCTTCAATGCAGATGAGACGACAACCCTACTTCGATGGAAATCGGCGATTACGCACCATATTGTTTGTTCCACTCCGCGAACTGGCGCCATGGCTTTATTGAAGGCACCTGATGCTTGTTACCGATAAAGGGGAGACCACGGGGGCCCGGGGGCATTCTTCTCCTCTGTACATGCTGCTTGACTAGGACAAACGTGAGCAATGCAAGCACAAAAGGTGCGGCATTAGCGGAGACTCGGAAGGCAGTCGCTGCAAAGATTGCGGCGACACTGCTGATATTCTCAGAGCCGTTCACCATGTGCGGTAAGGAAGAGAGGCGATGAGGACGGCAGGAGATTAAGATGCTGACTTAAACGATACTTATACTACCCCCGATGGCTCACGAGACCCGTCGAGTTATACTTGGTGAAAGCGATGAAAAGTTTGTCCTATGACCGGAATGCCGTTCGCGAAGCCTCACGAGCGCCACACACATTGAATGGGAAATCGGGTCCCATGACGATTCACTTGCAATTGTCCGTGGACAAAATGAGCTTCATATGGAACAGCGAGATCGAGAGTCAGATATAATAGTATATTTTACCTTCGGCCATGCCGCTGATTACCGCGTACTTGATAGGTCAATCAATAAATGCAGACGAGACTATCTGAATGACAGAAGAAGCACGAACCAATAGACGTGCATCTACCACATCTTGACGGACAACTATGCCTGAGCCGCTGCGGCTTCTCGCAAACGTTTGTCCTCCTCAAACGTTTTCTTGACCTGCAGATGAGTTAGCTGCGAAGTACTTAGGATCGTGGTATGTAACGACTTGCCTTCTCTGCGAACGCGTCATCTGTCAACAGCCGCAGACCGATTGCGGATAAGGTGATCGACATGTTGATGCATGCCTGATGCGACTCCTTCGTAGCTGCTGCCTCCGTGAATTCTGGTGTGTGGTTGCTGCCTTTCGTAGGGATCGCTGAGATACGGTCAAGCCAAGACCGGTGCTCCGACATTGACTTCAATGCTCACCGAAAGAAGGGTGTAGCGAAGGAAGAGCTGAGGAAATTAGTCAACATGCGGTCCAATTTCACCACCGCAACTTTGGGGCACCGGCCTACCGTAAGTGACATTGCCCTGGAAATTCCATCAGTAATCTTGCGCTCATAGGGCATAGGGCCAAGTCGCTCACAAAGTCAGTGGAAGCGCTCTTGATGCCGTACTCGTAGTCCACGGGACCGAACTTCTTCAAGAAAATGTCCGCACATTCGTCGCCTCATCATGCCTCGATAAGCCAGCTCTGTATAGACTGACCTATGAGCACTCACTAAGTGCCTTGTTCTGCCTGAGATCATATGTGACATTCGTCTTTTCAAGCTTGACTTTGCACCCCGTCGCGAGTCCTGCAGCCCTAATAATCGTTGTCAGAGTTTTCACAAGCTTTGCCGGCACACGAGCCCGATCGGTGGACGAAGAACGTACTCAAAGCACGCAGTCACGCGTGGAACCGCAACTTCAACCTCTGCTCGTGTCGGTGCTCCCACATACCATCTAGATAACTAAAGCCCATAACATTGAGGAAAACGTGGGATGAACGTACGTCATCTTGGAATAGTCAGGAATAACTATATGCGGCGTGAGCACGGAAAAAGAATAAAGTGGCCCTATGATACGAACTGTTTGGTGCCCAATCCTTGCCCTCGAAGATGCCATGGACGCGGTGGCTTGGCTTGAGTTGCTGCCTCAGAACCGAAATGTTCGTGTAAGCAAGGACAGCGGCATCGAGCGCGTTCTGTCCCTCCCAAGGTGAGAGAGCCGCATGCGCGCTGGGTGTTCGTAGGTATTCAGTGTGAGTCTATGTGTTATACGCTGCTAAGAGGGATCGCGCACGTATGTCCAGAAAACTCCACTATCAAGCGCTGGAGTGCAAGGCAGCTGCTGAGACTCACCGACCACCGTGGGCCGGGAGCAGGGTGACACCTGTGAGCATTTGGTAAGCACGAAGAATCTCGATTGAAGGCACAAGCTATACGTGCATGAGACAGACATCCATCCCCTCGTACGCGCCCTGCTCGAGCAAGATGGCTTTTCCAGAACCGCCTTCTTCAGCAGGCGTGCCCAGCAGAACCACACTGCCGGAGATATCAAACTTCTCCATGGCTGACTTGACTGCGATCGCCACAGCAACCCCAGCAATGGCAATGAGATTGTGACCACAGGCGTGTCCGATTCCTGGAAGAGCATCCATCTCGGAATTAACACCTAGGGTACGTCCACCGTTACCCCTGGTAAACTTGGCTAGCCAGGCGGTCTCAAGCAAGTGGTGACGAGTGACATCGAATCCACGCTTTTCGACGAAGGCAGTGAGGATATCATGAGCATGACTACGATACAACCAATTGAGCTGCTAATCGCAACACCAACTTGATATTGGCAACTCACTGTTCCTCGAACCTCAGTTCAGGATGGTCTATCAGTGGGTATGGCGGCAATGAGCAAGATGACACGGTGGAATGAGAATAATGCTTGCCATGGATGTCCTTGCTGAGTTCGAACAAGTCCTGATCGAGGCTTGTGAGGGTGGCTTGGACGTGCTCAAAGAATTCAGGTCTGTAAATCGTGTCTTCTTCGATTACATCGGCACAATGGGAGTGTGCACCCTTATCTCCAGGTTGCCAAAAGACCGTAGATGCGCTTTGCGCCATGGCAGATCACAGGCACCTCTCGGAGTGATCAGTTATGGGAACGGGGGAAAGAGCTCTGGTAAATGCGCATCACGAGACCCTGCTTGCGGTGGTTTGGAGTTATCTTATCTACGCCAATCCAATCCGATCAGACTGGACGTCCGGATCCCAGGATGCCGAGCTTGAACGAAAGCGCCGATGTAATTGGCGGTCTAGGGACATACACTACACGTAAGACGAATCCAAGATTGCCTAGAGCTACATATGAAACAAGGAATCCGATATGATCACTGGTCAAACGACTCCACCCTCCAGACCTTGATGACTCCCGCCCGGTCGCCGCTCACTAGTCCTCCCTTGAAGGGAGAGTCGATGCACGCGAGGGCAGTGATGGTATCCTGATGGCCCTTCAAGAGATTCTGTTGGTTGTGGTTGATGAGAGAAAGCCGCTGTGGAGGGCGGTTATGCTGGTTCCCGGACTGCGACGCTAACCATGTCTCGGCATATGTCGACGCCGATCCCGCAGATGCACGGATAGAACTAACAAGAGGGTCAGAAACATGGACATCATATGCAGCATAACGCATGTACCTGTAGGTGGGCTTGTCGCTATCTGTCTCATTTCCGCTCAAGATCACAGAACGCTCTGGACGAGCGAGGTCCCAGAAGCGGAGCCTGCAGTCCTCGGAGCCTGTCACGATGAAGCCTCGTGAGGACGCCGACCGACTCGATGCCTTCCCGTCAGATTCTGCCATGTGCGACCGGTGCATCACAGTATGTCCGCCGAATTCCACCCCAGCGACGATGGCGCGCACATCTGGGAAAGGAGGTAGTGGCGCCTCGCTCCCAAAGGTGTCCGCACCGACAAAGCCAAGTCGTGGAGTAGACGCATCACTTGAGCCGCTCTCTTGCCTTGCTCGGACGAGCGCAGCAATGGCGGCGGCAGGGCCCGTCTCTGCTTCGTTGACCTCAATCTCCTTGGGTTCTTCCATAGGGTCCGATGGGTTAACGACTATCCGCAAAATGAAGGACTCGACCAGCGTCGTCTTCTCGATGTCCCATACTTCAAGCAGCGTATGCGACTGATTATCTGTGTTGCTGGCCTTGTGGCTCTCCACAGCTACGATAACCCACTTGCCCTTGCCCTTCGTTGGGTGGACGACACACTGGTGTACCCGGCCGAACTTGCCCCCGAGCGAGTCGCCGACCTTCCAGCTCTTGATGAGGATACCGAATCGGATGTCCCAGAGGGAGAGCACGCCGGTCGATGTTCCACAGATGATCCAAGTGCGCTTTCGGTCAAGACATAGGCACGTGATTGGTCCATGATGTCGGGGGTTCTCCATTCGCTGAAGGCTACGCATTGTTCGCAAGTCGAGAATAGTGATGACAGAGTGCGTGGTCGCATAGATCAGGTTGGATGAGGTGTCTGTCGAGGCTCATCAATAAAGCGCAGCATCTGCCCAGATTGCCAAGCCAGTACCTGTTCCATAATGCGACATGCTGGTGATATACTCCCCAGGAGTATCCACTCGATGTTCGCGCACGGTATGCAACTTGTTGTACTTCGGCAGCGTCCCACTCTGGCTCACCTGCACACGCACAATATGCAGGCTCCCGTCGTCGGCCGCGCTAGCGAAGCAGTGGACACCTTCGAGCATGCACAAGCACTTGACCCGCGCGTGGTGCTGGTTGTACGTGTGCCGCGGCTTGCTCGCGACGTTCCTCTCCAGGCGTGCCGTGTCCCATACCTTGACCGTCTTATCGTCCGAAGATGAGACAAAGAACATGTGGTCTGGTGACACTGCGATGCCCGTAACAGCGTCAGAGTGAGAATTGAAGTGGGCGATGAGCGACGCCTCCAGTCGACGCGCAGAGCCGTCCCGCGGCATGAAGCTGTGGCGCGCAGTGTTACGCCGCCGGACTGGACCGTCGTGAACTCGAGGACCAAAATCATCCTGCAGGTCACGATTGTTGTCCAGATATAGGTGCTCAAGCATGTTGCTGATCCCAGGCTCTTGTCCGTCTACAGACATCCTGGTCAATCGCATTCTTAAAAAAACCGTCAAAGCTGCTCACCGTAACTCGAGATAGGAGCGATGGAAGGTGGCCGCAGCTTCTCCTGGCCCCTCACAGTCCCCGCGATGGAAACAGGCGATGACCTTCCCGACGGTGACTGTGAACCCTCCGACAAGATCTGCGCATGCGCCTCCAACAAGCCCGTCGCGCTTGCCTTCGAGGACCCAACAGCCGGTGCCGCCTTCTGCCCATCGCCCCCAATGGGGAAGCGCATCACGCGTATCGCAGAGGAGTTCGTTGTCGACACCGTCGACTCCGCCGGACTGTTGGGCCGCTCCAACGAGGGAAGGTCGGGTTGCGCAGGGGAAAGGAGGGCAGCAGTAGTGTCGATGGAAAGAGGGCGAGGGACCGGACTCCTTGGCTCGCGCGACCCGGGTGCGGCAACGCTAGTATGTGACCCGTTGATGAGTGCAAGTCTCCTCCGGAGGTCTTCAAACGGTGCTCCAACCGACGAGGGGCCATGGTCGATGCTGAGCGTCCGATGCGTCCTAGGGGTACCAGGAGACCTAAGCGTGAACTCAGAGTTCAAGCGATGTCGGGATGGCCGCCCGTCTGACTCTGAATTCCGCAGGAACACGGTTTGTGGTACCACTCCCAGCTTCTGCAGCTCGATCGTCGACGTCACTTTGAGCGCATCTGACTCGACCTCCACGCTGACCCGGGAAGCGAAACTGCACCGTACGGTTCGGGTAAGCTGGGTCACAGAAGGGTTCCTCGCAGTGGAGGCATCTCTATGAGGACCCTAGATGCTCACCTCGAGATCGCGCGCGCAAGCTTTAGAATGTAATCCCGCATCGCCAACAGCTTCGCCTCCTCGGTCGAATTCATGCCCAGCTGCTGTAGCTTCGAGATTTGGGCTTCGTCCCTGTTTCACGTCATGTTTGCATGATGAGCAGCCGTACATGCATACCGCAATACGCGACGGAAATAGACGTACTCATCCGATCTAGCTCGGGAAGCCGCGCTGCCGGCTTGGCGCACAGTCGCCACGCTCTCCCGCGGCGACTCGCTCTTCGTGCTTCGATGCGACCGCCAGAACTGGGTCCTTGAGTCCGCTTTCATGGCCCACTGGACTGCGGCATCGAAGATCTGCCTAGAAAGCTGCGAAGAGGAAGCGATAGTCGAGTCAGGCGGCGATAAAGTATATGCTACGTGTCCCGCAGACCATACCGGACGCTTCATAGCCAAAAGTAGGCCCTTCTCGTCCACGTCCCTGACATCCGACCGGAGGAAGTGCTTGAGGGAGGGATACAAAATACACCATACGTCACTGAGAGGCAGGTGCTTTGCAGCGGAGGCGATGAATGCCGCAGCACCTTCAATTCACACATGTGAGCAGGCGTATGACCGGCCAGCAGTCACCGGCAGTATGTGTGCAGCACACACCTTCCCGTATCCAGATATTGGGGTGATAGAGGAAACCAAGGGTAGCGCTCATGAGTTCCCAAATCCGCATTTTCTGGAACAGCCCCAGTTCGCAGAGATTGGTTAACGATGCCAGGACCTTCGCGACCACGGTCTCCTCCACGTCTAACAATTGATATCTAGTCAGCATGACTCCACCCGGAGATCACTCGAAAAGTAACCATACCGGAGAGTGCTTGAATCATCAAGGGGAGGATGTACTCCTCCAGACTCCGCCCGCCCGCGCAGGCTGCGACGTCAACAATGCTGTCAAAAAACGCATACCGGAGCAACCAGTCGCGATCGTTGAGGTACGTGATCATATGGCTGAGCAAAACGTCATTCGTCTTTTGCCGACCAAGGAAGATGCACAGCGAGGAGATGTTGTGCAGGACTGCGCGCTTGACAACGCTGGACGGGTCCACAAGCAGTGTCGAAAGATGCTCCTGGATACTGTTCTGGAGATCAGCCATACTCGCATCATATGACACCTATGAGTGTTCATGAGCAGACAATCGCCCGCACGTTCCACAATCCACATACCTCGAAGTGCGCCTCGTCGTATTCCTGCGTATCCGGCGAAAGCTTGTACGTCCCGTGCGCCTTCAGCGCCTGGCCCATCTCCAGATAATGCACCGCAGTATTCGCGAGCGGAACGATGATCTGCGCATACATGCACCGCACGAGCACCTCCGGGTCCCGCACAAGGTGCGCTATCGCCGGAATGATGTATTCAGGGAACATTGCGGCGTTCGAAGGGGCGATCACTGTCACGAGCATGAGGACTTGCATCAACGTGCGCAGCGCGGCTGCGCGGACTATTGCGGCGTCGTCGTGGAGGAGGTCGACTATGTACGGGACCATGCGGTCGAGTTTCGCCTCGTCGGTGAGGTGCGAAGACAGCGCGAGGAAGACGTCGAGCGCGCGAACTTTGGAGCTTGGGAGATAGCAATTACGAATGTTCGCGCAGACGAGGGAGAGAATGATGAGCGCGGGACCATCTGTATGATGCGTTAGGGAAGAGTAAAGCATGAATGAACCACCAAGCCTACCTTCGGCTGCTGCACGCTTGCCCGCAGACCACGCGCTGTGCAGCTTGCTCTCGCGATTTGGAATGTTCAGCTCAACCGGAAGCACGTCCTATTGTGAAGTCAGGACACCTGATGGCTATAGGCCAACGCAGACACTTACATGAAAAGGTCGCGAGGACATCGGCTGTGGCGCATAGTCGATCTTCACATCCATCACCGTCTCCTCGATAGCCTCGTTGATGAGATATGGTTCCACGCTCTCGTAGTCCGCCCATATTCGCTCCATACGATGGTCAGAATCACTCGGAAGCGGGTCATTGGGCAGCTCCCCATTCAGGTTCGCACTAGCGGACGCGTTGGGACCTGCACCTTTGTGGGCAGACACGGTCGTACTCGCAGGGATGGTGGAAGGCGTGGCGGCCGCGGAGAACAGGGAAGGGGAGTTGACCTCGTTCACGGTGGAGACATAGTTGTGCAAAAACGAATAGAAGCTCTCCGGGAAGACGGTCCCTCGCGACGTGTGCAGCAGCGTGTCGAAGGTCGGTCGTGAGTTGGGGTCAATGGCAATCATTTGTTTGATGAGTTGCTGTCGATAGTCAGCCAAACATACGCGCAACGAAGGGGAGAATGCACATACCCTCACGCCGTCGTCCTCCACCGCGCCGAGCTGCGTGTCTACTTTTAGCTCTCCCTCCCGGAATTTGAACAGCTCGCTCAGCGTGAACAGCGGCTTGCCCTCCAAGAACAGCTCCGCGATCACACACCCCACGCTAAAGCAGTCCATCGCCTCCGTGACCCTCCCGTCCCGCTTCCCCTCGCTGTCCTCCATCGCCAGCCTCGACTTCTTCGCGCTGATGTCCGGGTTCTCGCTCGCGGTGTAGAACCGCTCGGGCGCGATGTAGCACGAGCGGCGGCCCGACGTGTCGAAGAAGAACGAGAAGTCGGATGGGTCGTCGAGGGGCAGATATGTGGGCTTGTACGACGCGAAGTCGGAGACGTAGACCCAGTTCCAGGAGGTAACGAGGATGTTCTCGGACTTGATGTCCCCGTGCGAGACCTTGCGGTTGCGCGCGTCGCGGAGGGCGTTGAGGATCTGGAACGCGATCCATTTCTTCTCGACGAGGCTGAGGAACGGGCGCGTGCTGGACAACGATGCATGGTTGGAGGCGTGCTGTGGTCCGCAAGGTATCGAGGCGCTCACCTTATCCTGTCGTACAGGTTGCTTGCGACCCATTGCCTGATGATATAGCCCGCCTTGTCCGTCTCGACGAAGGACTGGTAGCCATACACGTTCGGTAGCTCCGCAAGGGCTTCTCGCTCAACTGCACGCTCATGAGTCCCAGCCAGTCCAAGCCAGGATATACACACGCACTCTTCAGCCTCCTATGATACTTGCGCAAGCTCATCCCCGGGTCCGGCTTGATGAATATCTTGACCACCAAGAACCCATTCTTGTGCCGGCACTTGACCGTCTTCAAGAACCGCGCGGAGCCCAAGCTATACACGTCTGTAGGTGCCACTCGGGCCACAATTGACAGAAGATACGCACCTCCGCTCGTACACGACGTCTCCTCCGAGTTCGGCCACAAACGAGTCCAGTGCGCCGCTCGTGCGCGTCAAGGATTGCGCGTTCCCCATGTCGTTCGTATGTGCGCGTCCTCAGTCGTACCGGTCTAGCAGATGGTCATGAAGCGAGTGTCGGGGTATAGCAAGAGTCTGAGATAGGTGACACGCTGAGTGCCGCCGACACAGCTGCCGCTGGAAGCTACGCTCGCGGGACCGCGGTCGGCGACAGTGGCGATCAGAGCGCCCGGCCGTCGCCGAAGGGTGCTTCAACGCAGACACGGTCCGAATATGTCGGAGTCAGATATTTAGACTGGGATAGTTCACGAAATTATGGGCTTGCGGTTTCGTACAAACATCACTAGGAACATATGCATATAGATATAGCACAGAGCGGAGAGTGTACATATTAGGGCAGAAGGGTTATACGGATACGTACGTAGGTGCTAACCGTACCCAAAGGAGAGTATAGCTACAAGGTGATACTCAGCGAGTAATAACGTTATGTGACATGCATGCGGGGGAACCTGGAACCATAACGCGAATGCGTCCAGACGACCATCTATCGGAGAGTGACGCATCCAAAGTCCCAATGGGCCGAACAAAAGGGGTCAAACAACAGAAAGAGGCACAACGACAGAACGGGGCGTGAGGCGATGCAAGTCACGGAAAGCACGACGACAGGGACAAGGTGACGAGACAACGGGATGTGGTGGCGTAACGTCAACGATCGCATGAAGACGACGGGGATGACTCCAACCCTAGAGGGTGGCATGAGGGGAAACGTTCGCCGAACTGCCTGCAGCCGCAGTGGAGGGGGGGTTGCGGGGCCACTGGATTGTAAGCATGCCCTCCACGAGGGAACTGCGGATATCACTGGCCTGATAGGGCACCTGTCAGCAATCGGGGAATCAGCATGACTGGAGGAAAACTCACGTTGACCCCAACAGGCAAGTCAATCTCGCGCCTGAACTTGCCATATTTGAGCTCCTGCACGGGATACAGCGGTTGTGGCGTAGACGTCTCAGGTTCGGAAGACGCGTTTTGCGTCGGCTCCGAACAGAGAGGATGCGTGTTTGGATTGGTTATGGAATGGTCCCCATGCAGGTACGGCCCAGGTCGGTTTCCTTCGACGATAAGGCGGCCACCCTCTATGCGTACAGAGAGCTGCTCGGGTTTCATGCCCGGGACCTCTAGCATTGCGGTGATATGCGTGTTCGCAGGGTCGTCGCATAGATCCATCCTGAAGGACAAGTAAGCCGGCTGAAGTGGCGTGAAAGTCAGCATAAAGTCGTACCTAGGCATGTAGAACCTCGCCTTCTGCTGCGACAGCTTGCGCTTTTTCAGCAGCTCGATGTATGCTCTCGCGAGCATACGGTCTATATGGCGAAAGCGCGGATCCTCCTGTTGCGCCTGCTGCATCTTCCGGGCCTTGATGGAGGGATGACGTGAATTGCTGTTGAAAGTCGGGTGAATGGAAGTGTACTGAGGAGACATGGGAGGAAAAGCGCGGCGGGATCCTTACGGAGGAGGCGCCATCCGCGTGGCTTATATACCGTCGGTGACTCGATTCTTTTTTGCAGATCGGGAACTAGCTTGCCCCACAACGGGACGCTTGCCAACTTGGGGCCGTGCTCCACAAGCCCTGCAAAACCTGCCAACTCCTCGGGTGAATGTGGTGATGACTCGACCCGGAACAGAGCATTATGCGACAAAAACGACAGCTCCGAGAACTGCCTTCCAAAGCTCGAACTCAAGTCATGGACGGCATTCCGGTATGTTTTACTATGCCGTCGTGGATGATGAAGCAGGCCTTTGCTGTAGCGGTCATGAGCAGACGGAGGTGAGTAAGGACCGTCCAGATCCGGTGCACCGCCCGGCGTCACTGTACCCCGCATGTCATGCTGTGCAGCTCTGGCGCTTTCGGGGGCTGCCGCGTCCAGCACTCGAGCGCCCGAGATACTTCGCACCGCTTCCTGCTGCGCGGCCAACCCAGTGATACAGCTTTTCTTGTGCTTCTCGCGAGGGTCTAACTCATACAACCAAGGCTGATTTACTATTGTCGACGTCGAGAGGGCTTTTTTTTCCGCGTAGTATGGCGGTGACTGTCCGGCTGACGAGACAATTGCTCGGTCAGCAGCCGAAAGTATGATATGAAATGGCTCGTCAAACGAAAGTCAAACTCCGGAAACGCCTCGTACGCTCACGGGAAGATGACGCAAGACACATCAAGTCAAGCACTTTGAGGTCGATGAGCCCATTTTCGGAGCCGGAAACACGCGGTGCATAGCAAACCCTCATATGCCGCAGACCTCCGACTGGAACACGTACGGTATAATGTGTAGTTTACCACACTGTGCATTGACCGCGTCAGCTGTACGGCTTGTGGGCCCGTTGACGCCATGTCAATACGGGATCGGACTGCTAACCTATCGGTCCATTTCGTATATGCGCAGCATGGTATCTCCGTATTCCGCAAGCCCAAGTCCAAGCCGGATAGTATCGTACGTGGACCCTCTACGTATGCCGGACGGCAGCGGCTGGAGTGAGATACCTTTCCTCAAATGCCCAGCTCAGTCCACCATGGTATGTCCACAATACTCTGCGCTCGGTTGGACTTCAGCTGATTCCTGCATGGAAGTCCACGTCTATTGCCGAGTACATATGGACACTAGAGGCTGTACTCACAAACCCATCGCTCCGACTCTGACGGCCGAAGCCTACTATTGTTCTTGAATTCTATACTAACAAGCGCTAAACTAGAATCGGACATTGTGATTGGTTTAGACGAGGCTCCTCTTCACCGCCACCTTGTCGTTGACAGGCCATAGCAGGCGCTCCTTCCTTCGTCCTTGCAATACCCCAAAACTTCGGAATCAGCTTCTGCGTGTGAACAGAACTCGGCTGCGGTACAGCACGTCAATTGATATTCACGCCTTCGGTGAGTCGTTCACCTACACATCTCAAGACAAGTCTACAATGCGAAGAAATCTCGAGTCATGGACCATGTGTGACACCCCGTTCTGCTGGGCCAGCATGCGTCGTGGTTTCATTGCGTGACTCGAACAGCATGCTGCTGGGGCACCCAAGGCTCTCCAGGTCTTTGCGTGGGGGTAAGCGCAAATTTTTGAGTATCTGGCAATAGGACGCATGATACATAGCCTTGGATACGACCTCCCAGAACATGGCCTCAACCTGCAATGCCTTGCGGCATACGTGTGTCAAATGGTACTGTCCGCTCTATATAGATATACACCAGCACTGACAATCATGTGCGTCAGTGTGCGCTGATTCAGTATATAGTTTACCTGGGCGTAATCAAGTGGTGTTCAGCCTTGTGTAATGTCGCCTGCAGTTCTCAGAAGTAACAGGCAACGATAGAGCATGTCCCTTCCGCCAGTGAACTGAGTGGACCGACGTGCACACGCGAGCTTCCTCCACGCAGATAACGCTGAAGAGAGGCACCTGATCCAGAGCTAGATATGTACGCTACTAAAGACAGCACACGCGTGTCATATGTACATGTTTCGCGAGCAGAGACTAAACAACAGATTTACGTATTTTGAACAGCTAACACTTCTGAAACTGTAATTATAACAGTACATATATGTATTCACAGGACTGCCTGGTGGCAACGATTAGCCGGAATGGCCAAAGAGGCCGGAGACAAAATCGACACAGCTCATAAGTTACAAGGAACGTGTACAATATGTAACTCCAAACCTTGCGAATATCAGTCCAAAGGAAACATAGGGGCGAACACTGATTATCGAATACGTTGCGAGCGGATATCCAGACCGTCCTCGTCCAGAACCTCCCGAGTCCGGCAGCTCCTCGGCAGGAGCTTAGTGGTCGCTAAGCGAGAGCGCATCGTACGTGGGACAAAGAGCGGACCAGTCGGCGGGGACAGGGTTGGCCGACGCGATGTCGGGAAGATCCTCGGCCAGGACGACGGCGAATCCGGCGTCGAGGTGGAAGTCGATGTGGCAGTGGAGGAACCACGGGCCTGGGTTGTCTGTCTGGAAGCGTATCGTAACGTTGTCGGAACTACTGGTCCCCGTCGAGACGGTGTCACGCCAGACGGGATTGTCGTAGTTGTACTCGGACGAGCCGGCGCTGCGGACTACAGCGAAAGCATGCTGCGGATAACGATAACATCGTGGAAAATCTAAGTGATTGAATCACGAAGGCGAATGACGTAGCGAGACTTACACCGTGCAAGTGGAACGGATGGGGGTTACCGACAGCATTGGCCGCGGCGGGGAAGTTAATCTCGATAGACGAGTTGATCGGAAGCTCGTAGATGCTGCCGGACGGCAGGAGGCTCTGTGCGGACTGTGCGCCACTCAGAATTTGAAGCAAGACAGGAACTGTGGGAGGAATGAAGGTGGCATTGTTTATAAAGAAATTCGTGCCATTGAAACTGAAGTCCATCTGGATTGGCTTGTTGACACCGCCTGCGGTATGGTTGCCCGGCTGAGACACCCATTCAGTTATGGTACTGTCAGGAATGGCGCTCCAGGAACAGTAGGGGCTTACCGTCTTCCTCGGTACGAATGGGTGGAGTTGAGTCTCCTGTAGGAGGTTCTGAGTGGTCTGCTGGGACGTCGTAGGATCAACTGCTGGCGCCCCGACGTAGCGCAAGATGGCGGAGTTGAAGCCGTCTGTGAAGCCGACGACTGAACCGATGTTCGGATTGGCTCTGATCCAGTAGTTGTCCACGGACTGGTTCGCTGTAAGCTAGGTGAGGTACACTTTTGAGCTTGGTTCAGACTGAACTTGACGAAAGAGTACTTACAACGAATGAATAACGCTGGGCGGCAAAGATCTGTATCGTGTTGACGGTGACCGGCTGGGTCTCAATCCCATCGGCCTCGATGACGGTCAGGTTGTGGCCGTCAATACTGAACATGTAGTTCGGGTCGCATGACATCGACACTAGGCGGAATCGGTAGCTATGAGCACATGGTCAGCCTTATTTACGGTCCATCATCTCGAGATATACCTACCGCTTGCCCTGGGTAACGTTGACCACTGCGAGTTGGTTGTTCGGGTTGTTGAGGCTACGACCGAGACCATTGATGAGAGTCGAGTTCGGGCCCGGTCTGTATGTCGCAGTACATGAGCGTGATATTCTGACCATTATGAAACAGATGTACTCACGGGAAGCGCGGGCCGAGGTGCGCGGCTCGTTGGTACCAGTCCGCGAGGGTGATCACAGTCGAGTCTATTAGACTACGTGAGCGCCAGGAGAAGCCGTGTCGGCAGTCGTCTAGTCCTTAGCGACCTACCATTGTCAACGTCGTAGAGGTGGGCGAGAGGGTCATGAGGATCATAGATGACGAGCGGGCCTCTCAAGCCATCGCAATACTGAGTAGTGAGATGGCTATGGTACCAGAAGGTGCCTACGTGAACGGAAGTTAGTCGTGTAAATCATAGAGCGAGGGCAACCTTACCAGCTTGATCAGGGACCGTGAAGTCGTACAGGAACGAGTTGCCGCTAGCGATCGGGCACTGGGTGACAAATGCAGGACCATCTGCCCAGTTTGTACCATGCTGAAAGATGCCGTGCCAGTGCTAGTAAACAGCATGGTATGAGCACTACGAATAAGGCGACAAAGAGTTTCCGTACAATACTTGTAGTCTTGTTCATGGTATGGTTCGTCATCTGGTCGATGACATTGAGCTTGAAATGATCACCCTGTTCACCAGAACGGCGTTAGTAAGGTTTTAATTACTGAAATATCACGTTACAAGACAGACCTTGTGACCGGTAATGAGGGGCGCAGGGAAGACACCATTGACCACAACGGCGGCACGAGTGAAGCCGTCTGGAGCTATGTTGGCGTCAGAGATGGTGAGGTCAGTAACGGGCCCAATGGCCGCATAGGCCGAAGCGGTGAACAGAATAGCGGTGTAACATAGCAGAGACCGGATTCCCGCCATGACGATCACTAGTAGAGAAAAGACTCGCAAATGAAGGGGTGGGGATGGGCTTTCACGAATCTCCCCCGCATCTCTTATACCCTACGAGCGATGTCGGGCGCGGCAGACGAAACATATCGAATCATGCCGCTCAGAGGGTGGCTGCTCCATGACGCTCGTCGACCGAGTCCTGTTGCGCCTAGTACTGCCATAGGCCTGGCAAATCGGCCGCCGCACCAATTCTGTCAGCCGGTGGTCGCGCGAATGCTACGGAGGGCGTGAGAGTTCGGCTTCACGACGGACGTAGCAGTGTCTGGCATGAAACATTGACGTACCGTTGATAGACGTCAGAACTGCTCTTACCAACACACACCTCTAAAGCCGTCATGCCTGTCCCTCACTGTAAGCTATGTCCATAAGAGAGCACCTGTAATCTCCGTGAAGCTCACGGGCTCTCTTTCTGACAGGAAACGAGTCAAATGCAGGGAGCAGACTCGGGCTTTTCGAGTGCCGCAGACTCGCAGTGACGGGATGGCCAACGCTGACAAAGTCCATGATGGTTCCTAACAGAGACAATGTCAGCCCCTAGCGCAGTAGATATACGTGAACCCATTCGGGGCCGGCGCACATTGTCACCACAGCAAGACGCGCATTATTCATTCTTGACGCATGCGGAGGCCACTGTCCGTGACGTGCTAGTGGCACTGGCGGTGCTACATATTCGGCACATGAGATGAGACGTGAGAGCCGGCTGACTGGCTAAAAAGGCGCAATCTATGATTGTTGTGTTGGACAGATAGACGGTAAAGATACAGCACTCACTTGGCTCAATCTAGTGCAAACCCGGATCCTCTCAAACAAAAGTCGCGAACATACTAGCCAGGTACAGCATGATCCAACCCACGCACATCCAGGGGACGGGTGGTCAAGAGAAAGTGGTAAAAAACCCATGCACTCTCAGATCAATTTAAGTTCACGGCGCAGTAGGCGTCACAGGTTTTTGCAACTATTATCAAGCCAATACCTGAGGTGTCCATAATGAGAATCGACCCAACAATCTGAATTGAGTTGAGCATTAGCCGGTTATAGGAGACACAGAATCGATGATAGACCTCCCACTGTGAGCCTCCCTCACGAGAGATGGCGGGAGTTCATGTAAACCCACAAGACGTGCCCATAGAGTTGTCGATGCACGAAGGACCTTCATAAGCGACTGATCGAAGACCGCTTGAAGATGTCGGCGGTTCGCTGGCGGCCACTCTTCCGATCACCGCAACTCCTGGTAGATGTCGCAGCTTGAGCGTCCAAAGCTGCCGTGACTAGCAGGATTACGATCGGATAGGCGGAAACCAGCGTAGGTCAATGGGAGAACTTGGTAAAGATCCGCTAAGCGGTTGGGCCACACGGTTCGTCTCACAATACTGGGAGGTATTGACAGCAGCGCGATCGGCTCGGGGCCAGTGGCCAGATGGGTCGCAGAGAACGTATGCTAGGTTGACTGCGGGCACTATCGTGTGCCACCCGTGCGAAGAAGTATTGACGAGTCGATCAAATTGTGTGATGGGGTCTGGACAATTGCACAGACGACCTACCTGCCCTTCATTGTAATGGTTACGGTGGGCAGTTCAGCTCCACCGAACACTAACTGAGAGAGTACTGGTCTAGGGAAAAGATCGGTGATAGTTGAACCCGACACTGCCCACTTTTGACACTGCCGGAGACGGAGCTTGACGAGCACAAATTACGAAGCTTGCAGCCTAATAGGCATGTGGGCATGACATATACCAGTGAGTTGAGCAGAGGATGGGGGTGCTCGCCTAAACTGCGCCGACAACAATCACTAGGATCAGGCTGCTGGCGGTCTGTATCCCTTGCGACTCTCCACTTCGCAGTGCAACGGCAGCGTAGCGTACAGTTGAAGCGCCGAAAATATTCCATATAACTTTGGATGATTAGATTCTTGCGTTCGCAGCACACCTCCGGCACAGTGCTTCACATGCTGGTAAGTTGAGTATTGAGGGAAATGGTACACCGTCTTCGTTGGAATGCTCCGACCGCCTTCGATCGGACGAGAATCAAAATCAGATGCCTCATACGTTCAATACAATGAGCAGGATACATACAAAGTTATGTACTGAGAAGGCTCCAGATGGTAGGTTCCATGCGCAATCCACGACGCTCGAACCCATTGAGTGCCACATTTGGTGCCTGTGTCGTCTGCAAACATGCGTATTGAGCGCGGCAGCTGTAGGGGACCATTGGCCCCACGCCACTATGGAACCTGGATGCTGACGGACTGGTCCATGCGATCCTCGGTGCCTCTCGATTTCCCAGGGCCGGGATGGATCGCAACGCTCTATGCCTAAATTGGACGAGTCAGGAGCGCGCTCGTACAGCTCGTCTCAGATGAGGAACCTCAGTAAGACTGAGGCATTCCATTGCCTCCATTATGCAATGGAAGGACGTTAGTCGGCCCTAGCCTCATCTGAGCAAAGAACTCATAAGTTACGAGGATTATTTGAGGGTTAGGGAACAGGGAACTTGCTACCTGTTGAAAATAGACATGTCCGCATACACAAACAAGGCGGAGGGCCCTGAGCTCAACACACCGTGCTCTCATGTACGACACGCCCAATACCTAGTATCAACTGGTTCAGCACGAAGATGCGCAACTGTGATGCAGTAGTACAACGACAAACAGGATTGCATCGTCTTCCACCCACCCGATGATGTGTCCAGAATCGCGGAGCCCGCTTGAACCATGACAATGGTCCGTTGTTGATCGGATCTTGCTCGCCACATACCACACGAGTACTCGCCCGGTCTCGACTCTCCCAAAAATACTGGAAGCGCGGCCAAACCCCTTGATACCGGGGGATGAGACACCGCCGACAACGTTCCAGTGGCAATGCTGCAAAATACCACTGGATATACACAAACCCAAGGGACATTGTCTAACAGCATAGCCCGCAGTTCTCCGCAGTGATCGTACATGGCGACGTCTTTTCAAGCCAAAGGATCTTTAGCGAGAATGATAATGATACGAAGGGTGTATGTACCCGACAGACTGCGTACTAATAACAGAGAAGCATAGCCAAACACTTGGGGCGCTCGCGGGGTGACTTGAGAAAGAGAGGAGTTATTGGCATGATTGCAGAGAGGCGGCTCAAGGTCGAGGCAGTCTCGCCTGCACGTGCACAGCGGTAAGATGCGACTTGCCGATATAGATGAGTGCTCGACTACATACCTCGTCCCAAGGTCGCAATCATCAGGACTCCACGCTCAGTGCGCAACAGACGACCCGGGGGTATTCTTTTCGAGCTGACGAGCGTTGACAGCGACAAAGTGATACAGCACCACAGTCAGCATCGCTAGCGCTCCCAGCCCGTTCGCAAGGTTGTACAAGGTGTTGTGGGAGATCATCTTGGTCCTATTGAACACAATTCGAATAACGAAGAGCAACGCCCAGAATGTCAGATATATATCCGTGTCAAGCGTGAGGAGAGCAGGATGAGTACAGACCTAAGTCTGACGTCGTGGTCGCCGCCAGCACGATTGTTTGCTGGTGTTTGGCGCGTGCAGCGTCGGGATGAGACTCAGCGCCTGCCCGAGCTCGCGAAACCTCCCGAACCCGTCGTTCAGCACCTCCCCACTCCCGTTTACCACTGCTTCCCGCGTGTAGAGCCAAAAGTCTGCGACAATGAGGCCCACAGAGATTCGTCGAGGCGATATGCCCGGACGTGAGTACTTGTTTGCGCGTTGAATGCGGATGAGTGTCGTGTAGCCAGTTCTGACACTGGTGTTTTGCAGCCAAGGTCTACGTGAGTATCCTTCAGTCATTCGCATTGCTACCCCGACTATCCAATTGCTTTACCCATGGCCTATGAGAGAGGTTGTGAAATTGCGGAGTTGCTGACGCGGTATCCGTTTGACAGGGTGTTTGGTGGGGTGACAAGGGCGTCCTGAAGCAGAAGGGCATCGTCACCTACTGTGCGTAGCAGCTTTCTTTCGAATACCGACGTTCAGCTCACAGTTCCTGCCATTGTATCATGTTGCCTATCTTTGCCTTTTGCTTCGTGCGCCTCCTGCCGTATCATTGGTGTCATCCACACAGCCATGTCGCCCTTCAAGCAGCGCGCGACCCATCACCTCATTCGGAACTACATTCTGAACGGCTACCGCCGTCTCTCTGGCCAGTTCGTCTACTGGTCGATTCCTTTCGCCATCGGTACGTCGTCTAAACCAGGCATTCCTCTGTGACTCCCCGCGAGATGACATGTTCTATGCCATGTCTTCCGTGTCCCCGTCGATCAGCTCAGTATACTCATGCATGCGGTTAATAGGATACGGCACCTACGCCTGGGCGAAGAGCTACGACGCGTGGCAAAACAGCAAGGCCGCGCACGCGCACGGCCACGGCGAGCACTAAGAAGGATACGACAAGCGTACCAGGCACAGACCCTTCCCATTATATAGAGTTGGTGTCCAATACCACGTTCTTTCTGCTCTGTTATGTTTTGGAGTGACGCAGGATGTCGGAAGTGTTTTTGCGTGGGTAACCGACATGCAGCGAGTCAGGATACAAACCTCCCGAGTTTTGCCGACGGCGTGGCGAGGAGCACATAATGCGGTAATTGGAATTGGATGAAGCAGTGTGTCGTGTGCGTCCGACTTCCACCGTAGGTGCGCAGCGATTATCCTGCTCATGACTCAAAGCCGAGACATAGGTGCGAAGATATGTGGCAACGTGGTCAGGCGGTAGCCCCACGCGTTCTCTCTCTTCTCAGTATCATTCAAGTGCTGTTCTCCTGCCTCGTTGTTATGGCGTGTCATGGCAGCAGGCTTTGGACATTCCTCATTCTCATGCGCAGCGATGAACTCACGTCCATAAAAATTTCTAGAGATCTCCTTGAAATCTGATTGAGGCCTGATCTCTGGAACCCACCAAGTTCGCTGACATCCCACTGCTATGCTACCTCATATTATGTGGCAAACTGAATGGTTCTTTGTCTTTAATCCGCTGACCAACCTTGCTTGGGTTTGTCAGGCCCAGGAAGGTAGGCGGAAAGGCGGAAAACCCATCTTCCATCCGTATGTCGCGAAGCCCACATATCAGCCTTCCATCGCTCATGCGTTACAGGACACGTCATCTCGCATCCTACCTGCATTGCAGTGACTCCGTCGCCGCGCAGTTGCCCGCCTACCAGATAGGCGCCTATCGGCGATGGCACTGCGTTTTGGACTCAGGGCGCGCTTCGGAGCGCGATACAGTGACTCACGCCGTGTCCCGATGCGGCGATGGCGTTCGCCAGCCCTGCATTCCTCGTGACAGTGAGTCAACCCGGGGCCGTTCCTATATAACCACGGGCGTGAGGCCAACAGATGCTCCTCTCCCCGCGATACCTAGAAGAAAACCCCTCTGTAAAGTGCTATTTGCCTAACCGGAACACCCGACTTCATTCTCCGTCCCTAATACCTGTGAGAAATCTCTTTGAAGCAAGATGACTGTACGTAGCCCCCGGTCGAAGTTCGTGTCGGGTCTTGAGAAACGGCTCGGAAGGGCTCTGTCCGCCCAAGAGACGCTCAGACTCGCGGCGTACGCCCGTGCGGTTAAGTTTCGAAAGGCTCAGCAACAGCAGCAGCGGGTTTATAAGCCAAGGTGAGTCTCCATCATCCTGCCTGATACTAAATTCATATAGACTGCTCACCGCGTGTGTTATCCTTGCGCGCAGGATGGAACTGTGGGATGATGGAGACAGCCCGCTCGTCACGGCCGTCTTCGAAGTTCCGGGGCTCCGCCCAGAGGACATCACGGTGGACGTCGTCGACGGCCGGCTCGTGGTCAGCGGCGAGCGCCGTCAGCAGGATCTTCCCCGGGGGCCTCAGACTCTTACTGTTGAGACTCGCCCCACCTCCAAGTCCGAGCCCGGGTCCGACGCGTGCGTTCGGACTTCGGAGGCGACGCAGGCCCATGCCGGGATATTGCATGTCCGAGAGCTCAAGTACGGCCTTTTCCGCCGCATCGTCACCGTTCCCGCGGGATGTACTGTAAGTTGTTGCTTCACTGTCTTGAGAAGGTATGCAATGCTGACGTGTCAATCTCTGAAATGCGCAGACCGCCGACCTTCAAGCCGTCATGGAGAACGGGATGCTCACGGTGTCATGGCCTCGCGATATCCAGGCGCGCTTCTCCAACAGCCTCTTGGGCGGGCAGGCGGAGTCCGCGCTTGGGTTGGACACCGGAGCCGGTCAGGGTGGTTTGCAGGGGGACAATTCTTCTGCTTGTGTTTGAACCGTTTGTATCCGATTCAGGGCGGAGGGTCTTCCATTTGCCTTTTCCACTCTGCATATATGCTTTCCCAATCTATGCCACTGTATGCCTTAGCGACTGCCTCGACCGAAGGACGTTTCCATCGAATCATCAGACCATCGATCCTGGACCCACAATTGTCGCCATGCTCATACCCGAGTGGCAGGCTTCTGCCTCGAGGCCGCGGGCCCCGGATCTCAAGCAATTCAGGCGCCCAATGACACCTCCGCTACCGCCATCCACTGACTGACGTTGAGCCGGTGGTCTCTTAGTATTACCATGCAAATCAAAGCTCTAGTCCTACTCTTTCACACACTCCCTCTCAGATTGACAATGCTCAGATGGCTGTAGGCCTATACACAAGGTGAGCTTGCTGGCGTCGGACTGCAGGCACTGCGGAGTTTTGATACAATCTCTCTTCGTTGTCAACTACTAGAAAATAACATCTCCAGTGCCTATGTACGTGCTACGTATCAACCGGTCGCACTCGAAAGGACAACCAGGTATGCATAACGCTATTCTCTGCTGTTTGACAGCCTGGCAGTATACCACGGTGACAGCGATATAAACCTTCAGGACCTCGGCGCCGGCGTGCTTGCCTGTCCTGCACCTCCCCCCGCGCTCGACGTGGTCTCTCCAACAGCACTCATGCTGTTTGGAATCCTGCGGATTCTGCTCTGAGGACTCGGATATGGATGACTGAGTGCTCTATAGCGAACTCGAGCCCTGTGGTTTGGTCGTTACCAGGGCGACACCGGGCCCGACGCCTGAGCCGTCGCCATGTGCGCTTCAGTCTTATCTGCAATCCGCAAGTGATAGCACGCTGCAGAAACCAACTCGATTCTCAATTCGAGGATGACTTCTCGGCCTGCCGGCGACTGGAGACGGACGACTTCGGAGCCTTCCCTCTGATCCCGTTTGACCGCGATTGCGATGACCTTGGCGGCATTGTCACTGCAGAGGTCGGGGTGTATTTCTTCGCGGCTGAGGGTAGAAGACGATGCCGGTGATACAACCTGAATGTGGGCGCGCCACTTCATGTTGCCGGACGGTCCAGAAGAGTATTGGTAGGTGATGTGAATGGAGTAGTCGTCCTTGGTGAGTGATATTTGGTGGATACCGTCGTGACTGGGAAAGACATCGGTCTTGATGCAGTATCCTTGCTCTCTGAGGCTGAATCCGGCCCACATCGTGAATATCACTTGGGGATGCATTCCGTCGTGGTAGTCACGCATGTTCACAGCCTGGTCATGCGTGAGCTCACGGCCGGGATGGGGTAGGAACACAGTGAGGATCTTGGTGTTGTCACGGAGACGGCCACCGAGCCCCCAAGAGGATGGAATGACGAAGAGACCATATGAAACCATCTGTTCGTCACAGACGTATGCGGAAGCGAGTTGAAATGGGGTCGATTCAGGGAACCGTGGTGTCTCGGAAACACAGAGGCGGCCGAGCAGACCGCTACTGTTGGAAGCATGGTATTCGCATGCAAGGATGGCAATGTACCATTCGCGCTTCGGGTCCTTCTGGTTGGAAAGGGATAGAAGGGGGAAGTCGGTGCGAATACCATAGGGGGTTGGGCTATACTCCTGAGCAGGAAGGTCGTACATCTTGATGGAGGCCAGAAATTCATCGTGTCTAAGTGACCGCAGATCTTGAACTGCAGAAGACCTTGGAAAGTCGCGGGGCGATGAGGCGAAGAAACTGGCTGATGATGTGGACTGGGCAGAGGTTGGTCCTCTAAATTGTGAAGGCAGCACCGGAGAACGGTGGTGTCCATTGCCCGCCGGCCACACGGGCCGCTGGGGACAGACGTGGCCCCAAGCGAAGAGGGTCTGGTCCGGTATTCGAAGAAGTATTTCCTCCTGCAACCTCCTGAATGCGCGCCGGCCCTCTCCGTAGAGCATTGTCATATTGATGTCGAAGATGCCCAAGAGCGAGTACGCCTCGTCCTCCACGCGTGTTGTCTCCCGCCCTGACGCCCATGACATCCTCTTCGCCACACTGACACAGTCCAGTGGTAACTCGTGCTTCAGCACATCTTGGTCTATGCCAGTGATTTCCTCCACCGCCTCGGCCAAGTCATGCTTCGTTCCTAAAGGCTCCCACTCCTGCGACAGAAACACGACTTCGGACGGCGCGATGAGCTCTTGAAGTGTCCAGCCTCGCCTGAACCATCTGCTTTGCGAGAATTGTGTCTTCCAATCTTCCGTCGTCCCGCACGCAGATACGTCTGCGAGGAAGGCGTAACACAGCTTGCTGTCGCGATACCATGCGTACATCGAGTTGATGGCCTCCGAAAGCTCCGAGCTGCTCTGCTTCTCGATGCAGCACGAATCAATCCAGATGTACCGAAAGCCGTCTTTGCGCGCAGCTTCGCAGGCATGCCGTATCTTGGGTGACAACCTGGGGTTGTCCCATATTGAAGGGGGCTCGGATGCGGGAGGGCTTCCAGTGCTCGCCGAACCCAAGGATACCATAGAAGTGGGAGTAGGGTTGATCGCGGACAGACGATGGCCACCGGGATCATATATCCGCTGGATCTCTTGAAGCTCTCGGTAGGTCTGCTCACCCTCGCTATCCCATGTGTGCGATAAAGTTGCATATATAGTGACGTGAGGGTCGGCTTGCTCTATGAACTGTCCCGTATGGGTGTCCATAAATCTCATGTTGACGTCTGTAGTGTAGAGTTACTCTGGGGCAAGATACGCTACTGAAGTCGCGAAGAGTGTTGGAGATGCTGATGATATGTGTATGAGTGTTGTGAGAGCAGCGACTCCGCGATCGACCGCAGCACATCCAGAGCGGAGAATGAAATTCGTCGGCGCTTTGATTAAAGATTAGTTTGGATTGCCGCCGACAAGGCTCTGAAATATCCGATTCGCTTACTTAGATTAGATAATTCTACAGCGTCGCATGCCCCGCGCCGGGTGGTGTGCTCGGATCAGCGGCAGGCCCCTGCCGAGCCCCGCCAGCCTGTCCCCGAGCTGGAAGGTGGCCGGAGAGCATGCGCGCTGTGACTGCTCGAGACGTGCCCCGCCGAGATATGTTGCTTTTCAAGCTACATAGTACTTGCGTTCTTACCTGGGATGTTCCAAACACATATTCCGGGTATATTCAAGTGCTTCCAGCGGTGGAACAGGGTTGGGCAATGGCTTCGGTGCGGTAGGGTTGGGGCTCGGCCGCGGATTTCCGGTGATCCGAGCACACCACCCGGCGCGGGGCATGCGACGCTGATTTTTACATCCGCTGTAAATACATGCCAGCGGGGTCGCATGATGTGCACCTGCCAGATGTCGGAGCTAGCTCGCCCTTCTTGTCACCATAATTATGGGAAGTACGCATCCTTCCTGTGAACTGCCATGGCGCAAAGCGCATCTACGGTCTTTTGGTAACCTGGAGATAAGGGTGCACACCTCGATCGCGCCGACGTTCTCGAGGAAGGCACGATTTACAGACCTGAATTCTTCGAGCACGTTCAAGCCACCCTCAAAAGCCTCGATCAGGACTTGATAGGACTGAGCAAGGACATCCATGGCAAGCACTATCCAAATTCCATCGTCTGATCTTGCTCATTGCCTCCATACCCACTGGCAGACCCTGAATTGAAGTTCGAGGAACGGTGAGTTACAACTACTCATTGTGTTGTGGATCAGCAGCTCAATCGGCTGTATCTCAGTCATGCCCATGATACCCTTACTACCTTCGTCGAAAAGCATGGATTCGATGTCACTCGTCACCACTGGTTTGAGACCGCCTGGCTAGCCAAATTCACCAAGGGCACTGGTGGACGTACCCTAGGTGTCAATTCTGAGATGGATGCTCTTCCAGGAATCGGACACGCCTGTGGTCACAATCTCATTGCTATTGCTGGGGTTGTCGTGGCGATCGCAGTCAAGTCAGCTATGGAGCACTTTGATATCTCTGGCAGTGTGGTTCTGCTAGGCACGCCTGCTGAGGAAGGCGGCGCTGGAGCGATCTTAGGCAGAACAAGGCACTCACTCGCAGTGAGTGCTTCTAAGCCAGCCTAGGCAGAGCACTGATAACACCTCGCATCGTTAGGCGACGAATGCGCGGATATTTTCTCGAAGACGTTCGGTCCCGTGGACTGCGATTTCGGCATCAAGAACGCTTCCACCGATTTTGTGAGTGATTTCGGCCTAGGCGCTATGAGAGCGGGCTCACTGATGGTATCTCCAGGGAAATATCACTTACGGTACGCCGATGCGCTTGTATCGGTGGACTTAGGCCATATGCTAACTAAATCCCCTAGCTATTCCTTCGCTTCACCCTTCTTTTGGTGAGTATCGAGGTCAATGTCGCAACAACCGTCTTGGCTTGACCATATCATCAGCGATCCCTACGAGAGGCAGCAACCACACACCAGAATTTACCGAGGCCGCAGCGACCGAGGAGGCCCATCAAGCATGCATCAACATGTCGATCACCATAGCCGCGATCGGTCTGCGCCTGTTGGCAGATCACGCATTCGCAAACAAGGCAAGTCGTTATATACCACTATCTCAAGTGTATCAGATTTAACTCATCTGCAGGTTAAGAAAACGTTTGAGAAGGACAAGGTTTTGCGAGAAGCCGAAGCGGCCAAGGCGTAGCAGTCCGTCATGACATGTCTGATGGTTCGTGTACTCCATGATCTTCAGATCGCGTCGTCTACCTTTCCTCGTTTGACCATTGCTTAGGGGATATATAGTGACATAGCCAAAGGTAGAATTACAGCGGTCTCACACCCATTTGTCGCAACTTGCAGCCCAAACAGCACAAACGACTGAGGTGCTATGGCGACTGCTTGGCTGAACGACGTTCTTGTCGAACAATTGTATTTCACAATTGCCGCAATGCTCACAGCCGAGTGGTAGTGCCCTGCCTCGACCCGAGTACACTATTTGGCGTCGAGACAATGAATTCGAACGCATTGTGCAGCCTCAGCTAAGCTATAAACGCCCCGTACTACAGGAAATTGTAGTACGACGAGGACGAATCCGCACTAGCTTCCTCCTCCGAGTCGTGAGTTGACGAGGATAGCTCGTACTCCCAACCCCCACCCAACGCGATCCTACCCGGATGAGGGGCTATGACGCCAGTCGCCTCCTCTGCCTCGCGTCTCTTGATGTACCTTTGAGCGCGTTCCCACCACTTCGCTACCCAAGGGGGTTGGGCCGGGTTTGGTGGCGGGCCCTCGTCCGAGATCCGCAAGTGGTAGCAAACGGCGGACGCTAGCTCGAGCCAGATCCGCAAGATCACTCCTTGGTCCGCGAGAGAGACGTTGATCGTCTCCTCGCACCTCTTCCGTCCGACCGCAGCCTGGAGCGTCACGATGCCGTGAAACGTCTCTGCGCGGGCGGGCGTCGGAACAGCCTGGGTTCTGTTAACGGACTCGCTGGGTGCTGCGTCGGGATGGGATGTGTAGACGGAGGTGATCAGGTTCGTGACCCCGACGGGCTGCGAGAACATGTTGCACCAATATTGGTACACAATGCGGATTGTGTAGTCGTCTCTGGAGAGAGTGATGGTAGCTCGGCGTGGAACGTCGAGGTCGCTGCCGTGGTTTCGCGATTCCACGCGATATCCTTGTGCTTGGAGACGATCTCTAGCCCATGAAGGAAACAGCACTTCTATGCTCCGCTCGCCGCGAGTATCAGGCAGACGCATGATGTGCTCGCTTGAGTCTGGAGGGGAGGCTCGGTCAGGATGTGGTAGATAGACAGTCCGCACATGAATGTGGGGATGGAAACCGGGGCCCGCAAGCGCCCCAGACCAAGGCAGGACAAAGAGGCCTCGCGGCCCGTCCTGTCCATGGGCATATGCCGCCTTGAGCACGTGTATGTGGTCGTTGTGGGTGCCAGAGAATTCGGATATACAGAGACGACCGAGAAGAGAAAGTTCTCCGTATCCGTCCTCGACGCAAGCCAGCACTGCGATGTACCACTGGTAGTCCTCGGGATGCCACGATGACTGGTTGGATAGGTGCAGCAACGGGAGCTGTGTACGGATGCCGTAGGGAGTAGGGGTATACTCCTGAGTAGGGACGTCTGGTTTTCCCAAGAGGTCGAGAAAGTCACCATGGTCGGAGAGACCTCTGATGAGACCTGCTGCGAGGAAGTCGCGAGGGGAGGATGCAAACAAACTAAAGCCATCCAAGCCAAGGTAGTCACTCTCGGCTGCGCTATCGAGGCGCGGAGGTTTGTATCGCTTCCCGTCCCATGTTGAGTATTCCACGTTACGTGTTGCACCCAAATCCATGTCCTGATCCAAGGCCGACGTGTACTGCGTGAACGAAACCTCGACGGGCCTCGAATGCCCGTTGCCCCAAGCGAAGAGGCTCTGATCCGGTATGCGCTTCAGGATCTCCTCCTGCAGCCTCCGAAATGCGCGTCGGCCTTCACCATAGATGGGGGGCATGCTGATGTCGAAGATACCTAGGAGCGAATAGGCCTCGTCCTCCACTCTGGTTGTCTCCCGTCTGGACGCCCACGACATCCGCCTGGCCACGCTAATCTCGTCCAGCGACTGCTCATGTTTCAGGACTGCCTCATCTATGCCGGTGATGCCCTCCAAAACGCGGGCCATGCTGTGCTTGGTACCGAAGGACGCCCAGTCCATCGACAGAAACACGACCTCAGAAGGTGCGATGAGCTCCTGGAGCGTCCACCCGCGCGTGAACCATCTGCTCTGAGATACGTCTTCGGGTGACTGCGGACTTGGGGGGACGTCTGCGAGGAAGGCGTAGCAGAGCTTGGCGAGGCGGTACCAGGCGTACATGGAGTTGATGGCCTCGGACAGCTCTGCGCTGTTCCTCTTGTCGATACAGCAGGAGTCGATCCAAATGTATCGGAAGCCGTCTTTGCGTGCGCGCTCGCATGCGCGACGAACTTTGGATGACAGGCGGGGATCCTCCCAGATCGACGTCTGGGAAGTCGCGCGACGACCTCCGGGACGGTAGTCTTGCTGGATCGTTCTGAGGTCTTCGTAGCTCAGCTCACCATGCGTGTCCCAGACGTGGGATAGGATTGCATATACGATAACGTCAGGGTTGTGCTGTACAAACTGTCCGGTCTCGGTATCGAGAAGCCACATGCGGACGTCCCAATACCAGGAGGTACAAGATAGGCTAAGTTAGAAGAAAGTTTGCGCGTAGGGTACCGGAGAGAAAGGTACGCTAGGGTACACTGAGAAGAGACCGCCGGGCGGAATGGGGACGAGAATGTCAATCAAATGGTACTAGTGTGACCCCAGAAGCGACGGCCCAGAATGTATTTCGTGCATATCTCCATCGCATCTTCCCCCATAAATCTCAAATTTGGCACACTTGATCTGTATCGCAGACAGTATATACCCGTAAAATATGAAGGCAATCGGTGGAATTTTGCTTCGAGCATCGTGGCATTACACGTCTGACCCCAGAAACGACGGAAAGGCGCCCACAGATTGTCACCAATGGTCACGGTGCCGAAGACTGCCGATTTAAACACCGCCATTATCAGTCGTTTGATAACGACGTTGGCGGAGGGAACACTAGTCGAGGCGCTCATAATCAAAGTCAGCCTTATCTCGGTCAGTGGCTGAATGTCACGCTCGAGAGACCCCCTTCCCATTCCTCAGGTACCGCAATCCGTAATCCTTCGAAAACTGAATAATCATACTCAGTGCACATGTTAGAAATAATTCCTGGAGTTACAAGAAGATCGGCCATGCCGATCTCTTTGTGGCAATTC